AAAAAACCCCAGAAAGATGTATTTTATCTCAATCAGTAGTACAGGAGCCTGTCACAGCTCGGTAGAAAAAAACAGGTCTAATGGTTGCTGAGATTAGAAATAGCTTTAAGGGGCATTATAAATCATTATAACATGGTCACATAGTGAGGCTTAATAGGCACTACAACATCCTTTTGTTTTTATGTTTCCCTGAGCACTCAGTTCTGTGACAGGTGGCCATTCCTGTGTACATTTATCCAATTATATTTGTGTAGCAGCCCTGAAAAATCCCTAATACATTAACCATTAAAAGTCAGTGACAGTCTTTGGAGAAATGTTTTAGTGTGCCTGTGTGAATAGAGGGTTTGAATGATATGTTGTTTTTTTGGGTAATTTTTACATATTGTATTTCTTTGATACATGCAAATATGATAAAATTGGTATTTGCCATTGCATAGTTAACATACTCTGTTTTATTTTATTCTATTTATGTTTTCCCAAGGGCAACGAGGGAGAGGAAGTTAAGTTTTAGTTGAGCATTTGGTTTTGTAAGCGACACAAAATATTTACCTTGTTTTATTGAAAAACAATAGTTTCAAATAGTAAATTGTCCTTACTGTCTTTACTGCTTATCTCTAATGTGTTTATATCACCAGAGTTTCCAGCGTGAACAGAGTATGCAATTGGAGGCAGTACTTCAAATAAGAAATAAGGATGTTTAGCTTAGTGATTAAAAATGGAAATGTTACTATTAAGAATCCATTCTTCTGAAATTTTCTGATTTTTTTTTTATAGTTGTCCTCGTTTGAAAGACAGATGTTTGCCAATGAAGGCAGGGACCCCCCTTGGAGTGGTGGATATGACCCCCCCCCCTTCCTTCTGAATTATTATAGCTTTGAAAAAAAAATCACGGGCTTTCAGGCAGGAATATGGGTAAAAGGGAATAACAATTTTTAGTAATATATATATATATATATATATATATATATATATATATATATATAACAAGGTGAAACAAGTAACAATATCAATAGCAACAACACAGCCCAGTCCCAAACCTAGTGACAGCCTTATAGAAACACAGTCTCCCTCTGGGCGAAGCTACAGTTTTGTTGGCAGGGAAGTTGCTGGCTCTCGGCTGAGCAGGGAGGGTGTGACGATTCTTCGGAGGCTGCAAGGGACGAGGTGGCGCGGGTCCTGGCTAGCTCAGATCTCCCGCGGCTGCGATGATCAATACAAAATGGCAGAGGTGGATGGAGAAAAAGTTTCTCTGCAAAACTCACAGCAGAAAACGCCGGTGCTCTTCTGGACAGCAAGAAACCCAGAACCGCACAGAGCCGAGCAGGAATCCCACCCGCTGCGAGACGGGATGGAGCAGAGTTCACCCCCCTGAAGCTGGAAATCCTCCGGCCAGGCACGGCAGAGCAAACCACGGTGCCGCAAGCAGGAACCCCCCTCTCCATGAAGCCGCGAAAAACCAAACTCCCAATCCCCCCCACCACCACCACCACACAAAAGCTGTCTCCGACCATTAGGGTGTGGCCATAGGTATCATTGTCTTTTTAAACACCCAGCAATTAAAAGGATGATCGGCAATTACGTAACCCAGCAACAAATGGGGGAAGAAAAAAATTCCCAAAGAAAGGGAACAAAAGGAGAGGACTTTTAACCCACAACAATAGTCCAGTAAGCTATGGACCCTTTCATGTTAATAATTTTCTTTATTTGTATTTTGTAGGCTTTTGCTCCAAATTCAGCCTAAATGTTCATCTAAGATTTGGAAGGCGTTTCTGTAGAATGTGGTATATCTTCAGAGACTCAAATAAGTCAGCTTGTAATATGAAAAGGCCTCTTTGCCCTTCCTGAATTTTGTGGGCAAGAAAATAAATAGAACTAAAATTGTACTGTGAGGCTGACAAGGGTTTTAGGATGTTTTGAAAACTTTACGTGTATCTCCAGGGTAAATAGACCGCTATGTAATCTATTACCCAGAGGCAGTTTCACATTATTATGCCTTTTAACCTTTCTTTGTAAGTCCTGAGCCTTTGGTATGCAGTGAAGATACCTATCATGAGTATAAATTTATTTTATATAGTCCCTGCTATAGAAACAACGTTGATAATACTGCGTAAAAGGAAATGGCAAAATTTATAAGAATATTAGAACTAAGCAGATAGAACAGGCAAGTTGTTTATTGTAGATGAAAAGAAATTAATTATTGCATAAAGAAAATTTGCTGTTTTCAAAGGACACTTGAAGTAACTGCATATAACTGCATTGCCTTTGGATTACTCAGCAATGTTTCTGTAACATGATGTGTTGTTATTCTCATCATGCAAGTAGCCATCCTTCTCTGTTTTAGGAGTGCATAGACAGCAAACCCTTACATTTTTATCTGGCCCTTCATCTTTATTTAGTTCATTATATATTCAGCTTTCAGCATTAGTATAAATAATAATAACTGCTACTTCGAGTTCTCTAAACCAACAAGCCCCACATACAATCTTGTGTGGCTGTTGTCATTCTCTGCTGGGGTACAATGAGTGTCTCTGGTGTGGGCACCCCACTCCCAGATCTGGAAGAGTGTGTGCCGAGACTGTCTCCATGGGGTCAGCTTAGGTCCTGGCACACTGGTGCCAGTGGCAGCACCATCCTTGGAAAGAGTCAAGGAACAAGCAGCAGCAGGGACCCAAACAGGGGCATGGCAAAGAGGCAGAGACAGCTGCAGCAGCAGCTGCTGCCTGGCAAGGGTGTGAGGGGAAAGGAATAGCGGGAACAGCAGTAAGTGCAGGATGGGATGAAGGGAGGAAAAACGCCTAATTGAAGCCCCAAACTGGAGACATTGAGAAGTTATGACAGCAGAAGCCTTCCTGGCTTTTGGCAGTTCGGCATCCCAGGGCTGCCTTCTGCTACTTCCATGGCTGCTGCATAGGTCAGTGCACAATGGCTGGGGAAGCCTAGGTGTAGCACCTGTGCGAGGGCAAGTGATGATTTATAATGCCTTGTCAGAATGGAGGCATCTTCTTTAACTCAGAGAGGCATCCCCTGGGGAATGTCATCATCAGAATCTTAACTGTCTGGGAGGTGTGTGTGCTTCCAGAGATAGGTTACAGGTGATAAGGATATTTTCAAGATTGCAGTTCCTGACTGGGATCCCACACTACCTTTCTGCCTGAAACACTGAAAGGCAGGCATTGCAGTGTTGGTCATGGAAACACAAAGCTTCTGCATGCTGAAGCCCTGTTTGTTGAAACAGACCTTAAGAAGATTCTCTATAGTAACACAAGTCTTTTGCCAAAGAATCTGAAATTTCATATTTTTTTTAAAAAAGGGGGTGTTGATTTTTTTCCCCCCTAAACTGCAGTAATTTTCGGTACACTGATTTGTTCAGGACCCATGAAAACTTAAGAATCCTTTTCCTTTTAAATAAATCAAACACTGCTTTTGAAAGTTTATCTGCTGTCCTTTTCAGTGAGCAGCAATAGACAAAAGAAGTATTGTCCTCCTGTGCGACACAACTAAGCAGGGTAGCACCAAGTTACTGGTTGAGGAAGAGGAGGACTGCAGCGGGGGGTAGTGTCCTGTGTTTTTCTCAGGGTTACAAGGTTTTACTGCAGATGTTCATCACCAATAATCTGTCATAAAGTTGTATGTAATAGCTGTTGTGCCTGTAATGTAACCTGGAGGAGTCACTTTAGATATTTGAGAAAACGATGAAAAATATTGATGGCTGTTCCAGGTAAATCAGTGACTCAGTAGAAAACATTTTGTTGATTTTTGTATTTGGTAGGTAGTCAGGGGACACTGCAGTCACCGCATAGTTGGCCTCCTTGCCAGCTGGCATTTCAAGTGGATCAGTATAATTAATTTCAAAATCAGTCAGCAGATTATACTGGGCAACATTTGCTTCTGAGGAAAACAGTAAATAATAGAAATCTTCAGTCTGTCTCAAATTTCTGCATTTCCATATCTCATCAGCTTTACAGATTTCTTTATTTTGTATCTAATATCCCCTGGCAGTGACAGTAGTTTGCCGCTACATTAACAGATGCTGATGAGTGTAATAGTTTGTTGAAAGCTGAGCACAAAATCCCATTCTGAGCTGGTGGGAGAGTCCCAGTCTTGCAGCTGTCAGCGAAGAAAGATTCATGATTTACAGAAGAATAAGGCACTGGCATATTTCAGACACCAAAAACAGTAGTATAATTCACAGCAGATTTGTGATGGTGACAAGCGACATGTTTTTTAGACGGTCACCTGCCCTCCTGTATTGTTTATTTTCATTGTGGTTAAGAGATTCATGTTTTGTATACTGTTGCATCCATCTAGAATATTGGCCTTTGTACTTCTCCATGTCTCAGTAGTTCAGCCTGCTTAACAAAAAAGTYATGAAGGATGTTCACACATGGTTACTCATTTCTGAGTTGGGCAGTTCTTTTTTGACTTTCGCAGTTACTCCAAGAATATGATCTGAAAATTTGCTTCCATTCCAAAATTTTTYTTTTCAGTAATAATTTTCCCCACAATTGACTTCCTTTAAAATGAACTCTATGGTCTTTGGTTCTTCTAAGATCTTTTAGTATCTTCTGTCTTCTTTTAGTATGTCCTGCACGATGCTTTTTATCTATGGACATGATTGTATTGCCTGGTAGTTTTATAACAAGAAGCTACATCAAGTAAGTGAATAGAGCCCCTTGGTTATGTATTAGAGGAAATACTAGGTGCTTTTTAGAATGTGGAAAGAATTTATCATCAGTGTGAGTGCCAACTCAGATTCAATGACTGGCCAGTCCTTTTCTTTTGTGAAAAGACTCCAAAGTCACTGAAGACACTCTGTCAGTATTGGCTCAAACATATGCAGAAGCTCCCTTTGCACATTAAACAAATACTCTGGTATCTCCAGGATCAGATCAGAAGGCACATTATATGAGTAAAAATTCTAACAAAAATAATAGTAGAGTTGATGGTATATACAATAGTTTTGATCATAAATAATATGCATTTAATGTATTTTCTTTTAGGAGAAGCTGCTGACCAAATCTCTGCAACGAGGAGAAGATCCCCAGTTTGATCAAGTAAGACACTTGAAATGACATTATTTCTATTCCTCTGGCTAAAAGAGAAGTACTTGGAGGGCCTTCTAGTGTCCTTATGCTACTGTTGCATACTGCTAAAGCAATATCTCTCTATGTACTTTGCCTAACCATACTTGGGTTTAAATTGGAAGGATTTCCCTTCTGTTTTTAAGCTTGATATTTTTTTGCCATAGAACCTGTTCTTTTTTACAGTGTATTAGGCACATATATTATTTCCTGTCTGCTTCCCCTGATGGAAATTTTGAAGAAAAATTTGTATCTTTTCAGAATATGTGGGTTTTGAAACAGGTGTGTGGCCCCCAATCTTTCTTTTATGAAGTTTCTTTTACAGGTAATGTGAGGGCCTAAAGAATCATGGTCATTGCCATCAATCTCATCATCCACTTTGTCTCTGTAGCTGTGACTTGGCATGACTTACATGTGTGTTGTGCTTCAAACAGGCTGAGCCAACCTGTTTTATTTAAAATTAAGTGTAAGTTCAATTGTCAGGATAAATGCCTGGATATAATAAGGTAAATAATTGCTAAAAAATGGTGGGCAGGGAAAAAGTATTAAAAATTAGGTAGAATTTATATAATAGGTTAGATTAAATTTAGCAGAACAATAAAATTGTAATTAATAAAATGAAATTTACATCTGGCATTGGTGTAGATTATTGAATTTATTATGTAAGGGAAATAGAACAAGTATAAAGATAAAACCAGCAGCAACCTACACACTTCTAATTGATTATCTAAAGCAATTTATTTTTATCAGCAGTCTTTCTTTTTGTCAGCAACATCTAGAATAACCTACTTTGAAATAAAGGAACATAGGTTCTAAAGAGTTTAAGTTGCATAAAGGATGCCAAAACTGGCAAGCCTCACTCCCCATGAAGAAGAGTGATAAACTGTAGGTGTGCCATTGCTGTCACCATTGCTACTGACTTCACATCTGCCCACACCACTGTGCTGCCAGCAGGGCCAGAAACACAGCACAGAAAGACAGCAGAATCAGCATCAACAACTCCAAAAGTAGCTGTGACCAATGCCATAAACTGCAGGTACCATATTGATTAACTTTTGAGGGGATATAGGTGCAAGGACAGTTTCAGAACCTCAGATTAATATTTTTTGAGTTTTCTGGGACATTTCACCAGAAGATCTCTTATGAGACTCCACTGGCATTCACAAAGACTCACTTTATCATTTTAACTTGACAAAGTGACACACTCTGGATTGTTCTGTAGCTGCCTTTTGGGGAGAGGTAGGCTGTTTGGAGGGCTGTTCAGAGCAGGAGGTGAACAGAGGAGGTGAGACCTCTGAGTCACACTCAGGAGCTCTGTTTGCCTCACTGACCACAGAGACCCCGCAGTGAAACCAGCCACTGTAGGCTAAAGGAAGTTGCTTTCTGACTACTCCCTACCTGCCTCATGAAATTCTTTGTGGTATTCTGACCTTAATTTTATWTACGTATTTTATTCCTTCCTGTGGGAAGAGTTTTACACTCAAATGGGAAAACAAAACAAATTAATCCGCCCAGATGCAAATCTTGTGATACTGTTCCTGCAGTGTATTAAACAAACTCATAATGGGTGGCCATGATTTGATTAAATATTTATGGCTAAGCAAATTGTGGCACTTTAAAAGGATGAATTGGAAGACTGATGTTTCTCCTAGTTACTGGTAAGTAGACAGCAAATTGAGTAATTAAGTCAAGATCATTTGGTGAGAACAGCAAATGCTTCCTAGAGTGAAACAGCTGTGTGTTTAGTGCTGTAGCAATCTACCCTGAATGCAGGGGGTAGGAAAAAAAAAAACAGATGCAGACCAAACACCAAAGTAAATTTTGTTATATATGACATTAATATATCTTTCTATATGCATATTCAGAGTCCTGCCTATGTGCAAAGGTAGTGCTGAGATTTCCTGAGACATCTTGTCAGAAAACCTTGCTTTCAGTTTCTTGAAATTTTCAAAACAAATTATTTAAGCTGAAATTTTCAGAATTATTTGCCAGCCTCTGGCAATATTTCCTTTTTCAGATTTCACATTGTTTTCTGCTTAAATAGCATGATCATTTTGTGATGTTCTAGTGATCCTGGGATTGATGTATGACTGTGATTGGCAGATGGGACCTGAACCTGGCTTTCAAGCCAATTTTCAAGAACATGAGTCATACTTACTAAAATTACTTTAGTTCAGCTAAATTCAAACAATCATAAAATGGTTTAAGTTGTAGTCAAATAATTTGCATTTGAAATTTTGTAGAGATTTGATAGAAGTGAGCTAGAGACAGGAAAACAGCATAAAAGTCTTTGCTTGGCATGTCTCACTCGGTAGATTATGTGAGTACATCTCGTTATAAAGCCATTTTTCAAATGATAACGTGAGTATTATAAAGTTGTCATGAAAGTATGGATAGTAAAACAAAACTGTGGTCTGCCTGGGAAACTCTCAACATCATGACTTGACATGATACCTACCCAATTGAGAAGGCCTGTGCTTTTAAGTGAAACCATTCAAGTTTCATTTTTGAAGTTAACTCAGATGTTGAAAGAGTGTGTGGGATGAAGGAAGACCAGATTGGTAATTCCTTACTTCCCCTTTCCAGTTAAGGTGTAGAAACCTTTGGTGTTTATTTCTGAAATCCATTAAGTCATCTAGCAAAACCAAAAAAAAGCTACCCATGACATTCCTGATACTTCTACTACAGATACAGTGGGGGGAAAGAGGAAGAATCCCCATGAACAAACTTTTTTTAGCAGTGTCTAATAATGTTTACTTTCAGTTTTAGGGCATAGAAAATCAGAGTCACACTGTCAGAGGAACCTAATTTTCTCTTTTTGACATTATCAAAATTATCTCTATTCAGTTTGAGTGAAATTGATAGGTAGTGCCAAAGTGAGTAGGTCACCAGTCGCTTTAAAATATCTGAGCTCAGTCTTCTCATGATAAATTAAAAAGTAACAGAAATAAGACATGACCTGATTTAAAATTTGCTTTTTGCTACTCAGCTTTGGAGGTGAAAAAAACAAGCCCCAAAAAGTAACTTAACAATGAGCAGAATGGAATTTTGACTACCCAAAGTAATCAGCATCAAATTTAACATGGAAACCCTCAAACTGTTTGAGATGGTTATGAAAGCATTGCTTACTACCCTTAAATAGTTCTATCTCTGGCTCTCTGAGAACCAGCATTTTTTCCTGCCCATTCTCAAACACCATTTTAGGAACACTGCTTGTGATGTTGGTGATGGATCCAGCGTCTGGAAACCTGGCTGGCCGTAGGCCAGTTTCTTTCCACACAGGTGTAGTCAGTGTTTTCTGTTAGGCTGATAGGATATCTGGCTGCCAATTGCATCACCCTCCTCGAACAAATAATGGGATCTTGAGCAATGTATGGAGTGATGGTACTTATCCTGACTTGCTGAATGTCTCTCCATTAGCCTAACAAACTGGATTCCTTACACTGTGTTTTCCTTTTTAGGTGTGCATGTACATAAAAAAGAATACATATGGGAAATTATGTGGGTTTTTTTTCCTATGGCTTAAAATATTTTTCTGTTATATTTAAAATCATGCTTTGAAAGTCATTGATTAGACAGCTCTAGCTGCCTGTTAACAAAGAGCTTACTGCTCCAGTATTAGCATGCTCTGTGTCCCCTATTACAGAAATGTTATTAACATTGTACTAGTGAACTATGACTTAAACTTCCTATTACAGGAAACCATGAAATTGCAATACATGAAAAGATCAAAAGCTAGCAAAAACCCATAATTCTCCAAGAGGCTTACCCTCACCTAAGGAAACACTTTGATTACTCTTTTCTCAGCCTCTACTTATGTATCTTTTGTTCTTACCACCGTGTATGAATGTTCCATGAACTGACAACACTGGAGGCAGAAGAAGGGCACTGTGTAATCTTGGACTGAGCTACTGACAGTTTTCCATATAAAACCACAAAAAGAATGTAATGTTTTGGCCATGGAAGTGAAAATAACAGGAAGACTTAGTTTTCATATGAAGCTATCTATATGAGGTGCCTCTTGCAGGAGTTCCAGCATAAACTGCACAAAAGCTTCAGTTTTACTGCTCCTTTCTTAAAAGTACATTGGGTTGGAGACTATAGATTGGAAAGCAGAAACATTTAATCTTTTACATATTTTTAGGAGATGAAAAAAAAGATCAGCCACAGTAAAAAAAAAAAATAAACTAAAAGGAATAATAATCATAATTTAAAAGTGGAAAATGCAGTAAATAAATGAGACACTAAGCAGCACCCTAATGATTTTATAACAGCCTAAAAGTGATTAATGATATGCTGGTAATAATTCTTATCTTTTTTTTTTGTTAAATGAATACTGATAACAATGTCATTGCATTGCAGTTGGCCCCTTTTGTGTTTTCCCTTTCCCTGGGTTTTACACATTGTCCCTTTTTACCAGCAAAGGGCACGTGGTAGAGGAGTATAAGAAATTGTGGTCATGGGGTCATAAAACAATCTTTGGGTGCTGGTCAGAGGTTTGAGTTCAAGCAGTCTATAAAGAAGTACATCTGAAGGCAAAATTAAAGGTAACACCTTCAAAACTGAGCTTGCTGTCCACTAAAAATAAATGGGTTTTCATGTAAACTATTATGCTGGCAATAAAATAGCTATAAACATTGGTAATGCATAAACAAGATAACTGAAATTACCCATCCACAAAATTATGGTAGTAAAAGGTCCTACTTTCTTTTTTGGCTCACAAAGTCGAGGACACAAATGTGAGTGAACTAGTGAGTTCAACCTGAATAGTTACAGTTTTAACCATTTCCAGGGAAGTTTAACTTCATAGAATCATCCAGAAAAAAAGCTTGTAACAAAGATGTGAATGATAGGAGATCCACAATCACAAATGCATTCAGCAGCATTGATAGAAAATGTAAAATTTCACTTGTGCTTAAAAATTTAAAATATAAAAATCTACACAACAACTTTGAAAATAAAATATACAGACATTGTGCGAAAAATAGATTTACGAGAAATAAACCAACACTGTGCAAAATGAAGTACTGCAAATCTACTTTATTGAAATGGCAATAAAATGCCCGTTCAACATACATACTGGCATATGTGGTATACAAAGAAATTGCTGGGCCAAAAAAATTAGTGATACTGTTGGAAATTGGGTGCAGTTTTGAATATATTTGCTGTTAAAGCAAAAATAAATTCATAAATGAAATAAAAAACGTAATCAGCATCAATTTGCCGTTAGTGGAAACATTTCCTATACTTGTATTTTGACAATATAGCAAGACTTTTATCAAAGTATATAATTTGTAGTGAGGTATCTGAGCAGAACTTTATTAAATTTACTCCTCCATTTTAGTCCAAAACAAATATTAAGCATTCAGATAAAATATATTTTATGCTCTGTAAACACAGGTTTTAAACAGCTCCCTACTTGTGTAGCTTTCTTATCCTTAAGCTATACCGTAAGTAGTTCATTTCTGATGGAAGAATATGATCATTTGTCCAACAAGGACATATTTGTACATCTGTGCACTCTCTTTCAGGAGCAGCACAGAGCTYGAATTCATCTCACTCCTGGACTTACTTCCAGTAAATGAAAGGGTTGAGTAATTGGCACACTGGCTAGACTTCCCTCCCTTCCTGTTCCCTGAGAGCCATGTCTTTTCCCAGTCCACCCTTCCTTCCTGTCTTAAAAGTGCAATGACAGAAAGATNAAAAAAAAAAAAAAAAAAAAAAAAAAAAAAAAAAGGAAAAAAATAAACTATATTGACCTTTTATCCCAAATGAAGAGAGACACTTTAAATTCAGCAAAGAAAGTATGGCATGAGAAGATTTACCAGGAATCACTTTGACTTTTTTTGGTGAAGTTGTATAGCTGGGGTTTAGAGGACAGCATATTTGATAAATATGTCCGTGAACATGCAGGAAGACTTGATTRAAACAACTTTTCATTTATAGTTAAATATTGTGATTTATGAAAGGATATTTAGGTCTATTTGAGGACAGACTCTTTAGTAGAGCCTGTGGACATAGGACAAAGGCTAAGGGCTTTAAATTAAAAGAGGGGCAATTTTTACTAAATAGAAGGAAGATATTTTTTACTGTGGAGCCAGTGAGACACTGAAACAGGTTGCCCAGAGAATCTGTGGATTCCCCATCCCTTCAGCATTCAAAGCCAGGTGGGTTGAGGTTTTGATCTACCTGGTGTAGTAGAAGTTGCCCCTGCCAATGTTAGGGAGGTTGGAACTAGATGACCTTTAAGGTCCCTTCCAACTCAAACCATTCAGTGATTCTATGATTTTATGTTTCTATTCTTGTCTTCCCTAGCAAACCCTTTTTCATGATATCTCATCATTAACAAGCAGTGTTGTGCCAGCTTCATAAAACGTTTTGGAAAACAGAGAAGTGAGTTCGTAGTGAATAGGTTGCCCTGACAACAGGTGATTCATTTCTTCTGAATATTTATCTGAAGCCTTAATACTAGAAGGCTTTGGTAAAATTGAGCCTGAAGTCCTGTAGTAATCCTTCATGAAAGGCCTCCTGTCAGTGCTGCAAGCAGTGCCTTCATGACATCTTCCACAGCAACTTGTTTCATATTTCAGGTAATAAAATATATTGCAAAAACACTAGATTGAAAGTTTTCCCCAAGTATTACTTTTATGGAAACTTTTAATCTTATAGGAGCAGTTGTTACATCTTTCTAATGCACCATGTTTAATTTTAGGCCATAATGCCTGAATAATAATACTTCATCCTCAAAGTGTCTCAGTTCACAGCGCCACTGTGAATTGGTTAAATGCTGAGGCTGAAAAACTGCAAAAGAGGTTCAGAGTTAGTCATCTAGACTAAGTGTCATCCACAAAAGTCCTCATTTAAGCCATTAGTAATATTTGGGAATTGTGTGTAAGATGCTTGGTCAGCCAATTTTGCTCTTGTCTTAGTCACAGCATTAACACAAATTTGGTGTTATATATGAGACATTAAACGCTATTGGTTTTCCACAAGCATTGAAACGTGCTGTTTTGAGTTTAAGCAGGGGGATAAACCTGACATAATTACAAAATTAGTGTATTTGGCATGTAATGCACCCTTCAGATCTTCACTCCTGATACTTAGCACTTCACAGGATCAAGCCCTGCATGATCTTGAGGTAGTCAAAAATCTCCAGGTCACTGATTTCTTCCCCATTTTAAATAGTTTTCTATTTTCTTAGAATGTCCACAAATGGTGTAGTTGTAATGAACATTCCATTGCAATACATGTATTATCCTCTTCTATAATATTGGGGGGGGGGGGGGGGAAGGTTTCCCCCTACTTTTTGATCTTTCCATGTTTTTTATCTTTATGGCTTCCTATAATAGGAAGTTTAAGTCATAGTCCAACATGCTCAGTAACATTTCTGTAATTGGTGACACAGTTAATACTGAATGAGCCGTAATCTTCTTATCCAGCATGCCACTGGAGCTGCTTAATCAGGAACTTCTAAGGATAATTCTTAGCTGGAGCTATTTAATCAGGAACTTTTAAGGAATAATTCTAAACTATGTTTTGTTTATTTGTGCACAYGAAAACACAGGAAACGAAATATTTTCCTATATATAAAAGAGAAGGTCAAGCCCTCAGGTGTGTGAGCCTAAGAGTAAGATGTATGCATATGCATGGTCAGTTGATTAAAATTATTGCAGGACTTATGGTGTTTCTCAGTATATTCTGAGTTTCCAGCAGGGATATCCAGTAGTCAGATATAATCCCTGAAGAGTGTACCTCTGATTCATTACTTTTTCTTTCTTTACAACAAGCTTGAACTCAAATCAACACTGTGTAACAAATCAAAATAACCTGCTTGAAGAGCTAAATTGGTTTTCTGGTATGTCATAAGAAGTGACACACAATTTTAATGCGTTTTTATATCAGCAATATAAAGACTGCATCAACATGCACTCCAGTGTTGCATTTCTGCTTATGTTTTATAGAATCATAGATTCATTTGGGTTGGAAAAGACTTTTGAGATCCTCAAGTTCAGCCACAAACCCAGCACTGCTAAGTCCACCACTAAACCACGTTCTACGTGTCACACGTCCACATCTTGTAAAGGCAGGAAATGCAGAATATTAAGTCACTGCTTGTACCATAATTCTCAAAAATTGGATGAAAACAAGAAAAAGCCATTGAATTAGTACTGTTTTTAAGGACAAGGGGAAACTTGAARAGCATTTCATTTGTTGTTTTGTTGTATTTTCCCTATAGGTTATAAGCTCAATGAGCTCACTCTCAGAATATTGTTTACCCTCTATCCTGCGCACTTTGTTTGATTGGTATAAAAGGCAGAACGGTATAGAAGATGAATCTCATGAGTACAGACCAAGAACAAGCACTAAATCCAAAAGGTATGATTTTGAATATGCATAAATAAATTCTAAGGTAAAATGTGTCACCCATCAGCTTTTGTGAGGTAACAGTTGCTTGAAAGTTGTGTCTTTTTTCTGCTTGTTCCTGGAACTCTTCTCTTAGCTTCTTGATGGATGGAATAATTGTGTCTTTCAAGTCATGCTCCTCATAGTTCAAGTAAAACAGTGTTGTTGTGTTTGTCTTACTGATGTCTTACTGATGCTTTCATGTAATTTAAATACTGGTTTGTATAAACTGTGCTTACTCTAGCGATTAGGCAACAATTCTGTGTCACTTGGAAGAATTTCTCTTACATAGTGTTCTGCTTACACATAAAAATTTCACATACACCTTTCCTCAATACAAAAACTTGAGAATCAGTCAGAGTCTTAGCAACCTACCTCTTAGAAGCAACAAACACAAAAATAATTATATCAGTAGTTCCTCAGTGATAAGGCAGCAGATTGGTCCTCGTTATATTAAGGTCTGTCAGAGTGATTCAGATACATTCCTCAAACTTGGGATTTTTCTGAATTATTTCAGTACTTCATTTGCACACTTCAGTGAAGCAGCAAGATAATCAACAATGYCATTGCTGGTGTTCAGAAATGCACAGACAATTTTTCATATTATATTATAACCCAGTGACTACAAAAAGCAATAGTTGCTGGAACAAAGAGGCAGTAGCAAGGGAGGGTGGAAATGAACCTGATTTGRAATGTTTCAGACTCCTTATGTCAGTAGAAGTAGGCTGCATGAAGACACAGTTCATCAGTTGGATGTCTGCTTTAGGATGAGATGAATCTCTGCCTTGAATTTCATCTTTCTCTCGACTTGTTCCATGACTACCTGTTCATAAATAGATACCTTTGGGAACTCCATCCAAAATTTATTCGAAAGTCAGCTTAGCAGTGAAACAAGGCCGCTCTGTCAATTTGTAGTGTTAAAGAACTTATAACCAGTCCTTCCTCCACTTAATGTAAAACCAAAGGAAACCAAAATGTAAATAAGTTGCTTCATCGCTGATCAGGTTRTACTCTTAAATGCCTGTTTTACTACTAGCACATAAGTATAATTGAAATCACTGGAACTCTCAATGTTTGCAAGAATAGTGCTAAATTTACACAAAAATCTCACTGAAATCATGTTAAATGCTTCAAATAGACTGCAGAGCTGTTCCTTTAATGTTCAGTTTTACAAAAAATATATTTCATGTTCTCTTTTCAATACACTTTGCATCTCTGATCAGGTGATCTAAATAGTTAATTTTTGGTATTTCTATTATGGCTATTCAGCTCAGACTTTTGTTCTGCTGTGTTGTTCTGTACAAGGAATGTGTTTGCAATGTTTGACAAGTGCTGCCAAAGTTAAAAAATTAACACTGAAACAGTTTTTAAAAGATAATGTAATTTGGTTGTGAATTCTCTATTGGTGCTTTTATGGCATTTTTCCAAATTCATGACGAGTCTAAATATGAACTTGATAGCACAAAGTTACATTTACCTCCAAAGTGTAGTTAAGAATGGTCTAAATGGTGTCATGAGCAAGGAATTTGAAATTAAATCCTTTTGTTAGAATACAGAATACACAAGTTTCCTTGGTTTTGTTTTGATTTTTTGTTGTTGTGCATCTTCAACTGGAAAAAAAGAGGGAGGAAATGGATAGTGATATTTAAACATTTGAAAGAACGTCACAGTAGCAAGTTAGTTTTGGTCTGTTTATCTCAGGTTTTAAGAGCATAACAGTGCATTACTTTCTTGAATGCTGGGCTGCAGTTTAAAAGGTAGAACACAATTCCCTGTTACCTGTATTTGTGTGATTGAAGAAGGCATATGATATGAATTATGACACATCTCCAAAATATTGTTTCTTGGTTTGATTTTGCAGTGATGAGCAGCAGAGGGACTATTTAATGGAGAGGAGAGATCTGGCTATTGATTCTATTTTTTCTTTAGTATTAATAGAAGTTTTGAAACAGGTATGAGTTCTTAAATTATCCATTAGCTAATAAATTATGGAAATTACCAATGCAAGTCAGTTTTGGGATTCTTCTTTCTGTTTGCATCTTTAAGATTATAATAAAAACATGAAGTACATTYTGCATGCTTATTCATTGCTGTCTTACTTGCACCTGTAGGACACATAGTGTTCTGTGCTCATACAGACTTTACTTTGCCAAGTCGTTGTAGTTAAAGTATTTATCTTCAAAACTAAATAGTCATTAAATGGCTCGCTCATTTTAGCTATTTTGTTAGCTACACGCTATTTTAACTTATATATTTCTGAATGCATGATACCCATGAGTAATATTGGCACTAGTGTAATATGTGTGTACTTGTTACGTTTTATTTTGTATTTTCAGATTCCACTTCATCCTGTAATAGACAGTTTGGTAAACGATGTTATTAACTTGGCTTTCAAGCACTTCAAGTTCAAAGAAGGGTAAGGCTCTTTTTCATGCAGAAATTCTATGAAAAAAATACTTACTTGGTTTTTTAATAGTTGTGGTTTAAACAGTATGCTTTCTCAGCTGATAATTCTTTCTTGTCTCTTGCTAGGTACCTTGGTCCTAACACTGGAAATATGCACATTGTGGCAGATTTGTATGCAGAAGTAATAGGTGTTCTAGCTCAAGCAAAGTAAGCAAATTTGAATATATTATTTCCTCCATAAATATGAAGAAGTCTACTTGCTTAGCATGTGAATATTCTGATTTTCTCACTTTCTTTAAATATTGTATAGAAAGAAATAATTTCAGTTCATTGGCCTTCTATTTATCCAGATTTTCTAGAACATAGGCCTCTAGGGAACCACAGGCTTTCTGCCTCTGGTCCAGTGATACTGAATAAATTCAACTCAACTACAAAAGCAATATTTTTCTTATCTCAGCAATGACGTCTGTAGAAAGCCCAAAGGGCTGAAGAGAGCTATTTTAACTAGTTGGGGTTTTTTTCCTAGATGCTATTTTTTCCTTAGCTGGGCAAACCTATAAATAGCCATCCTACATAGCAACAGTATTGAGGCTCTCTGCAGTTATTTCAGCTCAGAACTTAATACATCTGCTTCTGAACCCTTTCTCTTTCTTAGAGCAGATGACACAAAGGACTTTGTGGGTCAGATCTTAAATTTTGGATCTGAAAGCAGTCAACCTCAGAAACTCATGAACCCAATACAACATCTCATCATAGACTTACACCACAAACTAAGCAGAGGATGGAATTTACTGCCCTGATGTAATTGTGGTGTTGCTGAGGGTGTCTCAGGTCTACAATACAAATCAGTTTGGCTTGATGTGGCTGAAACAGTTTGAGTTTCTGGAAGTTGTAAAAATTCAGCTAAGACTTTACCTGGTCTTCAAAAGGCTAAATGAGAAGTTGAATTTGGATCCAAATTGTCAAAGTTCTGAAGGGCCTTGGTAGGATGCCACTGAAGGACTTCTTCCAGCTAAACATGGTGCCTATCAAAGGTGATAGCAAAAGGCTGTTACATGCTATGCCTACCCACGAATATTACATTCTTTTTCTTTTGTCTCAAAAAGGGCAGGAGGTCCTCTTGGATGTTCTTTCCATGTATCATTTTTATGGACCATTTGTCTCCAAAGACACTTTCAATAGATTTGTGGGGTAAACTAAAAATGATCACAGACCCCTCTACTCCAAGTTGTTATAGATGTTGTAACCCCACGTTAATGCTTAAGTGTTACTATAGTGGCTGTTAGAAAAAAATACAGAAGGAAGAAACTGCCTCTCTGAATATTTTCAGGTTATAATATAAACATTTTCATTTGAAAATGTTGCATGTACTTGCAAGATAGCTATCTTTCATTGTGGAATTTTGAAAAGCATGTGAAGGGGTTGTTTTAATGATATTGTTAGCTTTTATGCRAAAGAGGTGCATGGTAATAAAATAATTTGAAAGATGTGGTTATCTAAAAGTACTAAGATCAGGCTGTATGCTTAATTTTCCCAGTTTGTTAGAAGTGAAAGAAAGCTAACAAAAAAAACATTATTCCCATACTGAGTACAGTGGTGTTTTTATACAACCTAAGTTTTATCTTCTTTAGGTTTTTCCCAGTTTATATACCTCACATTTCAGATGTTGATTTTGAACTTTTTGGAGCTAACCAATCTGAATTTCTAGATTTCCCGCAGTAAAGAAGAAATTTATGGCAGAGTTAAAAGAGTTGCGACATAAAGAACAAAGCCCATACATAGTTCAAAGCATTATCAGTCTTATAATGGGAATGAAATTCTTTCGCATTAAGATGTATCCTGTGGAGGACTTTGAAGCTTCTCTTCAGTTTATGCAGGTAAAATTCTTAAGGATATAGCTGTGGTTTGCAGACCTTTTTTGAATGGGCTAACCTTTTTCTTTCTGTAATGTTTTGGGAGATTTTCCATGCATCATTTCCACATAAACATATGTGCAGCTGCCTTCTGCTTGTTCTGAACACGTGAGTGCTCCAATCTCTGGAGTGTGTCCTTCCACACCAACTTTTCATCACTCCTATACCTCTAGTCCTTACACCTCACCCTCTAGCTGGAAGAGGTTTTGTTCTGTAGACCCCAGACCTTCCACTCCGCTGTCCCAACAGCTGTCACTTGCCCTGTGACCCTGCCTAGGCATGTCTCCCTAGCTGCTTACTGCGTGCACAGTGAATCTTCCAACAGTGACATAGCTGCACCAGAAATGAGAGAAACTTCTGACGGAAGAAAACACTGAGGAAGAGAGAACTGAGGCAAAAGCCAGATGGAATTTCCTTTGGATATGTTCTCTCCTTCCACCACACCTTCACCCTGCTTCCTGTAGGGTGCCTTCTGTACCCTCCTGGTTTAAAATTCACTAGTACAAAGCAAAGTTTAACTACAATCAATGCTTTAAAATAATAGATTACATCCTTTTGTTAAAGGCAAGAAACTATTTCATTTTTCAACATTCTTGCTGGTAATGTAAAATTGGTTCTGTTCCCACTAGCAAGTTTCTTAATCTTTCTAGTCCCATGTTTTTTCTTGGGATCACCCTCATGGTTACGTGGCTTGTGTCCACTCACCCAGTAAAATAAATGTTTTATATTAAACTCCATGCAAAGATTAATTTATTGATGGTGTAAATGGAGAAAAAAAATCAATGTTAGATGCCCACAAGTAAGAATTTGGCATTGGAATACAAACATACAGGCATACTGACACACTGAGCTATTTCTCTTAAGTCCTGAAGAGGAAACACATTCTATTTTAGCTTTGCAATGTATTTGAAACCATATTCAATAGCATATTTAAGACATATTAAACAACATAGAAAAAGGGAATTTTTCTTCTTACCTTACTCTTAATTATGTTAGCACATATGTGTCCACTACAACTAAGTTATCCAGAGCTGGAAAAATATCCAAGTAATGCATGTTCAGTGCATTTAGCTTGATGAGTGGATGCATTTGTGGCAMAGCTTTATCCAGTGTTCACTGCTAGTGAAATCTGTGGTAAAACTCCTGTATAGTAGAATTGAAAATTTGGATCCCTGGTACAATATCTCAGCACTAAATGAATTCTGGTATTTACTACTCTGCATCATAAGATGCATTATGCATGTGGGAAAACTTTATTTGCTCGGTTTGGTGAAGTACATTTCAACTCTTTGGGCAGTTTGAGTATCTCCATGCAATGTTGTTTAAAACCTCTGTCACACCAGCGCTGCTGTACTAGAGAAGGACACTTTCAAAGGGTGAGCTAATTTCAGGAGTGAGCTCCAGAAGAGCCTGTCTTCCCCTGAAGAGTGCAGAAGTGGCTCAGGAAGGCTGGCTGGAGTGACTGAAGCCATGGGTTGTATAATCCTGTTTGCACATGAGAGAAAAATGCACATGATCTGAATTGTAAACTGAATGTGCAGGAAAAATGGGCAGTGTGTCTTTCCTTATAAAGCCAGGGGCTGTTTGAGCCTTGAACCTGGAGGAGAAGTAAATGGGACAAAAGGATTTGTCATTCAGAGAAATTGTACACACAAGTGGGTGGATGCTTATCTCCCCTTGCTCACTTCCTGAGTTATACAGCTGTGTGGAGAGTAGTTTGCAGCATGTTTAGGACAAACTCTGTTTTTTTGCTTTCTCTCTTAATCCTRTGTTACAGGATGGATATTGTGGTGGTTCTCCCCTCACATAGCACAATTCCATATTGACCCTTAATACACGATGAGTCCTAGCAATGAAATGTATCCAAAAATATTTACACTAAGATTGTTCAGCCTTGTGCCTTGTGTATAGTACCACACAATTATGTTGCTTTTCTTGCCTCTCAAAGCATTGTGTAAAGCAGTCCATTTTGACTATTAGTTTTGCCCCTGAAGATATACACGAGGAGGGCATGACATCAGTCCCTGAATCCAACTCCATTTCCAGCCCAAAACACCACCAGGCACAGCTGGAGTCAATGGAGAGTTTCTGGATTAGAATAACAGCTCCTTGATCTTGACTTATGTCCTGCTTTGTGCTTGCTGCAAAATGCAGATTTGGATGTTAACAGGCAAACATTTTCAGTGGGATTTGCAGGATAAAAATAGTCACTGACAYGTGATGTGCATTTAGCAAACATTTAGAGGTCTTTATTCCAGCTGATATGCAATTTATGTTTCTTGTTTTGCTTTGTTTTGTTTTGTTTTTTATTTAGGAATGTGCACATTATTTCCTTGAAGTTAAAGACAAAGATATCAAGCATGCACTGGCAGGACTGTTTGTTGAAATTCTTATCCCCGTAGCTGCTGTGAGTTTATTTTTGATGTTGTTTGCATAATTTCTTTAAATTAGATAAAACAGCTTGTGAAATAGTGTTTTATTAACATGAAATTTTCTTTCAGGCTGTTAAAAATGAAGTGAATGTCCCCTGTTTGAGGAACTTTGTTGAAAGCCTGTATGATACAACGCTTGAACTTTCATCACGAAAGAAGCACTCATTGGTTAGTAATCCTAAGAAGCAGAGGTTAAAATTCTTTGTCACAGATGTTTGAAATTTCCCAAGGCTCTTGGGAAATTGCAAAATGTTTTATCTGCATTCRGCTGTAACCAATACATTTCTATTTGCAGGAAAGATTATTATTCACAAAAAATAACTGTGCATATTTTACTCATTATATGATCTAAATTAGTCTAAATCAAACATGTTTTTAGCTTTTGGTTCTGTGATTATTAAATGGTTAGGTTTTTTCAGTTATAATGTGTAAACATTAGGAGAAGAGGAGAAAGAATAGAGTTCACTTCTTGTCAAGAGAGAATAAATGAGGCATGTGGGAACAAATCATTCACGGGGCTTAAATAGTACATTGTAGGAAGGAAAAAATGTATAACACATGCCCTTTTAAATCCATAGCTTGGCTACTGTGCAGCTCTGTATTTAATTTTTTGTGTGAGATGAACAGTGGCACTGCAGTGTATTTTTGGAATCATGAGTTGATCTGAATTAAATGAGGATCTGAGTCAGTTTGATGCTGGCTGCCTTAAGCAGTCTGTCTCTCCAACTGGGTCAGCGCCCGTCAGCAGTGTGGTGTTAGCTAATTCATTTTGAAGTCTTGGACCTTTTATGTAAAGAAAGTTGATATTTGTCCTTCCTCATTCTCGAGGAAAGTCATAAAGTCTTCCCTGTTTCCAGTTCTTTTGGCAAATGCTGGTCGCTAGTGCCAGCGAGGAGTGTGCCTGAGGACTGCTGGAGTGTGCCTGAGCTCTCTGCCTGTTACAGCATTCCCAGGGGACAGTCAGAGCATCTCCTGGGGCAAAGTCCTGATCCAGTTTGAATTAGTGGGAGACTTGAGATGGATTTCTGATTTCACTCTGCTTGTGTTTGTGTGGCTCTGTTCCACTCTACCGAGTTAATAAAACATGGTTGGAACTGCAACAGCATAGGGCTTTTCTGTGCAGTTTTTACATGAAATAGAACTTCCCAAATTGTGGCCGTTCTTGCCAAAGTCAACATTGTGTTCTTGAGAAAGGATTGCACAGCTGGGCCTTTGCATTTCATTGCTTGTCTACACATACCACACTGGAGGCTACACAGTTAAATGTGACAAAATAGAATAGATTCTTGTGAGGGTGTGATTAGAAATACAAACATTGCAAGAAGGAGGAGGAGGGGAAAGGCAAATAGTTGACAGAAATAGCTGTCGTGCATATTTCCAGGCTTCCAGGAAGAAAGAGCACTCTTTAATGTCTGAACTGGACCAAGATCAGTGTTTTGTGGATCCATGTACTCACTGTACAGGGTGGGGGAATTCATCTTCTTCATTTGCTGTCTAAAAGTAGCTTGCATGAGCTAGTCATTCAGGATCTCTTGGTARTGAATGGAAGAATTAGGAAATTCCAGGAAACGGTTGATCTTCCTGGGAGTCTTCCTTAGGATGGGTTGTAAAACTCTTGGATTGTTACTAAACTCTCTGATCCCATCAAATACTCAACTGTATGGTAAGAAAGTCTTCTGTGAGAAGGCTTCAGTTATCCTCTCCCATATGTATTTTGTACATGAAGCTTATAAAAATAATGTACATTTGCCATTTGCTCAAGCAATTAGGTCTAGCCTAGCTATAGGCAGTTTATATTACATGTTATTGGAGCAGAAGCTGAGATTTATGGTGTTTATACTTTAAGCTATGACTGGAGTTAGAATTTAATTTTTAGAATAATTCATCTTAAAGTGAATGTTAACTTGTTTTTGACTAGTACCTTTTAAATCCTAACAGTATATTAGCTTTACAACTGAAACCTTAGTCTCACTAAAATAGCATATAATATTATATCAGTTTCAAAATTAATGGATGCATTTTAGCTTTTTTGTTTTTTAGTATTTAGTAATATTGACAAGTGTTAAAAGAAGTGTTGACAAATTTCCTTTGGGAAGTTTGGTTCCAATAATTCAAATTCTATGTTCTGGTTCTGCTTTGCTTCTTTTTATTTTTCATTTAATGAGATGTAACTCCCAGCACATCCAGGCATTCCCTTGAATTTTRACACAATTCTTTAGGGTGTTTGACATGTTTCTTGGTAAATATTGTGACTACAGATTTTGAGGAGTAATAGGCATCTGATTCACAAGTTCCAACAATTTCTGTGGGTCCTGCCATTATATTAATAAAGTTTAGTTATTCCTAGGCTATTATTTTTTCAGTAAACTGATGGAACTTAGCCCTGAGACTCTGTAAAATTGTGCCCTATCTTTGGGATTTCTACTGCTGTGAGTACACCTTTGGTTGGTTTTATTTCATCCATGAAACATATCTGTAACAGCTTTAAGAAGGCTCCTTTTAAGTTGTACTGCTTACTAATATGTTTATGTTGGCTAACTTGTACTGCACAAAATGGAGGAGTTAGAACTTCAAGTTTACAGTAGCTCTGTTAAGTTACTTTTGCATTGTGTAGACATGCAAATAACACTGTATCGACATCCATTTCCTGTTTAGGCTTTGTATCCTTTGGTGACGTGCCTGCTTTGTGTCAGTCAAAAGCAGCTCTTTTTGAACAGATGGCATATTTTCCTCAACAACTGCCTGTCCAATCTCAAGGTTAGTATCTCCTGGTTTTAATATTGTATTCAAGCTCCAGTATGCACTATTGATCTCTTGCATAGCCTTTCTGGTAAATGTGCTGAGTTATTGCTGTTACCCGATTCCATACATAATTTTATTCCCAGCAGTACAAGTTCTTTAGCTGTGCAGATTTTTTTCAAAAGCAACAAAGTATTCTTGAGCCTAGTTTGAATTTCTACTGTTTCTCTAACTCACACCTGTGAAACAGACAAAATTGGTGATGAAATTTATTAGGTTGAGTGACATACCAAAGCAAGTACCCAGTAGTAACTTGCTTTTTTCACAAAAGCATTTGAAACAAAGAACTTGTTATTACTTTTTCAGGTGGTTTAAAAGTTAACAAGTGTCCTGGTTTTGAAACGGAACATTTATTGTTAACTAAAATATGTTGGCAAAAAAAATATTTGAGGCAGATATTCTATAAAGGAGAGAGTAAAAGCTCTCTGTTTCATTGAGAAGCATAGTTTTTCAGTGGGAGCAATAGTTCCTCATCTCCAAACCACCTGGGACAAAGAGAAAGCTTCTGTACAATTTAAGCCAAAAGTGCAGAACTTACTTTACAAAGAATGAGTCAAACAATGCCTATGTCAGGGGTGAATCTACGGGTACCAAAACAATGTTCCATCAGTGTGAATGGACCAGACTTAATCCCTTATTACTGGAAAACAGAAATGGAAGAATTAAAGAAAATGGGCCTCATTCCYGGCAATCCAGTTGCTCCTTTGCTGGTCACTGAAAAAGAGGCAGAGGCGTTAAAAAAGGAAATTCTAGCAACAGTAATGGATAAAAGTCAGCAGCATTTACCAATGAAAAGCCAGAGCAGATCCTGGCAGAGCTCTGTCCCCTACTGCTACCGTGTTCAAAAGACCTTTAGCAAATTTTCAGCACCAGCACCAGCCTGGCCCTACCTGTATGGTGTTCAAAAGACCTTCAGCAAGTTTTCAGCACCAGCACCAGCCTGGCCCTGGTGACGAAACCACAGCCAGTGCCAGTACATCCTGTTGGGAAAGTGAAGATGTCAGGTATATGAGGGCAAGTACTCCTTGTTCTGACAAGCTTTCCTCATTGACAAAAATCTTGAAATATTAAAGAGACTGAATTGGTGGTATACTTCTCTTACTTTTCCAAAGGATGAAACACTGTGTGCTTTCTAAATTAGTGGGAATTTCTGAAGTACCACCATGAACTTGGACAGATTTTGCTCGTGGACATGCCCATGATGTCCCTGGATGTATCTTAGGTCTTTATCATCTTCCTCTTAATCCTGTTTCTGCCATGGAGCTTGCTGTTTCTGATAGAAAACTGGTCTGCTATTTCTTGAAAACTCCAGTGATACTGGTCTCAGCCCTTTTCTCCTCCATCTTTTTCAATGGCCCTCACAGCTAACTGTCTCATCACTGGGATATTTGGACATTTGCTAACAGACAGCTTCCTTTTCTGCTTCACMGCCTCCTGTTACCTTAGCTCAATTAGCCACAGCCTGCTGTTTCCTTGGAAGCTGTGGGATAAGAATAAACTTTGATAAACATACTTCATCACGTGTTGAAGAAATCAAAATTCTTAGCTCTGAAATGTACAAGGATTTATATGATTATACTTGATGAAAGAATGGATTGAAAGTAAACAGGTTAATAAACAAATTGATTGTAACAAATATTATGATTTTAAAATCCTGCAGAGATTAATGAGCCAGGTAAACTTTCACATTCCTTTCACTACTTACTCTAAACATGTGTGACAACCATTGTATGCTGCTATAATAAGCAAAAAATTTTGTTCTGTTTTCTGTCCATTAAAGCTTTATTCCATAAAATGTGTTGTCAAGGAATTAAATGGAAATTGCAGCCCAAGGTGTTTCTGTTCCTAAGCTTGTGACAGATGCCACATCATCTCCCATATTACTGGCACATTGTCTTCCCATCATTTCGCAGGACTCAGACCAGCACACATTCAGGAATTACTGATGGCATCAGTTGCAGTTTCTTTGATCAAACCACAGTCTTTGATCCGTGACTCAAGGATCCGTTTGTCTGCTGAAAATATCTCAGACTTTTGCCATGGGTATTTGCATTTTGGGCCAGGCAAACCTTATCTCAGATCAAAGTGTACTGAGCTCCTTCAAAGTTTAACCCAGCAGATGGCTCAGCATGTGGGAGACCGTCTGATTGGACTGCGCTTACGTGTTACTACTCGGACAGCCCCTACAAATGCACAGAAACAGAAAACTGCCTATGGCAGTCTTGTACTCGTTTCCAAAAATAAACAGCAATCCAGACAGATAAGCCAATTCTGTCCAGCTGATCCGAGATGCCATGTTAATTAGGCCAGCCTAAGCATCCACAGATTTTTGTCCTTTCACTTTTGAGTATGTGTGGTATATTCCTTTATCTGTTCTTCATACCAGGCCTCCACCATAGGGCAACGATTTTCGAGTTGATGGAATATACTGAATATGAGGTTTTCTTTACATAGTCATATTGAGGGGGTTTTCCAGCAGAGATTTTTAACTGTAACATGTATCTAATTCAACTAACTTAATACTTGTTTTTTTCAACAATTTAAGCATTAACAAAAGTAGATCAGATGCGTAACCATCTACAGCTACAATAGTGGAACTCTGAGCAGCTGTGAGGCTGAATCTTTTTTAGTTTCATTATCAAAACGCTGAACCTTGGCATCCATTAAGTGCAGAACTTCCTTTCCAGTTTGTGCCTGAACCTTTTTCCTATGTCATGTGTTTTCTAGAATAAGGACCCAAAAATGGCTAGAGTTGCACTGGAATCTCTGTATAGACTACTGTGGGTTTACATGATCAGAATTAAATGTGAAAGCAACACAGCTACCCAAAGGTAAAATGCTTTATTTGTAATAAAAATTCTTGTAGAGTGGTTGCTGCCAGTGAAGAGGTTTTATTGTTCTCCTGAATTCCTTTGAATTGAACTTAATTCTGTTGTGAAATAAGAAACTCAATACAACAAAATATCCCCTCTTGTGGCACTGTCAACTACCTCTGAAAATTACTGTATGAAGTGTTTCTCCTTTTGGAAAAACAGAAAATTACTGTTTGCTGAAAGTTAAAAATACTTTTGTAGTGGCCATTGACTGGTTTATTTTTACTTACAATGTAGTAATGAAATAAAATAATTACATTGAATCTGTAGCAAAGAATCAGAACAAGATACCCTATTACATTTTCATTTCAAAGGAAATATTTTCTGGTCTTTGTAAATGGAGTGTCATGGCCAGTGAAGGTCTGCAAGATCCAGAAGTGTCTAATGTCTCTCTTTCTTTTGCAGTCGACTTATTACTATTGTCACAACACTTTTCCCAAAAGGCTCCCGTGGTGTTGTGCCAAGAGATATGCCTCTGAACATCTTTGTGAAGATAATACAGTTTATTGCACAGGTATGGGAGAGCCATGCATCTGTCTTTCCCTGTAATGAACTACTTGTTTTCTCAATTATAGATTAACAAATAAGTGACCTTCTAATGACTGAATTTTTTGCAGCCCTGTTGGCATTATCTGTGATCTAGGGAATGACGGAATTACAGGCTGAGCTGGGACAAACTTCTTTTTAACAAGAGGTTTTGATTAACCTCATTCCATTGAAAAGGGATAAAAATGTGTTCCTTCAACTCAAATGTAATTTTTTTCAGTTTCTTTTAATTTCCAGCAAGTCCGAAAATGCATTTGTTGACATGCTCAATAAAGTTCAAAATAGTAAGCTATGTTTCATCCTGATACTGAATCATCCTTGCTGTGTAGGACAGTAAGTTGTCCTGCTTTCAAAGCAGTAAGTCAGATGTAAACCAAGTTCAGCATGAAGTTGACACATGTAGTTTTCAACAGTTCAAACGGGAACTGCTAAAATAAACTAAGCTGCAGTGCTGGAAGTTCCACCTCTTTTATGACTTAAATTCAGAAAAGTTTCCCATTTAGCTAAGAGCACTTTAGCCCATACTTGAAGTCTCTGAATAAGAATGAATCAAAGAGATACTTAAAACCTTCCTTTAACTGAGCCATCTGTGAACAAGCCCTCTTTATGTAAAATGCTATGTTAGTAGCATAATTACCACAGTTTAAATGAAATAATTAAAAGTTTTATTTCTAAAATGGATCATTTTCTGTTTAAAAGCTATGCATTTTTGATTATGTCAACATAAGGCAGTGTTAAAAGCTTAGTTCTGATAACATTCTACATACTTCTGAAAATCTGTTTTTCCATATATTTAAATAAACCCTGATTAAGCTGGTTTTCAATGTTCTGTTGCCTTGTAAGTAGCAGTAGAAGTGAGCAGCTTAATGATTTGCAATATTTTTGCTATTTTAGGAACGTTTAGATTTTGCAATGAAAGAAATTATCTTTGACTTCCTTTGTGTTGGAAAACCAGCAAAAGCTTTCAGTCTCAACCCTGAGGTATGATGTACATATGCTTTTTTTTTTTTGCTTTTTTTTGAGTTAGTATGTACTCTATTGTGCTACATTTACTTCCGGGTTACATTCTAAACATGCTTTCACCTTTCTCCAGTGCTTTGCAAGTTTTCAGGCCAAAGCTTGAATCTGATTTACTGGTAAAATCTGTGAACTTCTATCCATAAAATGTCACATTGTTTATGCTCTCCTCATGTTTTCTCAGTGAAGAATATCAAATGTGAACTAGTGCAAATGTATAAAATAAAAAGAAAAATAGAAATAAAATTATTAGTATGTCCTTATCATTCTGGTGTTGTTACATGCAATACCTTAAACTATTTTAATATAACAGCAATTTTTCTGTAACAATTTCAATGTTTTTCAAAACAGTTTGACTGAGAGTACTTTGAGACTGAGAGTGATATAAGAAGGCTTGAAAAAGMAAACACTCTAATAAAGTTTTACTGCACTGACCAGAAAAGCTCCACTGGTGTTGGTGTCATGAGTCAGCTTCCTAGTGTTTTCCCTAGAGAAAACAATCAAAAATGTGAAAAACTTTTAAAAAAAACATAATGTAAATAAATACTAAAAGAATAAAAAAATAAGTACTAAAAGAATTAAAAAATAAGCATTTGCTTAAAATTTTGAAAAATTTTCATTTGAAAATTAAGCATAAACATGGAAAAAGCCGAATTATTTGTGCTCATCTCATAAAACTGTCTATGTTAATCTTGCAGAATTAAACCATATCTGTTCACTAAGATGAATAGAATGAATTGCCTTGCAAAAATTGTATTTGATACAAAAAATTGGAAAAGTTGATTAAACTTTGTACTGTCAAAAGCAGCAGAAATGAAGGGCAAGCTTTTCTTTGAACACAGCTTTCATCTTTCTGCAGCAGAGCAAAGAAAAATGAAACAGAATTTTTGAGCAGGCAGTCCACCCCATGCTCTGGGTCAGCCACCTGCAGCATTGACCGAGAAAGGTCCTTAAAAAGGACACTCTGTATTAGCCCAGCTGAGAGGGGGTGGACATAGTCCTTAGCTTCTTATTGAATCAACATCTGAAATTTTACCATCTCTAAAAACAACATTGTAAGGCTGAAAATGATGACATCATAATGGCACTTTTTAATGGACGTAAACTTTAGCATTATAAAAAAAAAATCCCCATAAACTGTGTAAATGCATCTCTGGGTGACTGTCCATAGAACAGCCTCTTAGTTTTTGGAGCACATTCCAGAGAAATTGAAAACACTCTAGTCTTTCAATCATTGCAATGCAAAGTTTGCAAGTTTTCCTCTGGTGAATTCCCAGAAGGCATTCAGGTCACTTAGATTCAACTTCCTAATATTTTCACATTGTAGTTTTGGCATTGAGCATCATTCCAGACTTTTTTCTCAGTGTGATCAACCCAGAGGCCTTTCGAGACAATTACTGATCTTTTTTTCATCATGGATGAAAAATGTCCAACTGAAGTACCGGTCCATTACTGAAGTACCGGTCATATACAGGTGTTTTATCCTGAAGATAAAAAGATAATGTGCTAATGCAAATACTTAAAAAATAAAGTTCTGAGAGGGGAGAACACTGTTCACAGTGGAGATATGAATCACTATTTCCTGGACATTTTTTGTGAAGTATATTACACTAGTTAATGTAGTGAAGATACAGAAAAAGATACAAAAAAAAAAGTATGGTACAGCTGGCAAGTACATTCTCAAAACTTCAAAGTGAATAGAAAATTATTATTTGATTATGATTCTCATCCATCTTCTGAACTTTACAGAGAATGAATATTGGCCTGAGAGCTTTCTTGGTAATTGCTGATAGCTTACAGCAAAAAGATGGTGAACCTCCAATGCCAGTGACTGGAGCTGTCCTTCCCTCTGGAAACACTCTCAGAGTGAAGAAAACGTATTTGAGCAAAACTCTTACAGAGGAGGAAGCTAAAATGATAGGTTAGTAAAAGAATGGACAATATAGAAACTTGGGTGAGAATGGATGTGAAAAYGTCTTCAGCACTTGAGCAGAATACTTTATTATTGCCAAGTATTTGATTTATTTCTTCATTGTAAGCATTTAATTTATTGTCCACTCTAATGAAATGTGTGGTTTAGCTTGACAAATACTGCTTTTCCTAGATTGTTCTGAAAAGTCCTCAGTTAGGCTCCACAAATGGTAGCAACCCTGTATTCTGGGAGGGGTTAAAGACAGCTGTGTTTATTCATGATATTCATCTGATTAGAAACAGTGCCTGTGCTCAAAACCAGCTTTGAAAACCATCAAGGATTCCATTGATAGCTTTATTTTAATTGCAGYATTTCACACCAAGTGAAGCTTTCGAAAAGGCAAAATTTTTAAACGTTGAATAATATTTTACTAAGGTACCTCAGTAACAGAACAGCTATCTTGGTCTTCCATGTAGAGCGACAATCCTGTGCTGTGGAGGAACCTCTCTGTCACGCCCTGAAGGTGCCTGGTTTTGTTGGAAAAAAACCCCAAATTTGGCTGCTCACCTTCACACTTAATGAAGTCCCCAAAGTTATATAAATGAAATGAAGTCTACACCAGTGGCAAAGACCTGTGTTGTACTGCGCTAGATCGTTGTAGCAGGATCAAGAAAATAAGCAATGCAAGCCCCACTGGTGTGAAAGTATTGGAAGATAGTATTTTATAACAATGTTTGCAGTAATAAATTCTTGTGTTAGCCATTACTTGCTGTTTTATGATCCAATGTTCCAATTTCCATGTATAATAAGTAAGCATTGCTTTAGGAGCAGGCAACATATTCTGGTTTTGGATCAGGATAGCATTACTAGTGAAATATGCTGTCTCATGAGGAAAACATTTTTCTTATGCAAAGAACTTACTTCATGCAGCACAGCATGAGTAAGCAACCTTCTTTTTCAGAATAAATATACCTGTAAATATCCCAAATTATACAAAAATGCATATTATTGCAGGTATGTCATTATATTATTCGCAAGTAAGGAAGGCTGTGGACAACATTCTCAGACACCTTGACAAGGAAGTGGGTCGGTGCATGATGCTAACCAACGTACAGATGCTTAACAAAGAGCCTGAAGACATGATTACGTGAGTCCTAAAGAGCAGTAAATCCTATGAAATATGGAGACGTAATTTTGGAGCTCTTTTCTCTATTTGTCATGAGTCATCAGAGAAACACAAGAAACAGGAATATTTAGCTTAATTAGTATATACTTTCAAAAACTGTTTGTGACAAGCCGATTGTGCTTCTTTGAACACTGCAGTGTTAGGAACTGAAGAAATTCTTGATATAGGCAAAATCATACATGAATCCTAGGGATGTTTAGATGGTAGAAGTAGAATGCTCAAGTAGAAAACCTGGCAGCCTATGCTCAGAATGCTGTCTCAGGGTATATTTGCATCACTGAACTTCAAAATGAGGATAACAAATTCCGTAAATTCCTATTAATATTTCAAAATTCCCTTTGTTTTTCATGCCTGTAATCAAAATCAAATCTTAATTAAAAACCCAAATAATTTTGTGATAAGGCTTGGATTTAAGCAGTACCCCACTGGAACAGAATCACACCAGTGTGCTTCAGGCTTTGTTAAATAGCAACGTTTTTCACTTTCATCTGAAATTATTAGTAGAGAAAGCTTCCTGGAGAGAGTTCTAGTGAGGTGGATGTTTAGTAGAGGTTAGAGACACACAGTCATCATCTGACACATGCAGAGCATGGATTGTACAGATTCCAATTGTAGGTAGGGAGATCTTGCATATCCTTCCTATTAGAGCAGTGGGCATGGTAGTTACTCCAGAAAAGAAAACAAACCCTAGAAAAAAGTTTGAGATGTATTTAGAAAGACACCAGTTTCTTTGAGATTGTTTTTTTCATTTATTGCCAAAAAAGTCAGCTTGCTAAGAGTACTGTGAGTGGTAGACAGACTGCAAAGACTGGCCAAATTCAACTACGTTGTACAACTGATACAATCTTTATATTTTAATATCATTCCTCTGCCCTTGTTCGTTGCATTGACACTAGGTGAGACTGTAAGCGGTGTTGCCARCATTGTCTTACTTTATTTATAATCGCTGCTAATATGACTATCCAATAATATTTCCTATTTTTCTTGTAGTCCTACCCTGTGTCACGCCTAGTTTTCATAACCATTTTAGGTATTCTGGCTTCTGTGGTAGGGAAAGTGAGTTTTGAAAGTCACCTTTTATTCCCGATAGATAATGGCACAGTGAAACCTTGAGCACTTAGATAAGAAGTGTACTTAACCTTAGCTATAAATATCATTTCAGTGGTTTCTCAGCATCAGCAAAACATGGTTTATTTTTAGAGTCAGAGAACAGGTAGACTCAAAAGGATTTTAAATTTCAGGAAGTCTTATGATTAAGTAGTAACTTTTGTAAGAAACAGGAAGATTGGAATATTTACACATGTAAATTTTGTGTTGTACTTTATATCCAGATGAGCTCTAATTTCAATATATACACTTGAAAGGCAAACCACATTATAACACATTTTTACTTGTTTTTTCAAGGAAAAAAATATCTGGGATGCTTAACATCGGTCGAGTTAAAATCATGTGTATTCACAAAAAACATCAATCCTGTAACTGTCAGGATTTAAAATGATGCTTTGAAAACTGCCTTGTGGGTATATGGAAAAGCCAAGATACTGTTTTTATGTAATTGGTTCCCATTTTATTCACAGAACTCCATGCTTCACCAGAGTTACATATTTATTTTGCATTATTACGGGCTTTAATTGATAGATACCACACTGCATTTATCTGCATTTTAAAGTTATTGCTTTTGCCATAGTTACAGTAAGTTTATGTATAAACTGTATAAAGTGAATACCATAGTGGTATTTTTAATAACAAACAAAATAAGAATTGGAGGGATGTAGCTGGGCAATGAGCAGACATTGCATTTTAAAGTATGCAGACTCTGTAATTTTCTTTGGCAAGTGTTAGACTTTCTTCTGTATTTAATTACTGATCCTTTAGGCATTTATTGTTGAAGTAATAAATGCCTGTTTGKAGGATCTTACTAAAATCCTGAGTAAAAAGCATCCTTTGCATCCTGCTCTGGGATATGAATTCCAATACTGATCAAAATTACTTCCCAACACCTAGTGAGAATAAGGCATCCATTTTTCTAACATCCAAACCTGTCCTTGCAAGTATTTCAAAGGTTTTCCTGACAACACCTAACTAAAATCTGATACTTCTGCTATAGAAACACAAGCTTTCAGGTGAGGACAGCTGTTGCTGCATTCATCCAGAGCTTGTCCTGTGGCATCCTTAGTCAGCCAGGGATGACTCCAGTGCGCTGTGAGGTTCTCCTTCCTCAGTCTGTGCCTGGTAGCTCAGATGGCAAGCTGGGAACTTGACCCTGAGGTTTGGATCTTCTCCTGCTACTCTTCTGAGCAACTGATAAGCTACAGAGCACCCACAGATTTTATATTTATAAATAATTATTCATTTGCCTTCAGAAGAGTTTCCTCTCAGACTATTATTTTACACGTCTCCATTTGAAATACACAAAATTTGCCCTTGCTGGGAAGTGAGAGTAAAGAAATGCTTCAAAATTGACTTTCCATTTAATGTCAGCAAGGAAGACTTGGTTTGCCTGCACTTAAGATTCCCAATGGCACTTCAATGTTTACAACTATAAAAACATAGGATTTTGCACTAGTTATTAATCCAGCTAGTATTTGCCTTAGTGATAAATAGTTGAAAGGGATTTGTTTGTAACCAAATTCTCAGTGAAATGTATTTTACTCCTTTTCCAGTCAGTTGCTGACATCTGTCAAGTTCTGTTAGAATACAGATACAGTGAGACAGAGGTAGTTAATGATGAAAATAGTTTTTCCTAACTGTACCATTAAGACAGTTAATTAAAATAATGTCAACATTCTATTCATGTAATGTATGTCCAAGCTGATAAGTACATAAAGTGTCAAGGGACAGTATGGTATTCAATATAAAACTGTCTTTAATCTTTTAATTAAGTAAATGTGATATCATTTTATGCCTTTTCTGTACCCATTATTTCAGTGAATGATCAGTGTTACTCCTTAAGTCTTCTTTCCGACTGTGTTGCATCCAGGTTTTCCCTGTGACTGAACACAGGGCTGAGATACCCAAATGCAATGTCCTCGGTTAGGTGGAGGGACAGAGTAATGTGGTAACCAGGGCAACCAGGAAAATTCAGTTCATTTTTTGGTTTGTCACTCTATTTCAGTGTGGTGTTAAGTAGCTTAAAATGCTTCTTGGTGTCTCTTCCCCCCCCCCCCCCCATTCTCATCTAGTTCTATTGGAGGCATATTAAAAGACAGAATCTTTCTCTTCATGCTTATAATATGGCCACTAAATAGGGCCTTACATTTTTTAATCCCTCCAAAGCATGTTACAGGCTAATAATTAATAATATTGTGGGAAAGACTGCACAGATTGAGATGCTGTTACACTTTGGTAATTTCCTCTACACCCCATTGTCAGATAATAGATCCTTGAGATAAAAATGAGCAAAAAAAAAAAAAAAAATCCACACTTTGGGGTCTATCTGAAGGACTTATCTAATCTACAGATTTACCAAAAATGTTGACAAGCCAGAAAACAACTGGATCTGTTTTGAAAATAATCAGCGGCTGAAGCTTGAGCTACTTTGAGAAGATTCATGGTCTTCCAACCTAGTGTTTGATTCATGCTTAACTTTGTAATTACTGACTTTCCCAGGCTGTTAGGGAACTGTTGTGCCATTCCACAGATTAGAACACCCTTAGGGCTGCTAAAACATGTTCTAGCTGATAAGAGTTGCCAAAATGCTGCTGTCTGGGAGTGATCAGCAGAAACTCTCTGGCCATACTTACATCTAAATTATATACTTTTTTCAGTGTAAAAATGTGTCATGGTGGTTTTCCATAGACTTGTCCCTTATTGGGGACAACTGTCTGGCTCTTCAGTTGCGATATTTGAACTTGTTATCATCTGCTGTTTGCTTCATACAACTGGTGAAATGTAGCTGCACTATGACGGAGAATAGCCCAACTCTTTTCTCCTTTAGTCATCCAAAGCTTGCATCATATAAATGCTGGTCTTTATGGAGGAATCCTCTGGCATTATACTTTCACTTTTTATATATCAGCCAGTTTCTCTCAGAAGGAAACCAAGGAATCATTATTARTTGATTTTCCAAGTAATGTGTAGATATGATGCATGAAAAGTACCAAAATCAAAACCATTTATTCAATGGAAAAATGTATTCATGTTTCCTCCTCATTTCATTATAGTGTCTAGCTGTCCATCCTGATGTTCTCAAGTCTTCTGGCGCTTCATTATCTTTGTTTAGCCCTTTTATGAAAAGCTAGAGGTGGATCATTTAACACAGTTCCTTCTTAAGCTTCTGTTTCAATTTTTCAGTGGTGAAAGAAAACCAAAAATCGATCTGTTCAGAACATGTGTTGCTGCTATTCCACGATTGCTTCCTGATGGAATGTCAAAACTTGAGTTGATAGACTTGCTGGCAAGGTAAGCTGTTCAAACTTTGAATGACTGCTCCAGGGGAACAGGGTGAAAAGCTGATTATGTAACTGTTTCTTTTTATATATGCTTATAAAAAGTAAATTGCTGTTAATGAATTAGACAGAGATGTCATAGCATCTTTTTACAGTTTTATTGTTTTAATTATGGACTCATAATTTCATTAAAAGGTTGGTATGTCCTCCGGAACTCTTTTCCATCAGTACATAGGTTATGTGGTAGTCACTGTTCTTCATGGAAACAATTTATTACTGCTTTCTAACCATCACAGCGTTCTGATTCACAGGAGAAAACATCTTTTCTGTGTAGTGGAAAAACACTGAGACACCTGTTTAGTTTTGATTTATGATCCCCACTTGTCTCTTTGGTAAACCAGAATGTGCTAGATGTGGTATCTCACAAAAAACTTCTTGACTTGTTATTATTGTAAGACACAAAATAAAGGAGAAGTTTAACAAATATAATATCCCTCCATTTAATTTGTCTGAATAGATTTCACTGAACAAGATTGTCTACAAAATGACTGCTACCAGTCAGGTACCTAACTACAGACCAGTTAGGTTTCAGGACATCAAATCGGTGACTTGTGGCAAATAATTATGATAAAAGGTACTGGCCAGTATGGAAAAATCTGTTACATTTCAGTTCAAGTATCGAAGATGAGGGTTCCACTTGTGTTCTTTATGTAAGTGGATTATGGTATTAAATTGAGCCAAGAGGGCTTTGTAGTGTATTGCTCTCAGGTAACTGTGGCAAAGCAATCTTTGCCACCCTGTTCCTGTTTTTGAAAAATCACAAGGAATGGCAGATGTGGGAGCCAGAAGGCTACATTCAAAACAGGTTTGTTCTGCTCTGTGAACAACTGACTCCCAGTGATGTGCTAAAATGGTGAAACAATTAATTCTGGTAGTAGTGGAGAGTGCAGACAGCCAAACAAGCCCAATCATCAGCCAACAGTCAGTGTGCTGCTGTGCATAGCCAGCTTGATTTCCTTGTGTGCACATTGTCCATTGTCTGCTGTAAATCACTTGTTGGTTGTTTAAATCATTACATTATCAAATTATACACACACCATATTAAACTGTTGCATTGATTCTGCTTAAGGGAAATTTGAAAGGACATGTTTTCCTTTAATCCAATATTTTAACTAGAGTTCTATCCTTATTAATTGCCTTAGCTGACCTGGTAAGAAGCATGTATCTATTCAGGTCACAGCTCTTCATCACAGGATTGTCCAGACCTGTCACTACTCTTAAGAAAGTTTGGAGACCGGTGTGGATTTCTTTGTATATTAATGCTGCCCTCCTTAAGTCCCATAACTGACAGTATAACCACTGGTCTGTCTTTATTCTGTCATCAGACTTCAGAAGATGTCAGCTGTGATTCTAAATATTTCTTGGGTAATTGTTCTGCTGGGACAATGCAGGCAGTAACTTTGCTGAGTTATCTGACTCTGGCTGTTAAACGAAGTGAGACATCAAGAGGAGCTGAGCAAAGCATCTCTAGAGCAACTTCAGAAGCAATTACATGCTCAGCCTTTCCCCAAGAAGGGGACCACTGAGAATCTGTTCTCTCCTGCATGTACTCATGCTACCACATCTTTGAGACACTGAGAGTGTTTTAAGTCATTCTTAAGTATAAGCAGGGGAGACGTAATTTAGCTGAAATAGGTAGGTTTGTAATAGGTTGGAAAGCAATTAACAAACAGTTCATGGTTCGGGAGACACATGGAGTGTTGGGGAAATAACTGGGTAGGGTCTCAGTATTGCAGAGCAGGATTGCAAACTGAACAGATACAAAGAAATTATGTTCCTATGAAAATACAAACCTTATTCACATGTGTACATCTACAAGGTTTTTGAAAAAGTTCTTCTGGTCTAATCAGTATCAAGGATGCCTAATTTGGAGAACAACRTCCAAGCTGGGACATTGTGGTTGAAGAAGAGTCTGACAAGAGAGCAAGGGGAAAAAGGATGAGTGRGTGGAAAAAATTAGGTCAAAATTAGCCTGGGACAGTGTAAACTGAAAACTCTTTTCAAAAACATACCTTCAAATAAATAAGTAATTAACTGTTTAAGACATAGTGTAAATCACCAGAATGTAAATCATCAGAATGTCCCAGCACCAGAGCTGCTTCTACCTTCAGCATACTTTCCCATGTTTATTTAAGAACAGACAGATTAGTTCTCCCAGTTACAAGAAAGTTAGCCCAGAAGGTAAGCATCTGCAGTTCTAGAGAGCACTGCATCTCAATACTGTGATTTCTGGTTCAGAAACTAAACTCATTACACTCAGAAGAGGTAAGGTTTTCAGTTTCTCCCTGTTTTTTAAATGAGCCATAGAAGCTGCCAGGGATTTCTTTGGGCCTATGTTTCTGGGATGGAGAACTGTTAAATATTTTCTTTTCACAAGAGATAAAGTTACATCTTTGAGTTAATTGGTTCTTCTATTCACAGTTTGGTTTGAGTTTTTCATCCTCACAACAGATGTGCCTTTTGGCGGTTTCCAGGAGTCTGAAAGTCAGCTAAACTTTTTTTCCAGGACAGCTGTATTCAAATCATAAAGTGTGAAGCAGATGTCAAGTATATACTGTACCTTTGGCCTTTCACTGCCCACTTCAACCATTCATTACAATTTCCTGATCAGGTCTTGAATTTAACTGATACAAGTGCAAACAAACAGATTTGTACTTGCTTACTGCGCTGCCTGTCGTACAGTGGTAACACACAGATGCATTCTTACGTGCAATTTGAATTTTGTCTCATTAGATAATGCCACTGGGCAGTAACTTGGGCTTAGGAGATGTCTTTTGTACCCTCTCTTCTGYTCCTGCTTTGTGTCATTGTGGAAGTCATTTCATGGATGACTTAATTGTGGTCTCTAAAGGTTTTGCATGTTTATCTGGTTTTGGCATTCCAAAAGGGAGACAAAAATGATCCTTCCATAGCACAACAAAATACTGTGTTTCTAAATATATATTGACAGTCATGTGGTTATTAAAGCATAACAGCTATTTTTGGAGTCGTATTCGCTGGGGGTGAATTTTCATGGCAGTTATTTTCTTTTCTCTTAAATAAAATGTCCCCTGCCTCCAAATTAGGCAGCTGTAATGAACCAGACTTTCTGTGAACCACGTCTCATCAACATTTCCAACCGAATGGAATTTGGTTCCACTCCACTTGCTGTTTGGGGCTTTTTTTCTCCTTGCTTTCTGTCCATTTCATTATAATGAGTCCTCCTTTTCAACTGCATAGATTAAATGTTGATAAAATACTTTGAAAATGAGTTCTAACACTACAGAAAATTACAGTCTCCTGGGTAATTAAAACAAAATACATCATAAAGGCAATGAACCCAAAATTGCAGAACACACTAATCTGAATTTACTTTATTGTGCCAGCTTCTAACAGAGAAGTGGTTTGATGATTTCTGTGTCAAAAGAAAGTATAAAAAAAATTATGTTGAGAAGAACTTCAACATAAAGCAAATAAGGAAGAATATAAAATTTGAAAATTGGATCTGAAATGTCACCATTTTTCAGAAGGACTTCGAGGGTGTTCAGTGTGTTTCTAAAAGTATAGGAAGTCCTGTGGCTGTTATTCCCATTTCCTCATCCTAAGTTATTTAAAACATAAAGCAGTTTTTTTTAATTCAAATGCTTCATTTTAATTCTTTTGACTGTTTGCTTTCATTAATTGTGATTTGTATCTTGGCTAAAGGTTTATTTTAGCTGTTAGCTGAGCTGTTGTGATTCTTTCATTTTTGTGTTTAATGTTAACAAATAAATACATATATTATTAAGTTATGTATTTATTTGTAAGGCTTTTGTTATCATACCTATGTGGAAGTTACTGAGTTATGAGTAAATAAAAAATATACTTGATTTGAGAAAAGTTGCCCAATTATGCATTTTAGAGATACTCTGTTTTTGGAGGGGAATACACTTCTTTGGGATACATGAATATCTTCTTCTGTAGCAAGCATTACAATATAAAACACAGGTCAAGGATGTTAATTGTGGTCAGCAATAACGAAACCATGATAGCATCATCCACCATTGTCAGTGGGAATTTTCCATCCCTATTATGTTACTGAGATATGTATACTTCTTACCACAATAAACACTCCTATATCTTGCATTATCTGACATCTACTTACAGGCTGTCTATCCACATGGATGATGAACTTCGACACATTGCACAGAATTCTCTTCAGGGTCTGCTTGTTGACTTTGTTGACTGGCGGGAGGACGTACTCTTTGGTTTCACTAATTTTCTGCTCCGTGAGGTGAATGATATGCATCATACCCTTCTTGATACTTCACTGAAGTTGCTGCTACAGTTGCTTACACAATGGAAGCTTGTAATGCACACTCCAGGAAAAGCTTCTGAGCAGGTGAAAACCAGATCTGCAGAGGTATGGAATCAAGAGATCTGTGTCCTAACATTTTTACTAATTGAAGGCAGAAATTATTTTCCTTGATACTGCTGTGGTTCATGTGATTTGTGTTTACACACCTGAGAAGAATTCACGATGTAAAATTACTTTAGGTAACTAGTTCACATGTCTTTTGAGGAGAGCTATGTCCTTGTGTAATACAGCAGATGTTGTTGTTGAGCAACATAAAGRAATGCATGTCAAACTAAAATATGTACATCAACAAAAGCACATAAAGTGAATTATGTGTATATGGATGTGGCAGAAGGACATTTTCCCAGGGCTGAATTGGTAATGCTAGTGGGAATGCTGTGGAGAGTGAAGTAGATCTTCTTTTCCCGTAGTCATTTCATTTGGTTGATTCAGAAACACCAGAGAACCTGATTGTTCCAATAGCCTACTGTCTCCATGTGTTACAGACATTTCTGAGAATTGAACAGTTTTTCTTCTGCTTCTCCCATCTGCACTATCCCACAGATATTTTCATTATGAGAAACTTTTTTTTGGCTTCTAATCTAATCACAATGGGTATGTTTTCCTTTGGGCAAACACGATGTGTTTTTTATATCACAGAGGACCATTAATTAATAGGTAATAACACAAGTACATAAAATGTAGAAAAGATAAATCCTCACATACTTACCATTAAATATTGTTATATTTTACTGGTAAGGTCAGGTTCTAGAGGCCAGCTATCTAAGGTGTTGGCTGCTACAGGACCAAAGAAGGACCAAGGACATGCTGTCTGGAGTAGAAAAAGTGTGGTTTTCACAATCTGACTTATTAATTCATTTTTTAGTGGAGGGTGGAGAAAAGTGGGTAGATTAATCAAAAACTAGAGGAAAGGATTTGTTCAAAGGATTCTATTCATACCTTGCTTTTGAGGAGCAAGGTAACCTAAATCAGCAAAACTTGTTTGTTTGAGGGAATGTGTCAGTTTCCCTCTGTGGCATCTACATAGCCTCTGCATTTTGTATCTTTATATGCCCTAGTTACATAGAATATTTCTTGGAGACCTGGTTTGCAAACACCACCACTCCATTTTTCTCTCCTTTCACTGTTCTGCAGTTGATACCCAACGGATCCAGCCACAGGATACAGTCTGAGAGAAGCCCCTATTCCAACGTCCTGCACGCAGTTGAAGGATTCGCACTGGTTCTGCTGTGTAGTTTCCAGGTTGCCACGCGGAAACTTGCTGTTCTAATCCTCAGAGAAATCCGTTCTTTATTCTTGGCCCTTGGCCAGGCAGAGGTAGGATTTTTCTCTTCTGGAACTTTGAGTTAACTTCCCAAAGATGAAGCTCTAAACTGCTATTATGGTTGCTTTTAACATAATTGCTGGAGTGTAGCAGGTATGCACTTGGTTTATGAAAAACCATTTGATCTCAGCTTAATGTTTCTATTTGCCTTAACACTGCAAATCTTTCAGTGTACTCAACAATATATCACTGGCAAATGCCCTCTATAAGAATTTGAGGGGACATGTACAGCAACATCATATTTTCTTTTGGAATGATGTGAATGTAAAATACACTGTAAAACCTTTCTTTACCACACAGGTAATTTTTTGTTGAGATTATAAATTTGTATGGGAAATGAAGCCCATTCCTGTAGCATAGCATTCTGTAAAAAAACCCCACAGCATAAGACACCTTTAAGATCATTCACATACATTTTCCTTCTATAGTAAAAACCTCTAAGTATTTTTTATAGATAAGGAAATATGGAGTCATGTTGTGTACTGGCGGTCACAGCTCAGTGAGCCATCTAAATGCCTAAGAACACCAATATGTGTGTTCATGGCAAAGGAATGCTTCAATAAACAGTAAGCTAATTTTTCAGTCTTTTGATACTAGCTATCCAAAGTCATTTGGGATTTTCTGATATGTGCTTTTGTTTGCTAAGCAGTGAGCTATAGCCACAAATTAACTTCATTTCAAACCACAGCCTGGACTTAGTTCTGAGATTAATACGAGAAAGACAAAATGTACCCATCGTTAACAATGAATATTTTTAGTTACTTCAGATTTGCGTCATAATTTTTAGACGGTCTGTTTCATGTACCAGAAAAATGTGAAGGGAAATAATTTGGTCAGGAGAGCAGTTAACTCAGTATTCTCTGTGTTGTGCAGGATGATGACAGACCTATGATTGATGTGATGGATCAGTTGAGTTCTTCTATTCTTGAAAGTTTTATTCATGTGGCTGTTTCAGATTCAGTAAGTACTACTTTACTATTACTGCTTGTCTTCACTAACAAATATCAGACAGGAAATACTAAAAACAGAACTACTAAAAATCAAAGTAATCATACAGTTTTAAGGCTCTAGCCATCTACCCAAGAGCTCCAAAGCTGCTCAATGTCTCAGACAATCTGTTCCATGAAAATAATCATACTATGGATATAGAACGTGTTGCATACAGAAAACAGAACAGTTGAGAGTCTTATTGCCAGCACTGCTTCCCRTAGGCAGGCAGGTGTTCAACCATCCCCAGGACAGCAGGGCCCCATCACAYGTGGCGGTGACTTGGGAAGACAAGCATCTTCACTCCATATATGTCTCCCTTCTTCTTCCCCCACTTTATATACTGAGCATGATATCATATGTTCTGATATATGCTTTTGGTCATCTGGGGTCACCTGTCCTGGCTGTGTCTCCTACCAGTCTCCCARGCACCCCCAGCATCCTTGCCAGTGTGGCAGTATAAAAAGAAAAGGCCTTGGCTCTGTGTAAGCCCTGCTCAGCAATAACAAAAACATCTCTGTATTAATAACCCTATGTTCAGCACAAACCCAAAACAGAGCCCCATACCAGCCACTGTGAAGAAAGTAAACTCTACCCCAGCCAAAACCAGTACTGAAGGAGACACTGAGCATGTGGTGAGATTGGGTCCCTCTGCAGCTGAAACAAACTAAGGAAGAAAGAAACATTCTGACTTCATAATACAGGAATTAGGAAATTTGTCTGAAATGGCAGCACCTGGGTTTGGGTTTTGCAGTTTCTAGAGGTTTGAATTTTGTGCTCTCATTGTGTTCATTAATGATAAAGCAAAGCAAATGTGTTGCCTCTGTGCCTGTTTCTGACTAGTACAGCAAGGAGTATTAATTTATCTTTTCTCTCCATAGGCAACAATCCCGTTAACACACAGTGTGGATTTGCAGTGGCTGGTGGAGTGGAATGCTGTCCTAGTAAATAGCCATTATGATGTGAAAAGTCCTTCCCATGTCTGGATATTTGCACAGTCTGTGAAAGACCCATGGGTTCTCTGCCTCTTCAGTTTTCTTAGGCAGGAGAATCTACCAAAGCACTGTCCTACAGCCCTCAGCTATGCTTGGCCATACGCTTTCACAAGGTTACAGCTGATAATGCCTCTTGTGGATCCCAAGTAAGTGGCTATCTGCATTTCGCTTTCATTTATGTGGGCTGTGAGATTTTAATATGAGCTTTTCTTTAGTGTCATGTTTCAGTATCAGTCCACAAATCCTGCAAGTGCCACACAGAAATTGGTGCCATGCAGCTTTGAGTTTCATAATTGCAACTTCATTGATTTTTCCCATGTATCATGTCATGTTGAATTGCAGCTGGTAGATAAATAGCATGTTTATTCCCTTTTAAAATATTTTAAAACACTGTGTAATTAAGACTAGCAAGTAATTTTAATAATTATAATTCATTTTTAAATTCCAGTATTCCTGTTAATGCAAAGAAAACAAGTACAGCAAGTAGTGGAGACAACTATGTTACTTTGTGGAGAAATTACCTAATTCTGTGTTTTGGAGTAGCAAAGCCCAGTATTATGAGCCCAGGACACCTGCGTGCTTCAACACCAGAGATCATGGCCACCACTCCTGATGGAACAGTGAACTATGACAATAAGGTAATGCATCCTGTTTCGAGTAATCTACTTGTTTAGGAGAATTTTAAGATGCTTCTGCATGCAAAATCATATCCTGATGAAAGTATTTTTGCTTTCTGGGTGATGTGTATTCAAAATACAGAAGATTTAGACATGTGTTTTGAAGTTAACTTTAGTTTGTCATCCCCTTTCTTCCCTTGTAGAGCACTCCAATTTGTAAATTTAAAGCAATAAACAATAAAACAGGTTTCTGAATGAAAATTGTGTTCCTGTTGGATATATGCCTGTCATAAGCAATAATATATAAAATACACTTTAATGTAGCAGCAACCTGAGAGGAGCAGTAGTTCCACAAATGCAATTACTGGAATATTTTAATGAAGCAACAAATTAAGTAAATTACAATAATCTGAACTAAAGCAAAGAGATTTCCCAAATGTATTTACTTGTTAGGCCTTACTGAGATGATTGTGAGGTTGCCGACATCCAGTTAGACTGGTGTATTGGTATCTGTAACAGTAAAATAATTTCAGCATGTTTTTAAAGTATGTATTGGATCTTGGACAATGTTTGTTTGTAAAAAAAGCTGTGTTTACTTAATATTGATAGCCTGACAATTAAATTCAACAATATTTTAATATATTTTAGGCCATTGGAACTCCATCTGTTGGGGTCTTACTGAAGCAGCTAGTTCCTTTGATGAGACTTGAAAGCATAGAAATTACAGAATCACTTGTATTAGGATTTGGAAGAACAAATTCCCTTGTTTTCAGGTACTTCTCCACTTATGTTCTCAGTAATCTGCTTCTAATAAAAATGCTTTTTTGTTGCAACTTAAATATATATTTAGATTTTTATTTACACTTCAGAACTTTGTTTTTATATGCTGAATAAAATATTGATGCTTTYCAAAGGATACTAGATTTTGTTTACAAATATTTATGTTCTTTTAATTTAGGGAATTAGTAGAAGAACTTCACCCACTAATGAAGGAAGCCCTAGAAAGAAGACCAGAGGTTAGTTGCAAAAATCAAATGTACTAGTTTTTCTTAACTGAAAAGTTACTTTTAAGATAGTAATTCTGTCTGTTTGAAATACATTGTTCTGTACTAACTAGCAAATTAAGCTCTGTGTGCAATGAGAATTTTATTAATTTTTTAATTTAAAATAATTTCATTAAAACCCAGTTTAATTTAAATTCTGTCAGTGATCTGAAATGTGCAATATAGAACTCTGTTCTGAGGAAAAAATTCCCATCCAATATGGAACCTTCTCATATAGAACTGTGATGTATTGTAAATTCACTTTCAGTATCTAAAAAAAAAAAAAAAAAAAAAGCTTTGGCAAAGCTGGGTTACAAGCACATTTTATAGCAGTGTTTAGATGTGCTTTTATTTTCAGGGAAGGCAGGGTGACCTATTCCAGCTTCATGGAAAAGTCACAGAATGGCTGCAAGGGTCCAAAATGGTCCAACCTCCCTGCTCATGCAGAGTCATCCTGGATCACATGGCACAGGATTCATTCTAAATACAATCAGTTAATTGACCAGTGACAAATTCATCAGAGTTTTCACCTTCATTATAGTACTCTTTATTTTTATAATAGACCATAGCACTGGAAGGATTCCCAGCAGGTCTTGCAATTCACAACAAAGAGAATGTTGTGTTCTTAAAAATCTCTGGTGGTAAAATCTGTAGCCTCAGTAAGCAGTTTAGTCTCAGGATGTAGCTAAACAGGAAAGCCATGGGGAGAGGCTCATTGCTGGACTCAAGTTGCTGTTCTGCTCAGTTTTCCCTCCCTGACTCAGTTTTGGACCATTCCATCTGACTCCAAGGTAGAAATTAGAGATGGCTCATGGGCAATTCTTAATAATTCTGCATCTGCCAGACCACTAGCTACCACTAGTCTGCTACCACTGCATTGCTCCACACCTCAATTTGTCTGTGTGGCTTCCATCCYGATGAAATCATTGATTTGAAGGTCACTTGTTTTGATATTGGGCAGAAGTGGATTCCTCAGGAAAGGAATTGCCAGAATTCAGAGGTTTATAATATGCAGCAAGAGCAAATTTAGCACATGGAATTGTCAGTAGAAGAATACAAGAGGCTGCAACATTGATTGCTGTGTTTTTCCTAATATGGATAAATGGGCCCCCTTCCTGCAAACAGTGCTAGCAGGAAAGCCAGGAGTGACTGTATGGTTTGTGTAGCTGTAGAGAGCACAGCAGGCCTCCATGTCAGCAGGCAGGTATCCAACACGCCAGAAGCAATGTCCTGGAACATAGGCTGTGACTGGGAAGAGAATTACCAGCATGGCCAAGAGCTGCAGGGGTAAACCAAAATGAACATTGCACAAGATCTGCCCTGTGGGCGCTGGCACGGAGCTTGCCAGATTACCTCCAGCACTCGCAGGAGGTAGCTGTGTCTGGCAAACAGTGTATTTCAGTAAAACTGCTTTTTTTCTCTATATATGCTTCCTGGAACCTTAAAGGTGTAACAGGAGAAAAACAGGGTGCTGAATAGAGCAAATCAAATGACATAATTATTTGAATAAAGCAGTTGGCTAGGATGCTGAAATTCTGCTGGTTCTGGGTCAGAATATCAGGCAAAGCATCATTTTGTTCTCCCAGGCATCTACTGCTGGCCAAGGACAGAGCCAGAGTTCTAGAAGACAACTTAGATCTCAGTATTGCTCAGTTTTGAAGAGCAGAATCTGTGTTTTCTTGCTTTTCTTGTTCTGGCAGCAAGTTTCTTTGAGAGCAATAGCAGCTTTTTTACCTTCTCAAGTTTTTCTCTCTTAGGGGAGATATAGGATACAAACAACTCAATTTAGACTTTCAGCAAAGAACAAGCCTTGTTGCATTCACATCTTTCCAGGAAAGATAGACGTGAGAAAGGACAGACAGGTTTGTACAAGGCAGTGGGGTACACTGAGCCAGTTAACAACCGTGCAGTGCTGTTCTGTGGGAGGATTTTGCATTTGCATTACTGTGTGCAAAACCCCTGCAGTCAGCACACCCAGCACTGGGTTGCACTGGTGTTTGCTGGGAGCTCCCTGGTATGTTGGTGATCATGTGTTCCAGCATTGCCAAGTTCAGGAATGGCTGTTCACTAAAATATATGTTCCTTAGGTCTGGGTATCTGTTCTGCACTTGAGTGCGTCCAGGACCCAAACTAGGGTTAGACATTAAGCTAACATGAACATCCCTGTTACCTGGAGATAGCCTAGGATTTTTTTGTACAGGAACCTGAAGGCAGCATCATTTTTTTTTTTTTTTTGGTAGAGGAACCTTGCATATTAGTTGTTGTTATCCAGTATTTAATTTCCACATTTTCAATAAACACTATTAGTTGTTTATTGTTAGCAATTTTTTCAAGAATAATTACAAAGACAAAAAATTGATCATATTCAGTTCTTTGTTAATGTATAAACACTAAGTTATGGTGAAATATCCCAAAGCATTTGGGTTCCTTCACGAAAAAAATTCTTGGAGTTCCTAAATCTCAGTACAATACTGGCATTTCTGAAGCTACTAGATTTTGGCATGTACATCTATGCATATTAAAATGGTTGTTATTTTACATTCCAAGAACAAGAAACGTCGAGAACGACGAGACCTACTAAGGCTGCAGCTACTGCGAATTTTTGAGCTCCTCGCTGATGCTGGTGTTATAAGTGACAGGTAGGACTATGATTCAAATATTGAATTTTTAAGTGAAATGATTTTTGGTGCTTGCCACAATGAGATTGAATCAATATGTTCTTTGAGGAATTGTGTAGTCAATCAGATATGGAGAGATTCGCATGCATTTCTTCAGAAAACTGAAGTATAACTACTCTGTTACTTTCTATTAATCTATAACTTTTCCTTTTTGTTAGTACAAATGGAGCCTTAGAAAGAGATACACTAGCCCTTGGAGCCTTGTTCTTGGAGTATGTTGATCTGACTCGCATGCTTTTGGAGGCTGAAAATGACAAGGAAGTCGAGATACTTAAGGATATGAGAGCACATTTCAGTGCAATGATTGCCAACTTGATTCAGTGTGTTCCAGGTATGGTGCTAAATTATCTCAGTACACTATGAAATCACAGTTAATATAAGTGTTGAAAAAGTAATTTTTCATTTCCTTTTTTTGTCTATGCTTTTTTCACTGCTTGTGAATTGTCATACAATGAATGTAAAGGGGAATGCAGAAAATAATGCATTCAGAAGTCTATTAAGATTGAAATAAAAATGTCGGTAAAGCTTGATGAAGCTTGTAATAATCATATATAAGAATCACCTCTTTGAAAGCCCAGCAAAGCAACTGTGACCTCCAGGGACTCCACATTCTTTGACATAAGGCCTTATTTTCTTCCCTCTGACTTGATTGCCAGTCTTGATAAACTCAGGCAGGCCTTGAAAAATACAAGTAGGTACAGAAAATGTGCAGTATTAAATGCAGTGAAAAGCTTGCCCAAGGTGTTGAGTCAGTATCTCATGTTATCTGAGTCCAGTTGTATCATGAAGATTTATCCAACTGATTTCATGTTTTTTATGTATTGTAATATCACTTCAGAGATCTAGCATGATTACATTAGCAAAAAAGAAAAAAAAAAGCCTCTGCTTTAAAGGCCTTGATCTAATCACTGGAAGATGAGATCTGGAGCTTTTTTTTTTTCATTTGCTCAGGTAATTCAGCTGTTCAGAATATATACCACATACTTGTCATGAACAAAGAGCCACCAGGTTTCTTTGATTTATTGTCCCTACCTATTACTATATTAGAGTGAGACATCCATATTGTTTAGGCTCAGATTTAAAAGATTGGAAAAATCATGTAAATACTTGCCCCTAAAGGAATGTGAGAGGCAGTGAAAACCCTGATTTTGTAATTAGTTTATTGCATGCTTTTCTATAGTCAGATGTTCACGTTTGTATAACTGCACATTAATTCAGAACTGACGCTTCTTGGAAATAAGATGCATCCTACTCACTTGGTCAGATTTTTTTAAAGGAGCTTAGATACTTAGAAATAGCTGCATGTTACACATATAAAAACCCCTACCTTTTTTGTAGAAATTTGAGATTAATGTCATCATTGTGCCACATGAATGTGTATTTCATATTAACAAATCACAACTATTTCTATTTCTGTTCACTTAGTCCATCACAGGAGATTTCTCTTCCCTCAGCAGAGCTTGAGGCATCACCTGTTCATCTTATTCAGCCAGTGGGCAGGACCTTTCAGTATTATGTTCACACCGCTGGACCGTTACAGTGATAGAAATCATCAGATTACAAGATACCAGTATTGTGCATTAAAGGTATTTAAAGTCTCACTGTACAAATCAGTAATAACAGTTTGCCAGTCAAAGTGTAAGTCAGTGTAGAGTCTATTTCTTTTTGTTTCACAGAAATTTGAAATGGCATACTTGATGCAAACTTGTATGCTCATGTGGATATTTACGTAGAATATAGAACTGAAGTTAATTTTTTTTCTTTGCAGACACTTTTCAAGGCTCAGTATTTTAAAAACCAGAATGCATTTTAAAATTTTACTTAGCTGTTCATTAACAGGTTATCAGATTCAGCAAGAAGATCTCAGGCTCTGAAATTAAGTAAAGATCCAGTTCAGTATCTTACTATCTCTACCAATGCACATCTCAGGAATATCTCCCACACCTGCCTGGACACATTGCTCAGTAATAATGTACTTTTATGGCAAAACTGATTCCAACTCCCCTGCATAAGTAAGCTGGGAAAGTAATAGCTTATGTATTTACCTAAGCTGCATCACKTGCTGTAAGACAGTTTTAATTTTTGCAGTAATGTGCTATTGAAACACCTGAGTATATTTTAATAGTTTTTGTAGCTTGATTTGTGAAGACAGGGTAAAATTTTAAAAATGCATCTTGGAGAATGGGTAAACTAGGCAAGAGCACTCCTTCCAAAATGCTTAAATTGAGCATAATCTTGAATCTGTTAAAATCTATAGCAACATAATAGTTGAATTTTAGCAAAGCCAACTGATACCGTTTTCACCGTATCTCCCTGAAAATGCAAAACAAGTGGCAGTCCTGTTAGCCTGGGGTCAAATAATTTGAAAGGTTCATTGTGTTACTTTTTGTGTAACAAAAGTTTCCTGTGTTTCTAGGCCATGTCAGCTGTGCTCTGCTGTGGCCCCGTGTTTGATAACGTTGGTCTTTCCCCTGATGGGTATCTTTACAAATGGCTTGATAACATTCTGGCTTGTCAAGATTTACGTGTAAGTATTGACCAAAATGCAACACTGATGAACAATTACTCACGGTACAGAGTTAGTAAAGAGTTTGTGACTGCAAGAACTATAATTGTGTCCATTTTGAATATCCCTTCCTGCTTGGTAATGTAGATGCTGACAAAACAAATGTGACTGAAAGTTGTGTGATTAGATCTTGCAAATAAGTGATAAAATGAATGATTCAGGAGAGGGGGAAAAAGGTGYTTTTTTCTTCTCCAAGAACATGTAATAGATTATTCTTGCCATTATCCATTTCTGTGAAGATGGGCTTTGACTTTGTAACTACACAGCCATAACTTTGTGTGTGTAGCTGACTCGACTATTTCTTTGATTAAAGAGGAGTAGATTGGTGACTTGCATCAAGTGGATGTAGAGAACAATCTCTCTCTTTTGATATCTTGCACTTTGTCCTGCTGTTCTCCCTAAAATTCTCATACCAGCACACAAAACTCTGGTAAGAAAAGGCAAACAACAGAACCTAAATAAATGCATGTGAAGCAGTTAGAGGATAGAGTCTGTGGAAGTGGTAATTGATTAGAAAAAGGTCAAACAATTTAGAAGACAGAAGGGATAGCTATAGAGAAAACCCTTCAGAAATTACATAGGGTTTTGGAATGTTGGTAGGGACAGAGCTATAAAGATATGTGTACATTATACTTATAACTGAAACTCTTAGAGTTGTGAAAACTCACAGCACTAGGGAAAGTAAAAAATACTATTTTCCTCCTGACATATTTTCATTATGACCAACAAATATGATATCACCATGTGCAATTTATCATTAGCATATAGTATTCATAAAGTGACTCGAGGCAAAAGTTGTCTTTTTTAAAGTTTTCCCCTTGGGATGCAAAATTTGGATATGATGGGTGAAATATGTTTACCCTAAGCTAATCACTACAATTCATGATTAGTCATTGTAATGAAGGACTGTAATTAAACTGCATTGCTTATACAACTGGTTCAGATTTAGATGAGAAGGATCCTACCTGGTCCATTAATAATCAGCATCATCATTAATAATCAGCATGATTTAGAGCCTTACAAGCAATTACCTACACTTGGTGTAATATTAATAATTAATACTAATTATTACCAGTGTTTGGTGTTTCTTCTGGTACTGAATGAACACAAAGGCACAGTCCAAGCCTTAGTTGTCATGTTTTCTACTACAGTTGCTACTGTCATGTAATAGTGGTGGTACCATGATTAAGTGATTTGTGATCTGTAGGGAGAGTTTTAGATTGCTTGATGTAGTTGGATTGAACATACAAGGTTTCAGTTTTGTAAAAGATATTTTTCTTTGCCTGCCTTGTTTCTGTGTTATTCAAAAGAAGGATAAACATGAAAGTCTGTCACTTTGTGAAATTCACATGAAGTAGGAAATCAGTTATCAAGTCACTTAACTGATATAAATGGAAGTTGCCCAAGAATACCTACCAAATATCTTAGATTTTTTTTCTGAAGATTCTGATTTTTCATGTGTGTGTGTATGTGTGTATGTGTGCCTAACTTTGGAAAATTTATTTCATTTATGGAGTCTTCGTACATACTTTTTTTCTCAAGTGAGGAGTATGGAAACCTGAGTCACATTACAACTCTGCTATCCCAAAACTAAATTTATTACAAATGTTCTGATTTCTTTTTACACATTTGAATGTTCCATTTTCTCCCTGTTTTGCCTATGTCACTCTGAATTTTAGAGAATGAACATACCTGACCCTACCAATCACCATTTTAACATTTGCTCAGGTTCATCAGCTTGGCTGTGAAGTTGTAGTCCTGTTGCTGGAACTGAATCCTGATCAAATCAATCTGTTCAACTGGGCTATAGATCGATGTTACACAGGATCATACCAGCTTGCCTCTGGGTGTTTCAAAGCCATTGCAACTGTGTGTGGAAGCAGGTAATAATTATTCTATTAATCTACACTTTCAAATGTAAAGAAAAACTGAAGGTTCAGCTCACTGTGTTGTAAGGAGTGTTGGTCACACTCATATCTTCTCAAACAATTCTTGCAGATTGTATTGCTTGATTTTAATGATTCTGAAAACAAAGTGATGTGCTTGGTAAAAGATGTTCTTACTATATATGTATTTGAAATCTGGGCCATTTTGATGCTATTTTGCTCAGAAAGATACAAAAAAGCTACAACAGGTTTATTTGAATGTAAGTCATAAATCTGGTTTCAAAGGATTTGTCACAGTTTTTATTTTAATTTATAAGAGGAAAAATATTTTAAATGTCAATAGCTTGAAAGTCATTATTTTGACTTATCATTATCTTGAAACTCATGTTCCTTTTCTAACTGGCTTTCATTTTATTTGGTTGGTTYCTCTTCTGTCAACTGGTATCATCATGACTGCTAATGCTGAGTAAGCACGGGCTACATGAAGACATGAATACAAATACTACTTTTGTGTCAGGCCTTCATAAAACTCTATGACTTTTTTATTTTTGAAAACAGCATTTGTAGAGAACTTAAATAATGCAGTAATTTGCTTCTTATTAAAMTAAATGTGAAAATTTACTCTTGAGAAAAATAATTTGGCATAGAGAAATATTTGGGATATAAAAAGTCAACTGTTCTTGCTGGAACAACTAGTCTAGAGGCTGCATTATATTGAGATTTTTAAAATATGAATAGAATTTTGTSTTTGTAATTTCAGTTATGTTAACAGGGCTTTTATTTTAATGAACACAGAAACATAGCAGTTTCAGCCAGTCCTTTTTCCTCAAATTGTTACCTGTGCTGCTGTGTCCTGCACATTCTTACTGTCAAAATTGAGAGTATGATCTTTGTGATTTACTTTGAAAGGAAAGTCTTCCTTCTAGCAAGCTGGGAATTTTTATTAATATTTGAAAGCTGTTAATAGTTTTTCCTCTATCATCTGTCAAAATGTACCAGGAGACCACTGCTTAAACTACCTGTAAAATGAGCAGCAATGTCTCATTGRTGGTGTCCTTCCAGCTCTCTACAAAGAAGCCACTTGCCTTCATTTCTTTTCTTTTTATACTTATTTTTTGAGCAGTGGAAGGTCAAAGAGACAGTTGCAGAGCTTGGCTTGCAGCTAGTATTTGGAATTACCAAGAATGTCCCACACCATTCATGCCATATTAGAAAGTCCAAATAGGCATCCTGCAGCCATCCAAGAGCATTGTATCTGACATCTAGAATGACAAATTGATGGTTCACAATTCAATCAGTGCTTTTACAAATCGTCATGGGAAAACAGAAACGCATTTAATGCAAATCCAAATATTGTGACATGGGAATTACTCTTCTAACAGTATTCTTATTAAGTTAACATTTTGATTTATTTAATCTTACAGTTGATGTTGACTTTATAGATAGAAGACTTTTTGAAGCCGTTCTTCATGTTTACTCTTCGAAAACCATTTTCATGGAATTGTCTTAACACCTCAGAATGCTTGTGTCAGAGATAATGTCTTTTGTCCAAAGGGACTGTTTTATCATCAGCTTGGATTAAGAAATTTTTTATCCCTGGAAATCTGCATGCTCCCCATTTTCTTTTATGGGGATTTCTCTGTCCTGTAAACAGTTCTTGTTATAAATAAAATGAATTGACAGTTATAGACACAGGTATTGCCTTTCTCACTGCGGGTAACTCAGTGCATTCGTAAGCATTAGTCTAAGGTAATTATAAATAATCCTTTTTTTCTTCCTGTTCACCAGATGGTGCTTTGATAAAGCAGTGTGTATTCATAAGAGCTCCCTTTCCCATATTTCGATGATAGAACAGATAAAAGAAAGATGGCATTTTCTTTAGACCATGTGACAGAGTAAATCAGAGTGAATATACTCTGCATTCCTCACCAACATTCACAAAAATGTACTGTTTATTCTTCTAGGAACTACCCTTTTGATATCGTGACGCTTTTAAATTTGGTACTGTTCAAGGCATCTGATACCAACAGAGAGATTTATGAAATTTCCATGCAACTTATGCAGGCATGTATCAGCTAGTTTTTTTGTCCTCAGTCCTTGGAGATTTTTTTTATTCACTTCTTATAAAGTACTGTTTATTTATATTTTAGTTTTGTTTTGAAAATAAACCATCAGTTTTGTCTTAGTTATAAATACTTAGCAGGAATATTTACTTCAAAATTAATGTTACAGTGTCTTCCACATTTGGAGCATATAGTCTGAGACATACAGAGCATTCTCTAATAGCTAATCTTGAAATGCTGATATTTCCTGAACTAATGAATTTTTATTGTCTCATTTAATTTTATTTTTCTTTTGTAGATCCTTGAATCAAAACTTTTTGTTTATTCAAAAAAGATAGCTGAGCAGAGACCAGGCAGTATCTTGTATGGGACACATGGTCCATTGCCACCTCTTTACAGTGTCTCACTTGCCCTTCTTTCATATGAACTAGCAAGGATGTATCCTGAGCTTACCCTTCCACTTTTTTCAGGTACCTGTATTTATTTGACTCATTATTTCCATTGCATTTTGTTTAACAGGCTGGACTGCTACCATTATGAACCACAGTTCTGTTGATAAATTTAGCTTGACTTTTTTTTATTCTAGTTCAGGTCAAATCAGATTTAGGAATTCAGTATATATTTCCTGGAGGTAGTTTCACAAAGTACAGAAACCCTCTTGGGGTACTCTGTGCCACTTCTGTGATCTTAGGGTAACTTTGAAATTATAAGTGCCCTGAATGAATTAAAATTGTGTTGGCAAACTCTACTATCATGGGTTCTCATATGATTCTTCTTATGCATGCATTTATATTGATCATACTTGTGAGGATGTATTTCTTCATTTTATATAAAAATTGCTTTAATTTTGGGCAGATTGATTGCCTGTGCCCAGTTCTACCAATTATACAAATCACCCTGAGTGATCTCTGCCTTCTGTTATTTGTCACATCTGCATATCTCAGTGTTTTGCGATTTTATCAAAAATATATATTTTTTTTCAAGTTACTGAGAAAAATGTTAAAGAATGAGACCTGCTGCAGCACAATTTAGAATATGCCCACTCTGAGACCATCCCTGGGAACAATGATGTTTTGAGACATATCTGTCTGTTTTAATTAATCTCACGTGTTGCTCTAGTTTTTAGATAACAGAATGAAAATGTCTGTAATCATGGGAATTTTTAGTGGCTCTTAAAATCTCTTTCTGTTGTTTTTTTACTCAGTCTGTAGGGGCTGGAGGGAGCATAAAGGAACAATACATCATCCTTACATTTATCATTGCTCATGATACCATGAGTTATAAATAACTGGTGTAGGGAAATTCTGATGTCTCATTTATCATTAAGCAAATACTGTTCATTATTGCTGTTATCATCTACTCATGTTGCTGTAACAACTGTGTCATTAAAAAAACCTCAGATATACAGGATATTACAGTCCAAGTCAGAAATCCTTTCTGTACATCTAGAATCATAAGGAGGAGAGAAAAAAACAGGCAGTGAATAAAGAAAAGAAATGTTTGCTCTACTGATTTTACACAAGAATTCTGGTAAAGAGAGATAATGTGGTTCACATTGGCAGGAAGCTGTATTTCTTATCCCAGATTTTCCAAATCCCTTTGTCTTACAGTGCCAGTTCTTTTTTATAAGCTATATAAAGTGCTGTATACAAGCACTCCTGGACTGACAGCCAACTATGAATTTTACAGGCGTCCCCACAGGAGATAGGATCCCAATATATGCAAGAGTTTTTTTGTAAATTCAGTGTAATAAGTGCCTTGTTATTTAAACTATAGCTTAGAAATCTGGAAGCCAGTGGAGCATTTCTAATTCTGCAGATCACTTTTGTATATTCTGCAGAAGCTCTTGGAATTCTGGAGTTACCACCAGTAACTGAATTACCCTTTTTCCTCTTTATTAGCTTCCACTTCACTTAACATATAATATGGCACAGTCAGAAGGGGTGATTTTTTGTTTCTAAGCCCAGACTGTGTTAGTTATTTTAGACAGAAGACATGACCAATTGCTTGCTATTACTGAACATCAATTCAGTGTTTCTCTTCAGGAAGCTCAAGAACATCTTTTTGAATGCTTGTGATGTGCAAGGTAAAAACCATCAGGTAGTCTAGCAAATGTCAGAAATGTGATTTAAATAGCATATTTAGGGTTTTCATCATAAATTAATACGTTGTCCTTTTCAACTCTTACAACTTCAGAGGTAAGCCAGAGATTCCCAACAACACATCCAAACGGAAGACAGATCATGCTCACCTACCTGCTGCCATGGCTTCATAACATTGAACTGGTGGACAATAGGCTGCTCCTGCCTGGCTCAAGCCCTACCACTCCAGAAGATGAACTGAAGGACAAGGATGGGGAAATAGCAGTCACAAGTGGACTAAAAGGCAATGGCTGGGGCTCTCCTGAGGCCACCTCCCTGGTTCTTAATAATCTCATGTATATGACAGCCAAGGTAAAAAAAGCAAATCAAACAAAGAAACTGATGTGTAAAACTTCTGTTTCTTCCCTCCTGTACCAGAAATTTTACACTGGAACAGTCTGTACCAATCAGACAAAGCCTGCTTGATTTTAGGATTACTTTTTGTATTTACGGTCCTCAAGACTTCTTTTTCTTTTATGATTCAAGGCTTCTGCAGATCAGAACCTAGATACTTTTAAATAGAGTTTATGCTTTGAAGTTTTTTAGGTAGCTTTTTAAAATACTCTTTGGTAACTTTATATACAGCTTTTCACTGTGGTTTTTTTAATGAGAAAATGTTCTAAAAGAACATGCTTCATTTTAGAAATCTGCATATTTCAAGGAGTGTATGCCTATGATTCTTTGCAGTATGGAGATGAAATTCCTGGACCAGAGATGGAAAATGTCTGGAATGCTTTGGCCAACAATGAAAAATGGAGTAACAACCTTAGGATAGCACTGCAGTTCCTCATTAGTTTATGTGGTGTTAGCAGTGATACCATCCTTTTACCCTATGTAAGTCTTTACACTTTAATTTAGTAATATTTTTGCACTTTATTTACTGCCGAATATAAAGGTTTTGGTGAAAAAACCAGCTATCACCTGCAGAAAATTAATTTCTGTATCAAAAGCAAGAAATACCAACATATTCCCTGACACCCTGTACAAAATTGAATACCAGGAATAAAAGTGCCAGGAAACTGAAATTAAAATAAAGGAACTGAGTAGTTCAAATCTCAACCTCCACCAGTGGAGCACACCCCACTGCAATGGGAGATGGGCTTGTCTCCCAAAGAGAAACTTTGCATGTCTGTGTATGGGGACAGTAACAGAGTCTGACCATAAATTGCCAGAAAACACTGCATTCTCTTCTCCTTTAGCAGACTGAAGCTTTCTGTGGGGCATCTCAAGAGACAGAAGACAGTGAACATTTATAAGCTCCTTGCCATATCAATTTCTGCCTYTGCATAACTGTCATAAATTATCTAACGGTTGCTGCAACGTGCAGCTCAAACTGTGCTGGATATTGTATTTATTCAAGTTAAAATAAAATCCGAGCTGTCTGAGAAAAGCAGGCTAGTTCCATTCCCATGTTCCGTATTGCTCAGTTGCTGGGTGAAACAGAATCTAAATTTAGTGAATTTTCCAGCACAATTATTATATGCTGTTTTAATAGTTAGCCTCTTTCCATTGATTTCCCTGAAGTCAATTTGAAATTACTATTAATGTGATGAAATTTATCTAAAAAGTCTCACAAACATACTTCATTTACAGTTTCTGAAATAATAGTTAGCCCACAGTGCTTATGATGACTAGTATGCATATTAGAATAAAGAAAATAAAGGAGTTAAAAGAAAAGTCTTGAAGATGTTGTTATCGTACCATAGTTACCCTGCTTGTTTCCTTTTATTTGTAGGGTTTAGTGTTCATATTCTCAAATCAGGGTATGCATATGCCTAACTAGTCAAAAGAGAAAATTTTAAAGTAGAATTGGTATAAGAACAAGCTCAAGTATTTTATGAGAGGAAGATAAAGGGGTTGATGCCAAATATCTTGAGTGAGGGTAATTAAGATCTTTGTTGCAATTATGGCAGAGACTTTCCATTCAGTGTTGACCATGCTTTGAGCAGGTTAGATGAGAGGTTTCCCAGGTTTTTCCAACCTGCCTCATCCTACAGTCTATGACAGACTTGGAATTAGGCCCAAAGGTGGCCTCCACGAGGAGGAGCTATGTGGGTGGAGAACAAGTGAAAAACACAGAGATAAGACAGAAAACGAGGGCTGTTGTATTTCTCACCCTTTACGAAAGGAATAGGGGCAGTTTTCTGAGAGGAAGGAATAGTCCTGTGCTGAGTATGTGTCTCATTCTTAAATCTGTAGCCCGATTGGAAAAGCCTGATAACCCTGTCACATTTTGGCCAGGGGCCCCTTGCATACCTTATCCCCTATCCAGATACTTGCCAACTCAAAGTTTCCAGCACCTCCTTTTTCCAAAACTGTTGCCATCCCACAGCTCTGTGCAGCTTTTCCTCAAACACCCTCCTACCCAGAGCAGTTTTTTCTTCAAATTCTTCCTTTGCCTCAAAGCCTTGCCTTTCACAGCCCTGTCCTCCTCCAGGACAGCACAGTCCTCTTAGTTCACAAAGAGAGCAATCTGTTCTGACATCTCCAGCTTCATTTGCTCATCATCTCCTGTTTTGCCTGTGGGACTTTCCTGGTCTCCCTCCCAGGCTTCCAGCGGCTGGTGGCAGCAGCAACTGATGAGTTTCCCGTGTTTTCTACCACACAGTTAGTCTGTGTTTTGTAATGTTGTGTTAAAAGTCTGATTCTCAGATTTTGCAAAATCTGAAGGTTTTTAGCTTCTGTAGGAAGCCTGACTGTACTCGTGAGTCACCCCTTCACTGATAGCTTTATCTGGAGAAGGAAAATACACTGGTCTTATCACTTACATGTGCTCAGTGTTTTGCTAATGCCCTGGAGTCTGCACATAAGAAATCCTAGCTAACTCTGTTAACTACCCAAGACTGCTGATACTATAAACGTGTGTCTCCTGTTATCATGTAGATAACAGATACATGTTAGCAAATAAAGATCATTTGGACAGTTTATCAGCCCTGTTCCAGGTCACCTGGGCTGAAAAGAGTTGCAAGATTGCCAATTTACCCATCTCCTTTTGGAGCCCTCTGTGCCCCAAGGCAGTCACCAGCTGCTTTGTGCCTTCAGCCATCTGTTCTCCCTGTGTGGGTCCAAGCCAAAAGCATGCCTGACTCACATTTTTAAAATATTTTTCATCATCTAAATTAATTGCTTTTAGGTTTCCTTTAAGCATTTTTCCCAGGGCCCCAGTACAAATTGCTGACTTGTCCATTCTTTCACATTATGTAGTGAAAGATTTCTTGGAATATTTACAGTTCAGAAACCTCCTCAGCAAAGACAGTTTTGGGAACGTGATCCCTTCAGGGGTGAGAGAAGCTGAAAGTGGCACTGTGAGCCCAACCAGAAATGAGCCTCAGAAAGGAATTGGATTTGTATCTGGAAAGTCCCTGGGAAATTTTTGGCACAGTAGAGAAAAAGAGATTTTGCCTATGTGATTTTCTCTAAGCAAAAAAAAAAAAAAAAAAAAAAAAGAGAGAGAGAGAGAGAGGGAAAGACAGACAGTAAGGAAGTGATTGTAATGGAAATATTTAAGAGTATAAGAACAATACTTGGTGAGGCCAACAGGCTCAGACCAATATATTAACTCCCCTATAAGCATCTGTTCAGGGACATCTTTAAAAACAAGCAGGCAAGCACAAGTAGATACTTCCCCATATTGTCTCCCAGCTCCAGCAGTTTATGAATCAAATGTTTTTGAGCTGGAGAGAGTCTCTGCTCTTAATAACTATCAGGATCTTTTTCCCTCAGGAATTCAGCCAAATTTGGTCTCAGTATCTCAACAGTCCTCATTGCTGCAGTGCAGGTTTGAGGTCTTGTTAAAAGATTTATAGAAATTTCTAAAATTTCTGTAAATTATACTCTCAGATTTTTCAAATGAGGATAGATGAAGCCTGTATATATAACTACTCTGCCTTTCTTCCATTTGGTATTACTTTGCTTACAGATAAAAGTAGCACCTCAGAGCCTGCCTGGCTTATTCTTTGTGGCCACAGCCATAGTTCTGTAGATGTGCACGTTATGTWGTTATATACCTAAACAATTCATTGTGCATGGTAATGATCTTGTCAAAGTAAGTAGTTTTATAACTTGCATTCTGGATCACTTCAGTACTGCAGTGTAACATTTATTGATTTATTTGAAAATTCAGTTAGTCAGAGTTTAAAAAATGTTGTTTTCTTCCACAGATAAAGAAGGTTGCAATATATTTGTGTCGCAATAACACTATTCAGACAATGGAAGAACTTCTTTTTGAGCTGCAGCAAACAGACCCAATGAACCCCATAGTCCAACATTGCGATAATCCTCCATTTTACCGTTTTGCTGCCAGTAACAAAGCCTCAGCTGCAGCTTCTGGTATGACCTGAATGTGTTTTCTTCATAGTCTCCTGCTCTTTTAAGTCTTCATCTCTTTGTACAAAACAATCTCTTACCTTTGCGTCCATGCAGACCTGTGTAGATAAAGTACAAGTTTCAGGGCCTTGTTGCATGTCTAAATTACAGTTCTTTTTAATTTCTAATGTTATATATGTTTTGTTAACATAGGCTTAATTACCTTAAATATTTTAATAACATATTACCAGTATTTGATGCTGTTCTGAATTCTACCACTCTTTAGAAAACTCCACTCTCCGTGGCTCTTTTACTCAGAACAAGAAATTATTATCAAGGTATAGTCACAGCAGATACATCAAGTAGAGTTTCCTGAAAACTGAAAGCCTCAACAGTGTGGCAATTCTGTTTTGAAATGCTATTTCCAAGCTGTAGTAGTCAAATATCCTTAAGAACCAGCCATACCATTAACCTTGTAAATGCCTTGGAAAAATCCTTGAAAGACAATGTGCTATGACTTTTGAGCATGAACTTAGTTTGAGGAGTAGAAGACCAGCATTCTGTTAATCTACTTCTCAAAGGATGTAAACTTTACACTGTCCAGCCATGGAAGCAGGTGCTGGTTTACAGAAGTGTTCATTCATGTGTGCAAGTACTTGCAGGGTGAACACTTTGACTGCAGCGACTAAAACCCCTTTAATTTACGGGACTTTACTGCTTTGCAGATGTTGTCTGCTGCATGTAACAGCATTTGCAACAGTTCTTATTCACATCTCATTTACAGGAACCACCTCCAGCAGTAACACTGTTGTAGCTGGCCAAGACAGTTTTCCTGATGCAGAAGAGAATAGAGTGGTGAAAGAGACTGATGAAAGGTTTGTGGCTTTGGAGTTTTTTTTCCTCCAAAATGTGTATGTTTTCCTAGGGTAAGAGTGAGATATTGTACAGTGTTCTTCATTGTATTGTGAGGAGCTCTGATGCTCAGACTGATTCTAAGTGGAATTATCCCAGTATGTATATTTTTTWWAAAAAAAAAACTATTCTCACAATTCTAGTTCCTGGCTCTTGTCAATGCTACATTGTAAAGGAACAATTGTTAATCCTACATTGAATTAATTGTGCTGAGTAGATCATGGTTTTGTAGGAATTACCACAAAGGAGAAAGAAAAAAACAGGAGAGTGCACCAAATAATGGCTACTAAAATCTACACAAAAAATCAGATTTGATCACACAATTTGATTTCATGGACAGTGAGTAAAATTTAGTTTGCACATTTGTATCGATGATTGCACGGACACCTCATTTGTCTGGGTAAAATGTCTTAGATGACAGCTTTGGAAAATATTTTGCTTAGGAATCTTATTTCCAGTTTAGACTTTTGCTACTTTTGGCACATGCTGACAAAGGAACCAATAAATGCAAATTCTAAGAGCCATCAGATCCTAGAGCACAGACTCACAGATTGTTTCTCTCACAGAAACACTCTTAGTTTTGCAAGAGAGTTTTGAAGCATTTATAACAGTATTTGTCAGTAAGTGTATTAGTATTCTAGTAGTCACTCATAGTCACTAGTATCACTTCAGTAGCCCAGTCCACCTTCCCCAAGGTTCAGGGCTTAGAGGTACAGAGAAAATTATGTGGGCAAGCTTTTCTGTACTTCAGGACTTTTTGAATTACTTGCCCTCTACATATTGTAAACATGAGTASCATGTTGTCAGGTTAGTGAGATGTGTCTGCTAATTTAAATGTAAGGTAAAAAAATGGCACTCGTGGTGCTAAGTTTCAAATTGACAGTAAAACAGAATTGACTCAAAGTGATATTTTTCAGCATATGTACTAGAAATATGCTTAAAAGGAAGATAAAACTATTTTATCCTCTAAATTATTTTTTATTATTCTTTATGTAAGTGTTTATGGCTGTATAGTTTTAAGTTASATTTTTCTTTAGTTGATTTACTGGCAAGTTGAGGAAACATCTCCTATGGTACTTTAAATCAGGGTTTCTTGTCTTATGTAGTTTTAAAACCTTTAAAAAAGATTTTTTTCAGATTATTAATGTTTTTTCAGATTATTATTTAACCTTTAAAAAAGATTATTCAGATCTGCCAGAGTATGATAAAAATGAAAGGAAAATTACAAAGTTCTGTTATTGGTATTCAGGTTCATGCTGAAAGACACCTCAGAAAAAAATGGAATATCATTTGCCTGAATTCATTGCCGACATTTATGCTGCCAAAGGTGGTTGTAAGTGCATCTGCACTTCAAAACCAGTGTGTCAGTCTTAGAATGTCCTTTGATAATGACTTCATGCGTCAGGACATGAAGTATATGAAGATCATTAAATAATATTAAATAATGAAGGTCATAGATAAAATATCATGTATTGAGATGGCTCATGATGCCTTTTTGTCAACTGAACAAGGATTTTTTTTTGCCCCCTTATGAGACACATGTGATTTGGAGACAATGTAATACATTGGTGTATAGTGACATATCCTGCACGGATATATGAACATTAGTAAGAAATTGAATTTAAGTTTGTCTAGAAAATCTTCAGTTTTGTGTTGTTTGATGCACGGTTATTTCTAATTAGTTTCCTAGCTTTGCAGGAATGGTGATGTTTTTAGATCATGACTAGTGTGTGAGCTGTCAGTAGGGCACCTTTCATTCCACTTYAGGCCTGAGAACACAAGGTGCAGGGAGTCAGAGGAGATCACCAGTGAAAGTTAGCTCAGCAGGAATCTATGGCAGATTGCAGAACAGCTGTGAGCAGTTTGCACTGGCTCTCATATTCCTTAACTTTTCTGTTAGGTTTGCTCTGGCATTTGCTGGATTCTCCTCTTGAAGGGTGATCTGCTGCATCTTTTCCTGCTTGGTACCTGTGTGGTCTTGCCTTTGGACTACCCAGTCAGTCAGTCAGTCAGTCAGTCAGTCACAGAATCACAGGAGATTCTAAGTTGGAAGGGGCTCACAAGGATCATGGAGTCCAGCTCTTAAGTGTATGGCCCATATGGAGTTCAGACCCACAACCTTGGCATCATGCTCTAACTGCTTTAGCAAGTTGGCAGGATTTTGTCCCTGAACATGGTCTGTGACAAATAGTAGCTGTGAACTATTTTATATCTTAGTTCATCATTAGCAGCTTCTTGCTTCAAAAAAATTACGCATTTGCAGCATGAGAGTTTCTCTTTGCTAAATTTAAAAGCTTATGGCACAGGAGCACACTGTTAGAACTTCTCAGAAACTGACTGTAAAAATGTTCTGTGGAAAGGATCAAAGTTACATTCAATTGCTGTCTACTCCTGTATAAAAAAGTGCATTCTTAAGGAAATGCTTTTGTTTTTTTAGGATAAACATAAAGTCCAGATGTTTAATGTCAGTCTGTGTTTTAATGAAGATGTTTTTCTTTCGTTTGAAGGTTCAGTAATGTCATCAGAGCACATACCCGACTAGAGTCAAGATACAGTAATAGCTCTGGAGGATCTTATGATGATGACAAAAGTAAGTTCTGTTCAATTTAAAGAAATTTCTGGTGTTTTRGTTGGAGAGGAAAACATTCAAATAGCCAGCAGAGGCTCTCTGTTTAAATTCTGTATAAACAATAACATAGCATCACCATACAGGGAGTGTTCTTGTTTTACCTTCTTCTGAAGAATAATTTAATTAATTTGCTTTATCTAATCTGGGTTCAGCCAAACACATTTGAAGGCCAGAGAACTTTCCAGAAAGCAGCAGCAGAGAATCCTCCAGAGAGTAACACCTTGGGCCTTTCATACCTGGCAAGGCAAAAGACTTGTAAGAGCTTTAGAGCAAATGCTTTGGGTTGTGCCATTTGGCAGTATATCCCTCTGGGTCAAGTGCTGTTATATGAGCATGAAAAGATATTCAGGAGTTTCCAAATATGAGATCTTATCTCCTCATTCGCTTTTGTCTGCTCTCTGCAAACGATTTCTGGCTACACTGTGTGAACATGTCTTAGAGGGTTGATGGGGATGCTGAGCATCCTTCATGTTCTTTACCTGTTTCTGCTAAATGGGCTACTAATGGGCACCTGGTGCTCAGCAGAGATTCCAAAGAAAACCAATGGTACTGTTCAATAAGAGTGTAAAATTGAGGAGTTGGATGGTTTGACTTATTTTGAGTGAATTGTAAGGAAGACAATTTACAGATTTTGGTTAGGACCTAAACAAATGTAAGAAAGGCAAGAACTTGCTATTGACTTTCATCTCTGGCTTATTAAAACCAGGTCAAGTAATACATAGTATATATATAGATTAAGTAACATATATTAAGTAATATATATCTTGATTTGGTTGTTACAGACATCATTTTAGAACATTATTTTGACATAAAAAGTAAAGATGTTATGTATTCTTTAATCCAAGTAATTTTTAGCAGTACTCTTCCACAAATACAAACACGGTAAAATACAACACAATAGGACAATTTGATGTACATCAACAACTATAGTTCATGATTATGAAGCACAATATTGATAAAATATTGTGTATGTACAGCCTCCAGTGTTCAAATACACAAAAAAGTGTGCAACATTTTAAACTCAGTGGGGTTTAGTACACGTGTCTTGGATTGTCTGTGTCTTTCTAGGGCTGCAGCTACTTAAAATGTTTCACCAGATGTTAATTGAAGTACTGGCACTAATCTGATCTGTATGAACAATCTTTCAAAACAGAACAATGTTTATATTATCAAAACAGCCTTCACAAATATCTGGTTTTGACAAGAGCTTAGATAAAAGGTTAAAAAATACTGACATTTTCTTTGCTCTTTTGGCATGTCTCCTCCAGCCAGTGCCCATATTTTTTTTCCTGCCTGTACCTGCAAGCTTTATAGTGCCATGAATATTTATGCAAAGTGTGCTTCTCACAGGGGGATCCTGTAGCAAATAAATGAATACCTAGATAGAAAATACGATGTATTTTACTTAGCTACTGAAATTTATATGGAATTCTAATAGAGAAGAGTAATTCTTACACCTCTTGTCATTCTACAAGATACGTAATGCAACTTTCATTAGGAAAGCACAACTCGCTACCTCTGACAGGCAGTGCAGGCTGTGAAGGATTTGGTGGTGTGGCTTCTCCCCTCTCTCCAGTCTGCTTGAACATACATGTATTGTTGAGGATATAAATGGGGAACATAGCTCTGCATCACAGAATTCTAGGTCTTGAAATGAACTTCATGAAGATGTGTTCTGTGAAACACTTAAATTGGTAGAAATAAGTAGTTCCTGTGCAGTGCTTTTTCTGTGAAAAGCATCTGGCAAACAGTATCTGGTTAATCCTCAGAAGAAGAATGCGTGAAAGTGCTGTACTTTGCTACATTATTAAGTCCGTTTATTCTTCCTTATCTGTAACTAATCAATCATCCTCCAGAGGATTTAAGTAGAGGTCTAAATCATACAAATACAAATACAAAGTATTCCTTAAAACACTCACAAATGGTAGTTATAAAATTTGACAATCTACAAATAATTGGAGGAGCAGCTACTGCATTGAAGCTCTCCAGAAAATGTGGAAATCTGAAGATGTTTTTCCAGAACTGAAAGGTGATATGCATTAGAAAAAGGCAGTTCTGATACTTTTGTAGGCATCAAAACAGTTTTGTGTCCCATGGGAAAGTGGACAAGCCTCAGATATGCGCTGTTAAAAAAAAAACAAAAAAAAAAAAACAAAAAAACCAACACCAAAACTGTACAGTGCTGAGAGTTTCAAGTTTACCTAAAATACAAAAACATAACAAAACAAATAAGCAAATATGCAAACCAAGACACAAAAGGAAGAAACAGAACAAAAAATAACACTCATTGAAACTTCATAAAGGGCAATGTTGGAATGTACATCAAAAACGGATCTGGGAAGGATACTGTCCATGGCAGCATAATGCAGACCTCAGAAATAAAAACTGACCAGTGGGAGCATTGAGAGGAATGAAAGGGAACAAAATACAGAAGAGATGAACAAAACTGCGCAGCTGAGGCAAGACAGAAAGTGGTGGAAGAATAATTTACTTGACCCACATCATTGCAGATAAACAGGTGGAAGAAAAAACCTCAGTGCTCATTAACAAACAACAGCTGTCATGCTAAAGCAAACTTAAATACATATTTGAGAAATTCAAGGTATAATTCATCCACGTTGAAAGAAAATTATCCTGAAGGTGTTTTTTTTGTTCCTTATGTCTCCTTTCTAATTCAGGATATTTAACTTCTGCCTTTGTAGCATTGCTTAGCAGGGCACTGGTGAGGTGTTGCAAGAATGTGTCACTGTTACACTGCTCCTTGCAGCAGATGGCTTCTGACAGCAGCTTTGTTGACTGAACTTTTCCCTCGTTTTTGAAGAGAAACTCTGCTGCTTGGTGCATTGTGGATCTGGATCCAAAGCTACTAAGTGACAGCAGGGATTCAGCTGCCGATCCTACCGTTCAGTGCTGTCTGCCTGGAATCTCTTTAAATTTCCAGCAGCATGAAAGAGGGATTAAAAATGCATCACTTGTGATTGAACACAGGAATTTGCAAACCTCATGGCATCTTATCACATTATTCCAAACAGCTGAACTCATATGTTAGCATAAAATCTATTTTAGTATTTCTCGAAAATGGGTAACCAGGCTGGAGTTGTATGCACTTTTTTTAATGCTTTTCCATGCAGATGATCCTGTTTCTCCATATACAAGCTGGTTATTGAATATTGTTGAAACCAAACAGCCACATCCCCTGCCCATGCCTTACAATGGAGGATGTTGGGCACCACTTGTGGACTATCTCCCAGAAACCATCACACCTCGGGGACCCCTTCATAGGTGAGCAGTTTCTCATTCTGACATTTCAGACAGTGAGATGCTTCCTCTCAGCTGTTGACCAACACCTATCCAACTGTGTAACCACTCAGAACATCTGAAAATCATACATTCTATTTCTTCTGGTTTCCAGTGCAAAAATCAGCATGCAATGAAAGCTCAAAATTCTACCAGATTTCTACCATAAAGCCTATTTACAATGTAGGACATCACTTACAAGAATAAGATTGATGAAACAGCTGAAACAGAAAAAGAACATTTCTTTTTCCCAGGCCTCTGTGCCTGTTATTCATGGCACTTTGATCTTTTATTCTAACTAGGCCATACATATTCTGAAATTCCTCTTTTACATTATTTGTATTGACAACAATAGATTTTTTAAGTAATGGGTACTTACTTGCTTGATACTGGAGCTAAGATGCTTCAGCATCAATCATGCCGAGAATATTATTTATAGATTGTGTTTTTCTTCAGAAATAGGTATCCTGTTTCTGCTTTTCCATTTCCCATTTGAAACTGAATCTGTGGTTTAACTTCCAGGTGCAATATTGCTGTTATCTTCATGACTGAGATGGTAGTGGATCACAGTGTGAGAGAAGATTGGGCTCTTCACCTCCCGTTATTGCTACATGCTCTCTTTTTAGGTAAGACCAACAGAACAAGAAACAAAGTATAAATGTACTCCTGTCCTTTTGCTTTAGTTTTGCTGAAGATGTAGAACTGTGTTTGTTACAGTTTGATTATGATTTCATTCCTCCACCCTAAAAGCAAAAGCCCAAGGCARTTGCAGTCTGTAAATTGGTCTCAAAACTTTTGAATATTTTGGCCAATTTCACCCAAATTCGAGAGGTGTGTAGAAATTTGAAGATGATTTACTTCCTAAAATATGTCTAAAATGCGTGGCATGGCCCCCTGCAAGAAGAGCAGGTGAAACTCATGACTTTGTCCGTCTTGGTTTGTGATGACAGTCTATACATTCCATGGGATGTGGACTACACACATCTGTGCTGTCTTGCCCTGACCAGAGAGAGCCAGGATTACTGTACTGCAGAAGTAGTGGAGGTAGGGCAGAGACCACTGRGAAGCAAAGCTTCATTAATTGTGATGCTAATGAAGTACATTATCATCAGTGTGTTCCCTTACTTACCTGAGCATTGAGGCACAGCTTTTCCCCCACTGTTATGTCTGTTCCTGACTGTGTCACAGTTCATCTGCAGGGGGTTACCTTCCTTGTCCTGCCATTTAACATTACGGAAAGTGAGTGGCCTAATTTTTTTAGCAAACAAGGTTATTTAGTATTATAAAGCCATTTCCTAACCTTCATGGTTGAGGAATAATAGTGTTCACAAATAAAAACAGCCAGGCAGTTGTGAAACAAATTTATTATAACTGAGATCACAGTTATAATAAATAACAATTCACTTTTCATTCCGTCACCATAGTTGCCACTAAGTCTATTCACGGTCAGTCTGGGAAGAGTTTGCTGAACAGCGGGAAAAAGGAGATTAAATTGGGGTGTTATAGCACMGTGGTAAAATACTAAAATACTTTGTTCTCCTTTACTGCTATTCTGTTGCCAACTGTTCTGTTGAAAATTCTTTGATTAAATAGGGTTTTGTATATCAGTACATTGATTTCACAAACTTTTAATGAAACTCAGGACTAACAAAGCAGGGTTGTGTTTGATGAGACTCCCAGAGTCAGTTTCAATGTGATATTTCACATATATTCATCCCTTAAAATTTGCTTTGTGGCTGCCCGTGACAACTTCTTCATTTTTTTGTCTATTTCTATGAACTTTCTTAGTGTAAGAGGGAGCTGAAAGATAACTGGGTAATTTTATGGATCAAATCAATAGCATTAAMTGATCAAACAATTTACTATGATTTATAACAAGTGTGAGAAGACTAGTGCTTACACTTAGAAACTGTCACAAGAATGAATGAATAACTTAAGAAGGAGTAGCACACARCATCATGATCACTTCAGTTAAGACAGCTTTAAGGAGCCATCAGGGAGCCATGCAAACAAACATACGCATAAACAGAGTTACAATAGAAGTAATCCATTATAAAAATACCTTTAGTTATTTGCACAGTAAGGTTTCAACACTAAAGGTTTTTAATAAGAAATAAATAGAAATTTATTGATACCATTTGAGACAATCCCTTGGTTGAAAACTCTCAATTTTAAAATGTGAAATTAAAGTTAAATGTGTCTGGTTTAGCAGTAACTAAAGTGAGATCACAGCTTTCAGGTTACAAATTGAGTTTTATACCTCCTGTGGAAAATTCTTCCACATAGAGCTCTTGTGATGTTGTAAGGAAGTTATGCTACACATTAGCCAAAGGTATGAATGTAATTAAAAATTGAGTATTGCTGTCCTGTTGGAGTGTGAGCAGGCAGATGCATGTGACTGAAAAGCAAACTAGAAACTAGTATGGTGGCTAGCTGGAGAGCTGGTACCCTTTCATTTATTGGGAGGAGGGAGAAAATGTTAAAATGAAATAATTTTGCAACACGTATGTGTTTGATGGGCTTTTGAGTGGTTTTTAGTACTGTTGGTGAAGTCAGACAAGCAGACTGCTGGTTTGGACTTGTCTGTCTCTTTTGCAACCAGTGTGAAATGAGTTGAACAGCTAGACTCCTTTCCCATGGAAATGTGTCCATGTCACAGAAGCTTACCCTCCTTGGAATTCCTCCAGTTTAAAGCACTGGACAAGCACAAAGACTGAACTGTCCTAGTTAGCAGATCTGTGCCAATGCTTTCATACAATCTTGGGGTTTAATAAAATTTCAGCTACAAGTGTTGCCAATATAGAAGTTATTTTCAACTAAAATAACTTTTTATTTTCAACTAAAATAACTTTCTATTTTTTCAGCTGTATGTTAAAACAAGGGAGGATGGGTTCATTCATTCATCTCCTGGCAGCTGGAAGTAAATGGAGACAGGAGAGTAGGAGCAGAAACCTTAAGAAGCCTAAAAAGAGATGGGTAGGATGGCCTCAGCTCTTTTGGAGGAGGCTGTTGGGAGATGAGTAAGGCCAAGGGTCACAGGACCTCCAAAGAATTGCCCTGAGGAGCCAAAGGCACAGCGTTCAGACTGTGGCAGTACGAGCATGGTTGCAGGCCAGACAAGAACCAGCATGACTGAAGTGTATCAGAAAACTCCTGACTTGAAAGATCTGCTGGCTGCTGCCACACAGAGTAATGAAGTAGCTGCTTTTTTAAAGAGGAATATATCCTGAGAAGAGAGGAGTTGAAGAAGAAAAAATTAACTTTTTCCACACCAAAACTACTCCTAAAGAGAAGAAAGTATTTTTAAATATACTTCAAGAAACTTCAAAGTACTGAGATTCAAAAAGAGATTACTAAAACATAGTGCAGAAATATCTGTTTTCTTTTTATTTGTAATTTGTGAAGTATTAAGGCTGTTTTAAAAGCTTACAGACAGCAGTAGTGTAAACCAAAACAGTCTTTCAGTGCTAGACCTTCAGTTTGAGTGCTACATCCTGAGTTGAGGGCTAATTTCTCATGCTGCTCACTGGTAGTTGAAGTTATTTTTCATGTGATTTTTCTGTCAGTTCCTGTCTTAATAAATTAGTATCTGACTTTTACAGTTTCTTTCTAAATCTGATGTCTGCACAAGAAAGCCAGATACTGTGGGAAGCAATGTAATTAAAACCATCATTTKTAAAGGTTTTCCAAACCTGTCAAATTAACACTGCAGTGAGGGAGAATGCTTAAAGCTGTATTACCATTCACTGTACCTTTCTATGGGACCTCACACTGGAAACTAAATATACACATTCATTTAAGTAASAGCACTGGTGACTGTGTCTGGAAATACTACATCTTTTTATGGTTTATTTGCACTGTTGTTGTGAACTGCCTTGGAATTTTTGCTATTTCTGGAATGTGAACTTGTTTGTTATTACTTCATGTTCAGAGATTGATGTAACCTTTTCGTTTAGGTCTTGACCATTACCGCCCAGAGGTCTTTGAACACAGTAAAAAGTTACTTCTTCACCTTTTGATTGCATTGTCTTGCAATAACAACTATCAAGCGATTGCCTCAGTGCTTCTTCAGACCAGAGAGATGAATGAGACCAAGACTCTGACAATACAACCAGCATACTTACCTGAATATCTTTACACAGGTAATGTAGCCAGAAAAGGAACACTGTATCATACTGACAGGTTTTGATAAATCAAAGTAATGAAGTTGCAAATATGAATGATTCTCATTAACATTAATTCCACTACCCTAGAGATGCATGCAATTTATTACTAGATAACTTTTCAGGAAAGTGAGAAAGTTATCTGATGTAAGACAAAATGTGTAAAGTGATATTTTAAAATTAATAGGGCTAATAACTTCCCGATTCCCCCCTCAGGGAGCTAGGGCTACTTTAAATGAGACCAATCATTCCTCAACCTTAAGAAGAAGTGAATAAATAATTCCAATAATTCTAGAAAGAGCAGCAAGAATGTGCAGCTCAGATTTTCCATTATTAAGTTAAATTTCGCATGATGCACACCCTCCTTTATATCACAGATACACTTAATTTCTGTCCTGAAATCTATTTCTACATTAAGAGGTTTACTTCAGACCTCTGCTGAAGTCAATGTTCTATCTCTTTTAACAATTTACCTGGTTTTAAGGTGTTGGTTGGGAGCAGTTTGTAGAAAGCTGCTGGTTAGTTTTACTGTTGTCATATAATATTAATAAAAGCAAGTGTACTTTTGAGTTTTGAAAGAATCGCAGAGCCAATATAGAGTTATAGATGTAAGATTAGTTGTCTGGAAGAGGGTGAGGAACATTACCATACAGTGAAAAGTAAAGATTCTCAAATTAGTGGCATTTCCATTGTTCTTTAGGAAGTCATAAGTAATTTGGCTTTGTGAGGCCTATTACTTGATAACTTAATTTCTTTTTTTTTTTGAGACACAACAATATTATTTTAAAGTAATGAGCAGAAAGGATAGGTATTTTAGATTGTTGAATTATTTAGGCAAAAAAAATCATTCTGAATAACTTTTGTGAAAAATTATCTCACATTAATTTCTTGTATTGAGTTGGGTGGATTTTTTCCCAGTGCATCTTTATGGATTATTAAATACAATTCTATTTAAAGAATAAAATTCTTACATTAAAATGAAATTACTGCTTTTCTGCCAAAGCAAAAAACTGTTTTCATTCTTGTCTGAAAAATGTAATTGGTACCCTGAGTCTGGTCCTCTGAAGTTCAAGAAGTTACCAAGACTTGATATTTTGGACTTTTTTTAGCAGCTAATATAAAGAGTGACAGTGTGGGTGAGCAGCTGTAGCAAAGAATCCTGACTGAAAATACTTCAACCCTGATTTGTTCCATATAATGTCAGGCAACTAAACTGAGAGTCTTCTGATCTGCAGTGGATTTTGTCCTGCTCCCATTTTTCACACAAGGCCATTCTTTTCTGTTGTAGTCTAACATGACTAGAAGTCTAACCTTGAGAAAACAGCTCTTCGTTTCTAATTTTAACTCTGAAACTGTGGCAAGATTTTGATCTAGCAGAACTTTTATTCATGTTTCATCCTAATGCTGAAAATATTTYGTATAACTACTGCAGTGGTTAGTTACTAAAGGTGTTGAACAGAAGCCTTGAACATTTGTATCTTGATTTTCATTACATTTGTAAAATTACGACAGCATAACTGTCCCAAAAATTCCATCCTGCAGTTTTTTTCCACATCAGATTAGCCCAGAGAAGTGAACTGTGCATGCACTTCCCCAACTTCTAAATTCACTTTATGAAAAATCCTACTTCTGAATGTAAAATGCCATAGAACATTTGTTTTCCAAGTACTGTTGTCCTTGTGCAGCAAAAAAAGAAATAGAAATCTTGACTTTGATTTGATGTTTTTATTTTATACTGGATTCTACACATTTAGAAACTAAGTACCATATTCATTCCCATCAGCATTTGAGGGTTGTTGTATTCTACAGGTGTTCCCCACATTTTCCAGCGGAAAGTTTCGGCTACTGACTCTGGAAAGAGCAGCTTGGCAGACACTTCCATCTGCAAAGCTGGCCTAGCAGTGCATTTCACCTTTATCTCCTCCCTTTTGGCTGGCAGGTGGCTTTGACTTTCTGCGGGAATACCAGTCATCCCCGGTGCCAGACTCTGGCTTGAGCTCCAGCTCCACCTCCTCCAGTGTCAGTCTGGGAGGCAGCAGTGGAAATCTGCCACAGATTACACAAGAAGCTGAGGACATGGACACTGCTGCTGAATCAGATGAGAAAGCAAACAAATTAATTGAGTACCTGACAACCAGGTAATGGAGATGAGCAGAGGATGTGTTTGTGCTCAAAATGCATACTTTTATGTAGCAACTTAAAGGAAAATGGCTGAGCTTTAATAGTAATTACAGACTCCCATTTCTCTTTTATCGATACATTTCTATTGATACTCACAGTAAYTGGTAGGTACTTAAAAGCATTGAAGTGTCAGGAAAAAACAGAAAAAAGTCTTAATGGAAGTCTTGACAGAAATAAAATGTTTAATTGACCGATGGTTTTATGTTCAGCAAATAACTGATAAAAGAAGACAGCTTTATGATTATAAAATAAGATATAAAGTGTACAGGACATAGTAAACAACCATAGTGAAACTAATATTAACTACCAACTAGAGCCAGCAGATCCTAGGCACAATTTTAAATTGAAAAACTGAGGTTTGTGCTGCTCTCTACACAACATAGCTTGTATTTTAAAATACAGCATAGGAATATTTATTTAATTATACTTAAAATTCTGTTCAGTTGCATGTTTTCGAGGTCACAGCCCTGGAAATATCTTTGTGCCTGTACAGATTATATATTTTAACTGATTATGTGTATTTCAGATAACTCAAAGAAATTTTGCATTTTGTTATGTATTTCTTTAAGGGCATTTGGTCCACTTTGGTGCCATGAAGATATCACTCCCAAAAATCAAAACACCAAGAGTGCTGAACAGCTCACTAATTTTCTCCRCCATGTTGTGTCTGTCTTTAAAGATTCCAAGTCAGGTAGTAAATATTTTCCTTTCATACCTAAAAAAATACTCCCTCATGGCCATACTWAATGTTTATCCTGTGACATAGTAGATCTGCTTAAGCAGAAGCACAATAAATGTCTTAAGAAGGATGTATGACATACAAAATAATTGCTTTAAAACAGTCATGTTAGATTAAACTGTAGCTAAATGTTGAATTGACTGTTTCTTCAAAGCTGTTGGTAGAAAGCCTTCTGATTGATTCTGCCAGATAAAATCTCCTCTTCTCTGTCCTGTTGGTAAAATACAACACAGCTACTAAGTAAATGTACTTTGTTAAATTTCTTCTGGCAGTAATAGTTTAGTTTTCATTTATTATGTTTTTAGAACTTAGGAAATGTGCTGATTGTATTTTGAAAACCAACACAGACACTAATTAAATATCTTCCAAGATCAAAGCAGAATGCAGCATCAGTGTTTGCATGAAAGATCTTATCCAAAGCCTTCTGAAGCTAATAGAAAGACTCCTAATGAAACTTGGCTTTAGGTTTGGGAGTTTTCAGGAGTTACCATTGCTGCCAGCAAGAATAGGGGATGGCTTGAAAGTCTGTCCAGGAGTTGCTAAAAAAAAATCTGGTTGTTAATTTCATACTCAGAATTTTATTTTGCAGTTGAATTTCTTGCATTCTCTGCAAAATAGCTGTAAAATTCTCCAAAGCACAGACATTTCTGCATCTCCATTTCTCACAGGGTTTGCATCRTACACTAATGAGCACATCCTCCTCAGAGAGTAGGTTCAGCCTGTTTATGACCCACAGTAAAGTCTGTAATAAGAAAGGGGGAAAAAGAATTGACGTTCTCTTCTTTTGCTTAGGTTTTCACTTGGAGCAGCATCTGAGTGAAGTTGCTTTACAAACAGCTCTTTCAAGCTCTTCCAGACATTATGCTGGTCGCTCTTTCCAGATATTCAGGGCCCTAAAGCAGCCCCTTTCTGCACATGCGTTGTCTGATCTCCTGTCAAGACTGGTGGAAGTTATTGGCGAGCATGGAGATGAGATTCAGGTATGAATGTGTAAATAACGCTTCTTTGTGCTGTTAATTCAGTGCATACTTAATTTAAAATTACCATTTTAACAAGGTGTTCTGGAGTCAAGTGATGAAGAWTAAAATGTAGCCTTAGAAAAGGTTACTTCTGAGTTTGCTGAATTCATATCTACCTTATCTAAGCCTTCATCAGGCTGTGGCAATCTTACATAGCTCTAAACAGAACAACTAAGAAAACATGTCACTCAAATGAAATCTTCATGATGCCCATTTTATCCTTTTTCAACTTCATTAATTTGGACTTAAGGAATCCATCATTGTGTGGTGAGGTAATCTCACAACATGAAGTAGACACCATCTCATTCCTCATGTTAAAATGTTAACATCTTTTGGAATAAAGAAATCTGCACCATCCATAAAGCTTACATGGACTTATTTTGATCCAGACCTTTCACTGCACTACGATGTTCACTCTGTTTAGCTAAACAGACTGAAATTTTACAAACAGATACTATTTATTGCAAGATTCAAGACTTAGCAAAGAGAAATGCTAGCTCTTAGTAAGAAATAGACTGACATGGCCTCCATATTTTACTTAGGTAATGAAACTGCCACAAGATGACAGTAATACTCTGTCACAACTGCTTGTGTAGAAGTAAATCAGTGACCTGCAAGTCAGAGGTTCAGTGTGCCATTACCAATCCCTTGATGAGATATGTGCCCTTCTTGCATACCTTCATAGATCATTCAGAGGCAGAAAATAAAACACACTTGTAGTGACATTCTAATGTTCAGGGCAGTGGCTGTTGGCTGTGATGTGAATGCTGATCTTTTTTTAGGAGAAATTACAGGTTTTCCATAGGTGCCTGTTCCTTTTATGAACTGAAGAGTTTTAAATGCTACTTTTTAAAATGTCTTTGTTAAAATGCTTAACATCCTGCCTTGATAGGGGTATGTAATGGAGGCACTGCTTACTTTGGAAGCTGCAGTGGATAATCTGTCTGACTATTTGAAGAACAGTGATCTTCTGACGGTGTTATCACGGTAAGAACCTGTTCTCCTAACTGTGATTTTGTCACTGTTTCATGACATTAAGTATTCAATTCTGCAGCCTAACAGCAAAAATAATTTTTATAAGACTGAGCTCATTTGTAACTGTCCGAGAACCAGACTATAAGCGCATTTCAGCCAAATTTTGCCATCGTTGAAATAATGTTGATGCAACGAATAAAACTTTACAATGTGTTGTAAATTCTACCATGCTGTCACTTGTCTGTATCATACTTTGCCATCCTTTAAAATACTGTATTTTTGCACCTTTATATCATATCCTTGAAAACGTATTTGGGAAGGAATATGGGTTTTGTAATACTGGTTTCATACACGTCATCCTCAGGTGACATATTCCCCGAGAAATAAATGATCATGGTTTGTTCTCCTCAATCAAACCAGGGAGGATTTTGTCCCATGCAGACATGGATTTTGCTTGATGCGTAGATCATCCTTATGAAACTCTTGGCCTGAAAGTAGACTTTTGTGCTTGGATGGAAGTTGCAGGCTCCTTCTGTAGCATGARTGTTGATAGTACTGAGGGAGATTAATGTCTATCTAACTCCTACTAGTAACAACAGAATATGTAACATTTTTTTAAAATATTTATGCTTTACATGCAACACAAAAGTACAAGTGCTATCATTCCTGAAGCTAGCAAGCAGTGTGCTATGCCGTGGCAGAGCACAAGGCAGAGTAGAGCAGGGAAAAGATGCTTCTACTTTCTAAACTAAGAGCTGTTTATCTTTCCTTAGTGCACATTTCAGCAAAGAGCAAGATGGAACAAAGAATAGAAAATACTCCAGAATGTAGTGGGATGCAGTGTGCTTTGTCCTTGATTCTAGGATAGGATTCTCTTCACGTGCTATAGACAGTAGAGCCTCATAGTATATGAGGCAGGAATGGGATCAGAGAGTCAGGAATTAGCTGTTCTCCAGCAAACGTCCCTTGTGTGTATCAACACAGAGTGTTCATCTGTACAGATAATTGATAGGTATTGTCTGGATCACCACATGGTACTCCATGAGGAGGCATTAGTCATTGAAATAGAAAAACCTACGCTTTCTGTAAACCATCTTGAAGAGATCTTAGGATACAGGCAGGGGAGAATGCAATAACAACCAAATTTCTRAAGGGCCTGTACTGACAAGAGCCTGGACAACCACGTGACCGGTTTCTTGAGGATAACATGGTATATTTGTGGTTCTGCTTTTTTCTGTTTTTTCTGCCCATAGTTCTCACATTACCCAGTAAGCAACTGTGTGTTTGCCTGCCAGCTGTGCTGAGTTCAGGGCTTGCTCCATTGATGTTGGTATTTTAAAGACCAAAGTTGTTTTTGGTTCTGCTACTGTCCAGTTGGGAATTGCTATAAGTCACTTCACAGCTGTGTATTTCTTATCCCCATGTTATTCTTGCCTATTGACTGTAGCTACACCGGCTTTGGTTTGGTGCAGTGCCATGTGAATCTCATTTCTGTCATGTCTGTGGTGCTGGGTCTGTCTTCTGGAAAAAAGAAGGCAGACTGCAACAGATGGTTTGATGTTTGACTTTTCCTATTTAAATATTTATTTACAGTTCGATAAATGCTTGTCTCCAATGTGTAGCCTTTCAAGTTCTGCATTCACACATTGTAATGGATGTTATGTATCTTGGCTTCAGCTCATCTTCACCAGATTTGACATCAAACACTAAACTGACTGCAAAYCGAAAGAGCACAGGGCAGCTGAATGTGAATCCTGCAAGTGGTAACACAGCCACTGCTGAACGTAGCAGACACCAGAGGAGCTTCTCTGTACCCAAAAAGTTTGGAGATGTGGACAAGTCCTCAGACCCACCACGCAGTGCCACACTAGACAGGATTCAAGCATGCACCCAGCAAGGCCTGTCCTCCAAAACAAGAAGTTCGTCCTCTCTAAAGGACAGTCTCACTGATCCATCCCATATTAACAATCCAACCAACCTACTGGCCACCATATTCTGGGTTGCTGTGGCTTTGATGGAATCRGATTTTGAGTTTGAGTACCTAATGGCATTGCGGTTGCTGAATAAACTCCTGGCTCATTTGCCACTGGATAAAGCTGAAAACCGGGAGAAGTTAGAAAAGCTGCAAGGGCAGCTGAAATGGGCAGATTTCTCAGGACTTCAGCAGCTGCTCCTGAAAGGATTCACCTCCCTTACTACCACTGATCTCACACTCCAGCTCTTCAGTTTGCTGACACCAGTGTCTCGAATATCCATGGTGGACTCCTCTCAAGCTATAGGTAAAACCATTATGCTTTCCTCTCTTTCAGTTTCTGTTGCATTGACATTTTTTGACAGAGCTCATTCAGCTATTCAGCAAAACCAAAATGGCATATTTTTTTTTCTCTTTGAATGTAGAATAATGTACTTTTGCTTTGAGCTGAGTTGGCTTTTTTTGAAATTTCCTAGAAATAATAACTTGTTTCTAGAACATGAATCTATTGCACAATACAACTTTGGAGGAGAGAAATCGTATATTTAGCATTTAATTTTTAGGGCTTAGCAGCATGTAAAGTTTCTGAGTGCTGACAAACACATAAGGAGATACTGTCAAATCTTCTATAACCTATTCTGGTGAGTTTTTCTGTTGAACTGTTATCATACTATGTCAAACTGCTTGATTTTTAATTAGTATTTAATGGAATTTCCTCTAAAAGTATAAGAATCAGAAACTCTTGTACACTCTAGATAAACTACAAAAGCACTATAGTGAGTGAGGAGAGAGGTCTGGGTTATAGTGAAATAAGGTAACATTTTGAAATTCCCCATTATTTAGAGGAGTGACCACTTCTTAATTTTACTTCTTGAAGAGAGTTTTTGCATTGTTAAACATTTTTACTCCTCACYTTCAGTCAGAAACACAGATGCCAAGACAACTGTCTAGGCTTCTAAACTAAGTCATAACAAGCCTAGACACAGAGTAATGGGTTGAATGCCATTAACAGCCTGCCCATATCTGAGCACCTGTGTGGTGCCTGTGTTCCAGACTTTGGTTGGGCAATTCACACATAGGCTGTGACAGTACCATCATGAGGTATCTTTCTTTTCCCCTGAATATAGAGGAAGAGTATGGAAATCGTGATCCTAATTTCAGCAGCTTGGTTAATTGTGTAGAATGAAAGGGAATGAATGGTTAGAAAATTATTTTCATAGAACCAATTCTTTCTTTACAAAAAACAGATTGTGTGCAGATACAATTACTTGACTTCTGAGCTCCCACCTGAGCTGTAACAGCTTCTGTTACAGCTCCCTCTTACAGCTGCTGCCTGTATTTCATCAAACTACCTTGATCCATGAGTTGGTGCAAAAGAGGTGAATCCCAGTTCCAGACAGCACCTAGGCTAATTACAGCACCTRGAACTTGGTGTAGGAACCATCTCCTAGCTTGAAAAGTACCCACTCATCTGTTACATCAGGATTGTGGTTCACTGTTATTACCTTGAACAGTACAAAACAATGGAAGCTATGCCTGGCAGCCGACCAAAACAGTTGTTTATTAATCAATACTCACTGAATTTCTTCTTGTGTTTGAGCAGCTGTAGGGAAAATGCCACTGGTTAAGCCTGTCAATAACCCAGTTAAGTGGTAAATATGGAAATGATCCCCAATAGGAATGTGCAGTAGTGTTTGCAGAAATAGGCTCATGCTTTGCAAGAGGTTTTTTTTGCCTAAATGATATACTGGATTTTCAAATTAAGGCCCCTTTTAAGACAAATGTGGTATGGCCAGTGGTGTGAGCAACTTGGCAGGGTCTCTGTGAATTTATGGCTAATCTAATATTGAAACTGTGAAATCCCATGAAATACCAGCTTAGAGATCACTATGGCTCTTGCTGTTCAAAATATACATTTTGTTCTGTATTTTCCCATTCTAGGATTTCCACTGAATGTTTTGTGTCTCCTGCCCCATTTGATTCAGCATTTTGACAGCCCAAACCAGTTTTGTAAAGATATAGCTGAAAGGATTGCTCAGGTATCAAAATCATTTGCTGTTTTGTGTATCTCCAAAACCTGTAAATGCAGTTGCCTTATTTTTGATACATGTTGACATTTGTGTTTAATTAGGTTTGTTTGGAGGAGAAAAATCCCAAGCTATCAAATCTTGCCCATGTCATGACCCTTTATAAAACACACAGCTACACAAGGGACTGTGCTACCTGGGTAAATGTGGTTTGCCGTTACCTTCATGAAGCATTTGCTGACATTACTTTGAATATGGTTACGTATTTGGCTGAGGTAAGTTTTCAAAAACTTCTTGCTGTTCTAACTCTTCTCTTGCCCAACAGCCCAAAGAGATGAAGTGTGCCAGCAAATTACTGGGAGCTCTGCATCTGTTATTTATAATTAAAAATTAAAAGCAGAAATTGGCAGGAAAAAGCAGAGTTACTTTAAAAATCAATGTTGAACATTAAAATAAAAGTTGATACATCTTAAAACAGATTTCTTCATCAGCCAGTTAGATTTTCCAGAGTGAAAGTGAGAGGAAATTGAATGGYTTTTAGATTCCATTGAGGAAAATCAGACCAACTCCACAAGGAGTTTAGCAGCATAATAAGACATCACCTGCTATATAAGGATCTGGTTCTTGATACAAATTTGYATGCATACCTCTAATAGTGAATGGTATCATCTTGCTGCAAAGATTTTCCCGTGTTCATTGCTTTCTCCTAACATTTTGCATGTGTGGAGCATGGTGCTGATTCGGTGTTGTTATAGGGGATCCAAGGTTCAGTTCCATTCTTCAGCACAGCTGATTGTCATTCTGCCTCCTGTGTCACATCAGTATCAGGGCAACATTTTCTTTTAAGGATCTCAGATTTAGCCCTTCCTTGTTGAGTTGCCTTCAGTCYCCCCTCTTATGCAGGGAGAAGACAGTTCTGTATTCACAGAATCACATAACCATTTAGGCTTGAAGAGACCTTGAAGTTCATCAAGTCCAGCCCTAAACCTAACACTGCCAAGACCACCACTAAATCAGGTCCCTCAGTGCCACATCTACAYGTCTTTTAAATACCTCCCGGGATGGTGAGCCCACTCGCTTCCTGAGCAGCCTGTTCCAATGCTTGGCAACACTTTTCAAAAAGGAATTTTTCTTCATAGCCAATCTAATCTCTCCCTGACCTAACCTGAGGCCATTTCCTCTTATAATATCAATTGGAACTCTGGAAAAGAGTTCCCCCTCTCTACATAAATGAACTAGCTTCTGCCAAAGGATCTGTAAAAACTCCTTAGGCATCTCTGATCCTCKCTACTCACAGATTTTCAAGTGCTTGAAAGGTCAGGCACTGCTCCCACACTTACTTCAGAGCAAACTATGTCCTGCTACCTCAAGYTGCAATTCCTCACCTTGTTCACCCATGGAAGCTCTAAGTAAACAGTCACATATGATCTTAGCTCATGGTGGAAGCCATGACTCCCCTGTAGGGTGCTAAAACAAGACCTTGAGGCTTTTCAGTCTCTGGTCAAAGTTCCAAGACTCTGGAGAACTATTAGCTCCTCAAATGAAGAGCTCTTCATGACATTGAACCCTCCAGAGTCGAGTGTCTTCTTCACAGYAGAAGCTTGTATTGCTAATAAAAAAATGCCATAAAAACTGTATTTGTAATAAAGAAATGCTATAAAAGTGGAACTGTTTAAATTCTTTCTCCTTCGCTTTCCCAGCTTTAGAAAAGACTTTGCCCCTCTGTTTTCCCTCCAGCGCTCTGTGTACAGTCATGAGTACTGCAATATTCCCACAAAGGCTGTTGCTGGTGATCTCACACCCCATGGAATGGGTTTAGACATGCGCATGCAGACTCTTTTCTGTGCAGTTCCCCCTTGCTGTAGATTGGCACCACCTACTGTATCAACAGTGAGCCAGGCAGGTTTCTGACTGTAATTAAAACACATTCTTCATATAGCCCCATCAGCAGCAGGATGATAGCGTTGTAAGCACTGACTTCCTTTCTCTGTGTTTATATTGACTGCAGCTCTGTTGAGTCATGTCTGGAGAATATTTATATGGGCATAGAGTAGCTGCCAGTCTGGTGGAGTAGCAAGAGACAAGGAACCATCTTGTTCAGCTTGCTGTGGCCTTGAAATATTTTTTTCCAGCATTCAGAATGTTTCCTCTTCTTAATTGATCTCCAGACCAGAATAAATCATGTGCTCCTGTCTCGTATAACGCAGTGGGATACACTGTCAGTAGGTAAAGCCAAATAGGTTGACAGCCCAGCTGGGCAACGTGCACTTGCATGTTGTAGCCATACACAGCTTCAAGGGTCCTCATTCGGTCCCCAGCAATTGGGACAGAGGGAGATTATGAGACAGGCAGTGCTTAAAAATAACAAAGGAAATTGTATTGCAAGACCCTTCCAAACATAGGTGTAGCTTCAGAAGGAGATGTTGCAACACACATTAAGGCTGTGAAAACAAATGCTCTCAGCAGAAGTTTCAATTACTGCCATTTAGATAAAGCTTTGTATTTAACCTCTTTGATGGCAGGTTATTGAGGGGTATGATTCTAGCATAAAATAAGACATTCTGGTATTATCCAAAACTTACAGTGGCAAGTAGTGCTCCTTATTCAGTTTTACATAAGCTCCATTCATGAAAAAATTGTAATTTCTTCAAGAAATCTACTTGGGCATCTCAGTCTACAGATGGGGGAAAATCACTATTCAATAGTGCAGCAAAACTCTCACCTTCCRCGACCAAAATCAGATCAACATACAAAAACATCACTGAAAGCTTCAGTTTTGTGCTAGATTTTTGTGGAATAATTTTTAAAATTTAAAATTTATCATGAGTGCACACTCGTTCTAGGAACATATCTGAATTGACATGGGTTATGTTCCATGGGTTATGTCCAGGGTCATGCTTGAACTTAAGTAGGTAATGCGATTAATAGAAAAGGAACAAGAATCCATAGTACATAATATACTTACGGTAGACTTTTCCACTTCCTCCTAGTTAGATAAGGGATTGCTTATGATAGAAGCATAAGCATTCATAACATGTTCAAAACAAAGAGTCACTAGAAACCAAACCATCTGTATTGCAGGGGAAAGTATCCCTTATTTCAGACATTATCCCAGTAATGGCCTGTCTATCAGAGATGACTTTAGAAATGCCCTCTTTATTTCCTCAAAACATTTCTCTCCACACCCTCTGCCGTATTGGGAGGGGCAAAGAAAACTCTCCTCAGCAGTAGCATCCAGCAGCCCAGACAGCCCTTGAAAGAGAAGGCTCTCTGCTCCACTTAGTTCTGGATTAGTTGCTGCTTTAGGACGGGGGCAAATGTTGCTAATGCAGTGTGGATTCCTGAGCCCAGATAAGACCGCAGCAGTTACCACATGCTAACAAGAGAGGAATCCATAATTCTTCAAAGCAGGTCATATGTACCAGAGTAAAAAAACCTGCATTCTGAGGAGCAGTTGTGTTTCTTCTTACAAATACAATGGAAACTGTTGTCCTGGAATTCTCTTATCCAAATGATGTGTTACTACCACTGCATCTTGCTGCTGGTTTTGTTACTTCTGGCAGCAACAGACTTCATATCGTACCAAATGCATGTTGAAGTTGCTATTCTTTTTTTTTTAACTGAAATACTCTTTCTTATTTGAAATTCAGTGTGTATTTAAGTACACACTTGGTCTACCAACCACCACATATGTTGATATGAGCAAGTGAAAACTGACACAGTCCACAAATATGTCAAGTTTAAGGGCCAAGAGCTGTTTCAGTCTAAGAATTCTTTTGACAACAAATTTATGCAAACTATATATGCATAGTTTGTATACGTATATATGTGTATATATATATATATATATGTATACAATGGAAATCAGAAACGTTCAGAGATTAAGTTTCTGTAACAACTTTCTTAATATAATTCCTGTATTTTATAGATAAAATCCCTGTTATTTCCGAACAATTCCTTTCCCTGTCCCAAAAGGGATCATCTGATGTAACAGCCTCTGTCAGAGAATAAAAGAATTTTTCTGTCATCCAGATAGTTTCTTCTAATCCTACACTGAAATGGTATACTGGATGATGTGGTGGATCACATAAACTATTTGCAAACAAAGAATCAAACTTTCCATTGTAAGATCCTAATAGCAGGCAAGAAGAACTCAGTAACTCTGTTTTGCAGAAAACTTACTAAGCATATTTTCTCTCTCAGTAAAGGTATCTGAGGGGCTGAAGCAGGTTGCCATGCAGTACTTCTAATTTAAAAATTCTTACTGCCTATTTGTAGAGGAATAGATAAGCATAATGTGTTCCTTTTAGGGCRCTGTTAATGGACTTTGCTTGCTTTGTTTTATGAATCATTAATTGCTACTCACTTTTGCTGATGAAAGAAATGGGAAGGTACTTAGTGGGATAAGATAGGTTCCATTTTCCCTGGCATGAAGCATTCTCATTTATTGAAAGAAGCAGCCTTATCCTTCTAAAACCTTAGAAGGATATATTTAAAATTGCTGAAGTCCACTTGGGTAAGAGTTGAGATTTTTCTTTCACAGAAGACATGTGGCAGCTTAGAGTTTTTATAAGCAATTGTTTTCTAGATGCCAATACTCTAGTAGCCAATGTTAAAACTTTTTTGTCAGCCTCGATTGCATGGATGATGTCTAGTATTAAGGCTCTGGTAACTCCAGCAATAACATTTGATTGCCTCTGAAATTCCTGGAGTGGGACAGTGCCTGTTACCAGTGAAAGATCATGCTGCCTTCCAGGAAATTTTCAGCTGAGATATTCACACATACACAAATCATGGCTGTCTATATGCCTCTGGAATTGCTGTCACATATATGTATGAGCACAGTTTCATTTCCAAGGTTCATTGTAGTATTCTAGAACCTACACTGAAAATTCTGGGATTTAGATCAAGCCCTTCTTTGTGTTAATCTCTACAGTAAGACAGCCCAGGGACTCCACCTCCTCCTCAACAGAAAATGTTTCTTTGGCACTTCCAGCCAGTGAGCACTGGCAGTGAAGTATATTTGATAAATATTTATTGATGTCTGAATAGTAGTATTTTTGTTTCCTCAGCATGTTTTCTTTTTTCTCATTGAATCCCAGCAAATGTWGACATAAAAAGATACTTCCCTGTTTTTGTTGGATGTGCTTACCCAGTTTGAGTGTAAATTCTACTGACCAGTTTACTCAACTGCTGAATGTGTTTTCTGGATAAGTTAGGACAGGCATACATAAAGTGTAACAGGCTCCCAACTTAAACTGTTTTTTCACACCTGTATCATCATAAATTGTGAAACTATTGTAAAATGACATTGCAAAATTAGTGAGTGAAGAGCGATTAACAGTACAATTGGTATTTGTGAAACTAGTAGCTTTTTCTTTAAGAAGAAATTTCTCAAATTTAAGTTATATTCACTTTTTTTTTTTTTTTAACAGCTACTAGAAAAGGGCCTTCCCAGTATGCAACAATCCCTTTTACAGATGATCTACAGTCTTCTTAGTTATATGGACCTGTCAGCTATTCCTGTGAAACAGTTTAACATGGAAGTGCTAAAAACCATTGAAAAATATGTACAGGTAAATATTAACATAGGAATCTAATCTGGTGTTATATTAATATAGGAAATTAGCAGTATTTACTATGATAAATTGATTATCTTTATAAGAATTTAAGACTAGATTAGCAGGTAGGGCTGCAACTGTCTAGTGTAGGAAAAAGTTTTTAAACATCCTGATGCCTCAGAGCCTATGTGGGAAGGGCTAGGCTGCAGCCCTGTAGTACCTCAGAGCAATCTTAGTACCACACATAGCCTGAGTGACAATTCTTTAATTGTTAGCACGAGGGAGACGTGGCATAAGCACTTCCCTTCAGAGACCTCTGTACCTAATTCTTGACAAGTGAAAAATTCACGGGAGTATTAGGAATTCACAGGGGTAAAGAACCTGTGTCAAGTCACCTTTTTCATTTAACAGGGATTCTGCTATGTCCCTTATATTTATTTGTAGTGATTGAGACATTCAGGTAGGAGATTTTAAATCCTTTGCCAAGCTGGGTTTATCCACAGATCTCCCAGTCTGTGAGCTGGTTCCCTAACAAGGACACCTTAGCCAAGTCTTGGTCTCTGCTGTTGAAATTATTCTGCAAGACAAGTACCTTATCACTGGCCAAGAGAGAGAAAGAAGAGGGATAATCCTACATCTTAATTGTGTGGTAAATAATATCACTGCAAAAATGTAAATAATGTTGAATGTGTGTGAATCTTGTTTTCTGTTTGCTGAGTTAGTGTATCATTTCTAGAGCATTCACTGGAAAGAAGCCTTGAATATCCTGAAATTGGTGGTTTCTCGTTCCGCCAGTTTAGTTCTACCTTCCTATCAACACAGTGATCTTCCGAAAATGGAAATACATCGAGTGTGGAACAGTGCCTCCAAGGAGCTACCAGGGAAGACTTTAGAGTTTCATTTTGATATTTCAGAGGTACTTCTTGTAGTTCTGCTACTTAGCACCTTAATTCTTTTATAATTCTGTTCTTTGATAAGCTAAACATATTTGTTGCAACTCCTTAAGAAAGCTGAGAATTTAGGAAAAAAAGAAAAGTTATCAAACTGAAAGTTCTTAAATTCTTTTTGATTCACACTGACATATTTAATGACCCATGTTGGAGGGGTCTTTTCAGATTTTTGCTACAATTTTTTTAAGCATTTATTAATAGTATTTAAAACTATCTGGTAGAAAAGCTATATTGCAGTTATGCCAACTGTAATATATAAGGATACTGTGTAAAATTCCCCTTCAGACATTTTGTGCTTGGATTCATCGCTGTTGAACACAGAGAATGTCCTTTGAGGGAGTGTTGTCCAACTTCTGACTGGTCTCTCTTACAGCAGTCTTATCCTGCAGCACCTTGTAACTTTACAGAACAGAATGGTCCTGTTGACTTTAAGGGGCATTTCACTTCGTTGTTATGAAGCTGCAGAATTGCTTGCTGTATCATAGATTTTTTTTGTATCGATAACAGTGAGCTGTTGAGGTTAAAAGGAAATACAAGCATAAAAAGGCATCTGGCACTATTTGATTTCCTGTTGGTATGGTTCTAGAAAATGCGGAGCATCCTATTGTCAATCCAAGAAAGCATTTCAATACATGTTGGAGAAGGGCCAAAGTATTCAGCACTCTTGGGAAAATGCAGATTTGAAATTGATTTCATAAGCTTTCTGGGGTTTTTTGTTGGTTCTTATGTCAGGAACTTGTGTGACAGTTGCTTTGAGTATTATCTGTCTGTGTACATAAGCTCTGGCTGCTCAGGCATTGACAGTGGAGAATAAGAAAAATACCAAATGATGTGAAATTTGCTGCACTTCTTTTATCCCTGTATATGATCTTCAAAATAACTTTTTCCTCCAACTGAAGCAATATGGCTCTTATAAGTTCATCCTGAAGCATGGTGCTACTGAATAATTACTCTTTATTTAAGACTCCAATTATTGGGAGACGGTATGATGAGCTGCAGAGTTCTTCCGGGCGAGATGGTAAACCCAGGGCAATGGCTGTCACCCGAAGTACTTCTTCAACCTCATCAGGATCTAACTCCAATGTCCTTGTTCCTGTGAGCTGGAAGAGACCCCAGTACTCTCAGGTAGGTAGCCCATTATTCATTAGCACTCCGAGCAGCTGAATTAACACCTGCTCAGGTCCTTAAATGTCCTCCGTACCCTGTGCAGTGCACCTGGCTGGCTGGGGCAGTGGCAGCACAACATCTGACTCCGTGCTGTGTCTTTCTGGGACTCAAAAATGGACTGAGTTATGTCCATCTTCTGTCTCAGTGCTAGTTTTCTTTGAACTTACAGGAAATGCATCTCTTTAAGACCTTGTAAGTCTAGGTCAGATTTAAGTAAAAATAGCATGAGTTCAGATATTAGCAAGTGGAACAGGTAGATAGCATGTGCAACTTTTGAAGTTGTTTTCTTGTGAAATTGAATAAAAAGAACAATTTTCCTAGAAGTGATATTTGATTACTTTAATGATTTTGGTTATCTGCCAGTTAAAATAAAACTATAAAATATGAATAAACCATAAAATATGAATAAACATATTTGTTGCTCTTTTTTTTATGTAGCAGGTTATATAGCAGTTGCTCAAGCCCAATTCCGCAAAAGAAAAATTATGCATGTGCTTAATTTTAAGCTTCTGAACTGTCTTTTTTAAGTGGTGCATATGATCCAATGTTTCCTTATTATGCTCAATGGACTTTATAGACTCATTTAAATATAATAAACAGCAAAATCATTAACAGCTATTTTTATGTTTCCTTGATGCATAATTACTCTGAAAGCAATCCTTTGAGCATTTAATGACTAATTCTTTGGATGGTTCCTCCTAATTAAAAATTGCTAATGTGTGTTTCTAGCCACAGGGAGAATGGGTGGTCAAAAAAAAAGCTCACTTGAGAAACATCTTGTTTTCTAGAAAAGGACAAAGGAAAAGCTGGTGCATGTCCTTTCCCTTTGTGGTCAGGAAGTCGGGCTGAGTAAAAACCCTTCAGTAAGTAGCCTGGTATTGACAATTTTTTTGTTGTTTCCTCTGTCCTAAGCATTAAAAGCAAAGAACGGTGTTTCCCAGAATTGCTGACTGGATTTGCATTTTGAAGTCACTACTGTCGTTATCCTTTGTACTGGCCCAGGCTGTGTTTCTGAGCATATGGGCCAAGGGGTGAATGGCCTGTAAACAGCCCATCACTTAAAGAACATTAGCATTCGGAGTGTGGTTTTCCTGTGAGGTGCTCCAGGTTTTACTTATGCTGTCTTACTGGGTCATGACTGGGAGTCATGACTTCTGTATTACCAATCAAGAACCTTTATAAAGTAAAAAATTAAATTACGGAAATCAAATGGGGGGAGAAAGGATGTGTGTGTCTGATTTTTCCATTAGAGAGTAGTTCTGATGTTAGTCTTTAAAAATTAATACTACCTGGTGCCAGGAAAGTGGTGAATGATCACCCAGGGTAGGAAGCTCTTGAAATAGTTATTAAATATTTTCTAGAGAAAGGAAAATTTCTGAATRTTTTTGAACATGGTGTATGTCAATTGTATTAAGGAGAGCAGGTCTTTMATTTCTGCAAGACAGGAACTGTTTAATTTTTGCAACTAAATTGCAGGTGTAAGTATACTCACTAGGAAAGAAAAAAATTACAGCTTGTTGTATTTTCTAATCTTGAYGTATTTTTTAAGAACTTTTTAACTGGAGGGGTTTTTATAAATGAACTTACTATATCATCCCCTTGACAGTATTTTCTCTGCAAAGTTCTCAGATTTTTGCTCCCATATATGTATACAAACATCCAGGCAATATCAATCTGCARCCATTAGGAGGTAGCTGCAATATTCTTGGATGTGTTCCCACAGTATGGGCTTGTTTCTTTGTACGAGTTTAATCTGAAGGCACCTGTCCAACATAAATAATAAAGAGTGTTCTAAAAATACTCAGTGAAGGAATTAGGTGTGTACTGGAAATACAGTCTTCTGAATAACCTTCTGATTACAGCTGTTAGGAAGAAACAAGCAGAGGGAACAGTTTGTAACAAAAGAAATCCTTTGAATTGTAGGTRATTTTTTCTTCCTGTGGTGATTTGGATCTGATAGAGCACCAGACGAGTTTGGTCTCTTCCGAAGACGGAACAAGGGAGCAGGAGAACATGGATGATTCAAACAGCGAACAACAATTCAGAGTCTTTAGGGACTTTGATTTCCTAGATGTTGAGCTGGAAGATGGGGAGGTATAGTACATTTTCTCTGAAACAGCTTTTTTACTAAAACACTTATACTCCTGCTAAACACTTCTCGTAACATAAAACTTTAATTGTTTAACTATAAATGTAGTTTTAAGTTCAGATTATTTATGACGTTCACTTAGTGTTTATTTCAGTAGTGTAACAGTAAAAAAACTACCACACCCTTCCTTTCTGAATCTACTTTAGGAAACACTACAAAACTATTACTGGAAAAGAAAGCCTCTGTTCTAGTACCTTTTCAGTGAATTTACTTTTAAGTGAACTTTAGACAAAATTTGTAGAGGCCTGAATTGTTAACAAAAAATATATTTGCTGATTAAAAATGTATAAAATGAAATTGTTGCAAATCTGTTGGTTCATTAAGAACCCTCCATAACATTAATTCAGGCCTTCAGGCTGCTGTTTTTCCTGCAACTTCCAATGAAATCATTTAGAGAAGTTCGTTCCTTTCTGCTGAGGTGTCTGTGATTTCATCATTTCATGCAGGAGCTAAACAAAATCCTGAGCACCCAGATCACGTCTTGACAGGTGAAGCCTGTCAGCTCACCTTGAGCTGAGACTGCTGAAGGGAAGAAGTTGAAGAACTGATGAATTTTTGGGGGCTACACCCTTTAACCTTGCTAATATCAAACTTGGAGTATTTCTTTCTACTTGGTTGGGAAAGACAGAAATTATTATCAATTGCCAAACAAGTYAACAATTTTGTTGCTGCTCTAAAGTTCAGAAATAGTTAGCTCTTTTGAAGGACTTGAGACTCAGCTTAAACCTAAGAGTTTAATAAATTATCTTGTCATAATCTGGACTTGATTTTACATGAATTTTCTCAGTCATAACTCTTAGCCCTGAGAAGAACGTATCCAAAAAGAAATAATTTTTTCTACCTATTTGTATTACAGTAATAAAATAATTTTAAGTTCAGGTGTGAACTTGTGTATGTCTGATTTTTTTTTTTCCCAATGAAGAGAAAGGATGAAGGAATGGGAAAAAAATGTCCCAAAGTCCTTATTTTTCCAAGTCAGGAATTTCTGTACCAAAAAGCGTAATTTTGGCTCACAGCTGCCCCTGTTCTTGCTAAGTGGGAAAAAAAAAAAAAAAAAACCCACACCAAAAGGGTAGTTGGCAGTATTTGTTGAAAATACATTAGACAAATATTGAAGGAGCTTTAATGTTCCAAACAAAGATGAATGATAAAACAACAATGTCAGGTTGTTTGGCAAAAATATACTGGCTACAGTAATTTCTGTCTTAAATGCTTTCAAAATATTTCAAGTATGTAGGACTGCAATTTTGATTGAATATCACTTGATACTTTTTTTTTCCACTGAAATTCAGGAATTTCTTCTTTCTCTTTACCAGTTAAAACCATATAAATAGTATATATAATTGTGCAGAACAATTCCTGTCAAAATGAACTTACCTTCATGGACTGTGACTCTGCAAAGATTTTTTTTAATACATGTGGTCGACTTCAAGCCTGAGGCCTAAATTAATTGATATCCTAATCATCCTAAGTTGGTCATGAAACAGATACTAAGCTTGTCTAGTTTTATATGAAGTAAAATTTAAAATGTAGTCTTAGTAGTTTTTAAATTGCCGTGGATCACATCCCAAGGTTTTGTTCAGACATGACTTACTAGTGTTTTAAAAATAAATTCAGACCTGGTATAAAAGGCTGCTTCTGTAGTGACTGAGTTGAAACTGCAATCATTTACATCATATCTGAATGTGGTATATTCATAAACATGAAAAAACAGTGTTAGAAATTTAAGTTAGAAAACTTAAGCTAGCAAGAGCAACATCAGTCTTTCAAAAAAGCCCATATGATTTTAACAGGCCAGTGATGCTTGTATCATCCCCAGTTCACAAGGTGTACTTGCTTGGAAGCAACAGTTATTTTMAAACTTAAAAGGTAGTCTGAAGAGCTGAAGTTTCTGTGATAATATATGTTTAAATTGTAGGCAAATGTATGTCTATGATGTCTTTAAYGCAGTCATTTTACATAGATTCTTTCTATTTGTTTTTCTGTCTGTTGTATCTGCTACCCAGGAACTTCAGGTAAGAATTCTACTTGAACTCAGATGTGCCAGCATATGTTATGCCTTCTTGCAAATTTATACTGTAGAATAACATCATAGTTTTGCTGTTGCCTTCCCCCCCTTCAGTGTTTGCGTAGGTGAGTGTGTATGTGTGTGCGTACTTGCATTTGTGTGTGGGCTTCATTTTTGGTCTTGTATTAGAATTATTTTTGAGGTCTTTTTCAGAAATTCTGCTTCACTTTAAGTTTGTTTTTTTTACATGTTCAACAGTTTTCACAAATTCTAAAATGTCTTAGTTCTAGTATCAGTATTTCTCAAACTGAGCCCTTTCTCCTTTTGATATGTATGTGCATGATTAATGTGTAGAAACTTCATTATCTATAAAGTTTGGGCCATTTCTTTGTGGGGGTAAATTATATATAAAATTTCCAGCTTTTCTGTTGTGGCTTATTGTCTACTGTCAGCATTTAAAGCTGATGTCTGAGACCTCTTAAGAGAGTTTACATAATTGCTATCAAACTGAATTTAATTGAATAAATAAATTAATTCCTACAGCTTAATTCAATACAGCTGTATATTCCTACCAATTTTGCTGGATTCATTTATCCTGTGAGGAAAACTAAAAAGACATATCAGTTGTTTTGACTTTTTCAATATATAGAGAGAACTGAAATGATAGAGAATTTTAATGAGTTGTATAAATAATACAAAAATCAGCAACCACAGAATTTTACATACTGGTTTCTGATAATTTGTACATCAGTTATTATGCAAACACGACCCCCAAAAATCTTTGTCTCAAAATGCCTGTGCTGTAAGAGATACATCCATACAGAAATAGGCCTTACTATGTAGTTCCACAATACTTCTGCCTATATCCTAAATATTTGAGTGATTCCATTAACTGTGCATGCTTTGTCAACACAATGAGGATGAAAATATGTGTGAAAGAGGTTTTGCCTGATTCTTACTGCCTCTGTGGAAGAACTTTTACTGCTCTCCCTCGCATAGGATTACTTCCCTTTTTGCTGCCCTTATGTCTCTCCTTTCCCCTGGGTTACTGTAAAGTTAAAGCAGCTGCAAGGGCACATCTGCTCCTTTCCCAGAGGGTGGTGACTGTGGGAAGTTCTGTGTGGTGCCTGCTCACTGCTGGTCAGACACACAACACGTCACTGTTTTCCTCTGAATTGATATTTATCACTGGTGGCTTTTCAGATAGGAGATGGCTTTGCTCCTGCTGTAGATAAAAATGAACAGCATCTCAAATACATCTTTGCTCTTTCTTGTTAACTGTGAAAGAAAGATTGCTTAACAGACTACAAAAACAACAACTCCATCTTCAAAGACATGTGCTGACTTCTTGTTTAAATTCAGTGTGATTCTGGGTGCCCCTGTTGCAAAATTATGCTAATCCAAGTGCTATGGGTGGTTGAATTTTACTGTTCTATCTCTTTTGCCATTTTCTCTCACTTTTACTTCACTTCCCCTTCTAACTGCATGCCCTGCAAGTGTCCCTTTTAATTTTTATTCTTTTTGCTGTCTTCCTTCTTAAGGCATTGCAGAATAAAACTGTAACAGGAAATATTCCAACAGACATGGGCTGCTATGTTTACTGATAGCTAGGCGTCATGAGGATAAGGGTGTGATGATAGTGATCTTTGCTTGCTTGCTTGCTTATTTATGTCATTTTGTCATTTGTTAATTCAGTAACTGATGTGTTTGTGGAGGATGTCTCATTGTTGCATGTGTCCTCTAGCCTTTGTGGGGGAGGATGGACAACCAAAGAATTTGTTAAAACAAATAGCTTGAAACTGAACAGTAATTTTTATGATTTAAAGAGGCCTGACTTCTTAAGTCTTAGAGGTGTTCTGTTTTTTTTCTCTTTCCACTCAAAACTACCATACCATACCAGTCCCAGGATGAAAACACAGGGTTCTTCCAATAATGTGTCAGGCTTCATAACAATTTGCTGTTCATGTTGTCTTGATTGGAGTACATTCCTTCGTTTTAAAATGTTCTTGTGAATTGCAAGGGCTGTCTCTTTCCTAAACAATTTTTTTTTCTATTTTCAACATATTTGTTCATGAATGTTGAGCTTACTGTCACGAAATTGAACTTCCCTCTTTCTATTCAAATTGCACAGTCCATTGCATTAAATGGTAATGGTGCAAAATAAGATCAATTTGTACAAGTTTGTTGAATGTTAAGTAGGTAAGATGGCAGTTTAATTCATTGCACTTTATACTGTTTGGTCCCCATTCAGTAAATGTAGGAGTAGTCCTAAATGTGTTTAAAATCACAACTCTGCTTAAGGGGCCTTACTGAACTCAGACCTTTTTCCTCTATGATTGCACATAATTTTGATTTGCATAAACCCAGTAAATAAGYATAATCAGTTATTTGATAATACTATTGTTTTTAGGCAGAATTGTATTTTTTAAATGAATATTTAAAATTTCACTGTCAGTCTGAATTTTCACCAATTCACTTGCTTATTTAAGAGTGTTGCAGAATCTTGTTTAAAGCAGGCAGCCCAGAGCCTTAAAAGGAAACATTTTTCTCTATGAATTTCCTTCCCACCTTGACACAGGATTGAGGGCTTTCACCTAGATAATGTACCCAAAACTGCAGCTGGAAACTTCTGGGGAGACTTTTCTTGCTGTGTAAGGCCCCTCTTGGCTCTACAGGTCCAAGGCAGGAGCAGTTGTGGACGTGGTCCTGCTTGTGCCAGAAAGGAACCTGGATAGACTTAGGAAGGGAGCGAGCAATTATTGCAGTTACAGAAAACGCATACAGTCCACTGGAAAATATATAAAACAAATAAATAGAAAAGTATGAAAAACTAATTGTCATTTTTATATATGAAAGAAATCAAGTTATCTTTTTTTTTATTAGCCTAAATGGTTACATGATTTGCTTAATGCACTTAGCTTTATGTAATAGCGTGCGGTATTGGAACTGACAGTCAGTGTGAAATGTTTGGTCCGTTTGACTGTGTCCTTCTTAAAATGTGAGATATCAGACAATGCTTATAAGGTTATTCTCAAAATATAGTTTCCAATAATTCAAGTGGATTCTAAAATAAACAATATGGGCCTAGAATAGAAGTTGAAAAGATGTGCTGCTACAGGTGTTAGATTTTTTGTGTAAAGCAAGAGTTCTAATCTTCACCATTATGGTTACGTATAGAAAGCAAAGAATCTAAAATCTTTAACATAACTTTTGCAATTGAACCATTGGYATGAACTGTGCTCCTAATACTCTTAAACATCATGGAAAAATCCTTTAAAATTGCTTTCAAACTTTTCTTTTGCGTGTCACTGCTCTACTGGTACTGAGGAATGTGTATATGTGAACTTTAAAAAGCAAATGCATGAAAAACATCTAATACTGAAAAGACTGAATGTTCATTTAACTGCCATTTCCATGCTTCTGCTCTTATCTCCAGGTGAACAAACAAGATAATGCTTATTTCAAGTTTTTACTATATTTTTACATAAAAATATTTCTGGAGCTAACTTTGATCAGGTGTTAGAACATGATTAGTTTTATATGAAGAAAGCTGACCCTTTGTCTGATTTCAGGGTGAGAGCATGGACAACTTCAACTGGGGAGTGCGCAGACGGTCCCTGGACAGCCTGGACAAGTGTGACATGCAGCTGATGGAGGAGAGCCAGCTCTCAGGGAGCACACCCAGCCTCAACAAAATGAACCATGAGGACTCAGATGAATCATCAGAGGAGGAGGATCTGACCACCAGCCAAATCATGGAGAACTCAGACCTAGTAAGTTGCGAACTTGAAATTTAGGAAAAGATCAGGGACTTGTTTTAAATGAGCTGGGCTTTTAGTTTTCTCTGCCCAGGTGCAATCTACTCAGCTGAAACTGGTGGGTGTGTTTTTCCTTATTTGCAGAGGTATACAGAAATTTTAATGGAAATTTTGAAATGCAGGAGACATCAGATCTTATTATTTGCCTTTTTTTACCATGGGATAAATTTTGACAATTGCCCAATAGTAAATCTTTGTGATGTATTTACTGCTTAAAGAACTAGAACAAGACTTMAGGTTGGCAAACAATACCAGATTTCATTGTTCACTTCTGGGATGCTTTTAATAAAAATTTTATGACAGAAATATTGAAAGTGCTGTGTCTATATACAAACTGAGAGAGTCACTGTCACTACCCTKTAAGGCACTGAATGCTTTGCACGTTCATGAAACAGCATGTGGTAGGGTAGCTGTATACTTAATTCTTCTGTGCTTTTGTTGCCTTTTAAATAGATTATAAATCTTTCCCCATCTGAGGATGCAAATCATATCGACTTACTTTCTACATCCTGTGACACAACCTCAGCAGACCCTCAACATTTTAATATGGGAACATCCAGCTTTGACGTGTCCTTGCCTGATATGAATAATCTCCAGGTGTCTGAAGAAGCCAAGGTGAATACATATTTTTCTTTCTTTTCCAACTAGACTGTATTTTATGTAACACTGGTACAAGTTTTTTTTTGCTTAGACTTTCATAAAGGGTTTGCTCTGTGAAATCAAGCACATTCTGGCTTCCTCTGTGTAATGGCATAGTTCAGTACATTCATGTGCTACTGAATTTCGTACTATTTTCCTTCTACTTATACTTTCTTCATTAAGATTTTACTTATTGTTTCTTAAGTATGTTGCACTACATATGCACCAAAATACTACAAAACACATTGGAAGACAAATTCATCAACTGTCTACCAGTTACAGCTCCAAGGCAATACTCTTTTGTCCTTCATGCTGATTTAAAAGAAGGATATGCCAGCTCATGTGGTGGGTGTAAGCATGTATTCTCTGAAATATTTTTGTATGTGAGGACCTATTGTACAGTTGTGTGCCCTGGATTCAGTACTTGCCCTTTGGCAGACACAGAGAAATTAGAAATGCATGACCACAGTATTAAGCCATCCTGGGGGATGTGGAGGCAGGATTTGCAAGGATACAAAAATCATATTCAGCACCATGTATTTTAGAGAAATGTATCAGAAGATGAAGACAGTGCAAGGTTGGTAAATTACTATCAATATGGAGATTATTTCTTTAATTTTCTGTTTAACAATACTTTATTGTGAGAGGTCCTTTCCATATCTCTCCAGAAACAGAATCTGGTTGTGGGGGGTATGTGTTTTTTAGTGGCTTGATGATATTGTTGAAGTTTATGTCAGTAAAGCTTCTCTGTCATGTCTAAATTGTGTGACTTCTGCAGAAAGAGCGGTGTAGGAGACTGGGACAAGGGAGGAATATATCTTGTGTMATCATTGGCTTTCATTCCAGTTCTTGCCCTTGGTCCCCTCCAAATGCAGCCACACACAAAAAAAAATTTGATACATTACTGCTAGCACTGCATGTTTCCCAAGTAATGGAAACTTCTAGTGAAGAGGTCACAGAAAAGGAGGTTGCAATTGTGCTGAATATTGAACAAATTGTTTGTGCCAGAAACCTCTGCAATAAGAACAAAGGACAGGACAAGGGAAGTGTGTGTAAGCATGGGAAAGGATGGAACATCTCCAAACAGTGGTTGTGGAGAAGGTAGACTCATTATCATCAGTCAAAACAACTATTGGTAGACAAGTAACCASATAACAACCATAAACAGCAGAAGTTGGCAGAATTTCATTTCAGGAAGCAGCAGTCAGACCAGACACTTTTGCAGGTGGTGACTGCAGCTGATCTCATGTATCCAGCTGCAGTAGCTCTTGGTGTGTACATAAGAACTGCAAATCACAGTTCAGGAGTTCCATGTACATCTAGGGGCTTGGAATCTTTACTGTCAAAATCTCTTCAGYGTCCCACGTGCCAATAATCATCAGAAATCAAAAACTGGAAAAAGTAAGTTAGTGAAGAATGTAAAATCAGAGCAGTTTCTTGTGGAGCTGACAGGCAAATTCAGCTAGTCCTGGTAAAGGTTTGATATTGGTGTAAAATATAGTCCAGGTTGCCACTATTACAAAGATGTTTGAATTGATAAGCACAGAATGCCTTATTAGTGAGGGTTTTGTCTCAAACATATTTTCTTCTAGAGCACAAACTTCTGTATTTTTAATCAAAACAAATTGGAGTCAATGTAAAGAAGTTACCCAGTTTTTAGTCAGAAAACTTGAAACTCACATCTAAGTAATTTTTACTTAATTTGATAAAACAAAATCTGAGCTCTTTCCTGTTTCTCTTTTCCTCTGAAGTCTTCTTTTTAGAGCTCATGAGGTGTCATCAATGCAATGGAAGTTTTGTTACTCCTTTAGTAGTTTACAAAATGTTTAGTTGCATCATAAACAAAACCAAAAATGTCATCTCAACCTTTAAAATAGATGCAGCAATTGAGAGAAAAAGACTGGTTATGTAGTCCTCTTTCTAGAAGTTTCAGTGCCAAAATGCAGSTATTATTGTTAACAGCATTAAATTAGTTAAACTTATTTTCTATTAAAGATAGTGGCGTAATTCTGTATGATTTACAAAAACTCAGATGATGCTATGTTATGTATTTTTCAGGTTATCTAAACTCAGAGATTTTTGGAAGTGCACTGCAATCCTGCTTGAATATTCAGAGTTCAGTTTTCTGTTTTGCTTTTGGGGCATCGTATTAGACTCCAGTGGGTGGGAGGTGTTTGTGTCCTCTTCCTTCCTCCCCTACCCTATCCCATCAAAATGTGTTTCCCTCCTACAACGCTGTCGTTGCAGTGAAGAAACTGCAGTGGTTCTTTCAAACTAACATTTATTATTTGAAAGTGGTTGATACTAATTACTTCTTGAATAAGCATGAAACATCTACACTTTTTACCAGGTGCTTTGGTTCCTATTCTGATAATTCAGTCAAGCTTGCATTTCTCTTTTCAGGAATTCCCTGAACTCAGGAATATTTCTATCTCTTTTGCTTAGAAAACAAAGCAAACCAAAAAGTTGTTCTACTTAATTTCTGATCCTACCCCTTTTGTTACAAGTGTTGTTTACAAATCCCCATAATTAATCTACAGGATCCAAGCAGCTTTGATAAACTGCAGAGGAACACTTTTCTCGTTTAATTCCACTTGCCACAGATTTCCCTCCCTATTAAACCACTCCCTGTTAAAGCCCAATTCATGTATGTACATTCACGTGGGCATATGTGCACAAAGGTTTGAGCAACCCACTGCAGTCATCCCTATAGGAACTGCTTTGCAGGATGCTATGGATCAGGCAGACAAAAGCCAAGGGATTAAAGCTGAGACAAAACTTGTTCAGACTAAAAATGCATGAGAAATTAGAATGTTCCGAAAAGAAATCAAGAGCTTTAGGTGCTAATAGATGAAAAAGGAAGGAAATGGAGCATAATCCTTCTAATGGCCTATAGAATGCTTTGGATTCCTCTTGAATATAAATGACATGCTAAAATTAATACCCAGTTCTAAATATGCATATAGTCTTCCAGACAGTGATTGTTTTCAATATATTCTGAGAGGCTTTAATATACTCTTGGACACTATAAAGTGTTAAGTCACAAGGACAGCCTGACAGCCTSACAGTCACAAGATTGTTTTTCCTGAAAAATTACTTCCCTGCTATGTTGCCACATGCATTGGAATCTGAAATTGTTTGCTAGACAGGTTGAAAAAATACCTTAAAAATAATATTTAGCCAAGAGAGCAAATTAAGCAACTGCAGAATTTTTGAAGAAGCATAGGTTGATTAGTGTCATTTGTAACCTGTGGCTTTATATCTGTGCAGTTTAACATGTTGTCAGGTGGGTTTTTTCATTAAATGCTTTCTATTTATTAGAGGAATAAACTTACTAACTGGCTGTTTTCTAAGACATCATTATTCACTCCCCTAGGCTGAAGCTGTTCCTGAAGAACAAGAAATAGCAGTCCATGAGGATGACCTTTCAGGGTCTACAAATGAACTCCCTGGAGCATTTGAATGCAGTGATAGCTTTAGTCTGTATATGACAGAAACTGAAGAGAAAGCTGACAGGCTGGAACAATTTGCTCTTGCCAGGTACTTTGATATGCTATTATTCACACAAGTTCTTTTATAATGTACGACAAAGGTGATAGTTAATGGAATGGCTGTTTTGGCCACAGGAGTTGGCCAAAAAGAAAATTCTCATGAGTTTGTAGCAGTGAGAAGACAATGCCCTAATTACCTGCATAATTATCACACAACTGAAAAAAAAATAAAAGGCAAAACAAAACCAAGCTTTTCCTTCTAGGAAAAACAAGATGCAATGTTTGCATACATCTGTGCAGTTAGGTATTATGTATATAATATGCTTCATTAAAATAAAAAGGATTTTAAAATATTTGCAGTAATAGAGCTATTACTTAGGTACCTAAGTAATAAAATTCTAMGTTCTACAGATCAGATGAATATCCATCCTTCTGATCTCTCATGAAAGAAAATCTCAATATTGTTAAAAATCTCAACTATATGCTCTTAAGGCTGCTGGTGAGTGTGGCTGGACCCCAGTATATGTTACAAAAAGATATTAAGATTTTTTTGCATGCCATCTGGAGCTCTTCAATATTTTGAATGCTGAGTTAAACTGTAGTTAGCCTGGGGAGAGAGAGAGACTTTTACTGTCCTGGGAGGTTTCAACCTTTCTCCAAATGATGGTACAAGAAARGAATTCAAATGTTCTGGGATGGAGGGAGGTAGATGATAATGGCCTGAAGATAGAGATTTTTATTTGGAGATTTTTCTCATTGTAGCAAACATCTTGTCAGTCTTCAAAACTAATTTGAAAGTCCATTAATATTTTTAGGAGGATGCTGTAATTGGTCCTATGATTTTMTCTCTCTGTTGTAGCGTATTTTACCTTCCACCTTCTTGGTATTCTCCTTTCCTCAACCTTTTTTTTCTTTTCTCCTTCAGTTTTGGAGATGCTGATCAAAATGCCTCCCCTCCTCCCTCACCATTTTTTTCTGCCATCCTTGCTGCATTTCAGCCAGCAGCATGTGATGATGCAGAGGAAGCCTGGCGTAGTCATATCAACCAACTCATGTGTGACTCTGATGGTTCCTGTGCAGTTTATACTTTTCACGTGTTCTCTTCCCTGTTTAAGGTGAGAAAATAATAAGTTTAAGATGCTGAGTCAAAATGTTTGTGTGTGGCAATTAGTAGTTCTTGATAGCAGCCCCATTAATGAACTATTAGATATTTTCATGCAGTGTGTCTTCTGTGACCAGTTTTGTCACGAAAATACTATGTAGCTCATACTTGCAGATTGGAGGACATGTTACAAAATACGGATCCACTTTAATGAGTGTTTTCTTCAGTACTTCACAAACAGACTGCAGAAACAGTAACTGCAAGAGACAAGGAAATAACCTTTTTGATCTCAAAARTGTTGTTAATCTGCTCTTTTATCTCAAATTCTTGAAATCAGAGTGTGCCCACATGAACATCAACATTATTAAATGGTTTGTACCTACCTATCTGAATAGAAATACCCAGCTGCCATCATGTAACATAAATTCCAGAGACTGAGTCTGGAGACTAGAAATGCATTTTTCCTTTCTAGAACTGCATGCTTGCAAAAAGATAGGAAAAGAAAAAAAGAGTCCAAGCTCTTCTAAGGAATGAGTGTCTGGTTTTACCTGTAATTAGTTTTAAAGCCTTTTAAAATTGCTTCTTCTGCAGCTGAAGGATATTTAGCCTGCTCCAGCAGTGAGAGCAGCAGCCAGGTAACTTTCCTGCAGAGTTTAAGTACCCATGATCTCAGAGTACACAACTTTTTATTAACAAGGGGTACCCTGCTAATATATACACAGTTTCAAGATCTTTTCATACCTCTAAGACTAACCTGATATGAAAGAAGCATCTTATAGTAAGAATTTTACCTCATCTTATTTCCTCTGTGCTCCACTAGAACTGAATGTCTTATCTAGCTGCACACTGTGCTCCTTTAAACATCATGCCACTGTGAAAATGGGTGTCTTATAGGCATTCTGTTAAACACTGATAAATAACCATTTGGAAGAAAAAAACCCCAGTGCAGGCTTGGATTTTAGTCCTGTTTATTCATGATGTCAGCTTTTCTGTTTCAACCTCAGTCCCAGAGGTTAATAGCCTTGCCTGAGTGTTCAGAGACTTATTTGTCCTTGATTCTCCTCATTCAAGAGGTGAAAAGGAGCTGGTGCCACACTATTGATGACTAAATAAATAATATTGTGTAATGAAAGAAATAAACATTACTCATGAAGTACTTATTTAACTCCAAATGCTAGTATGCACACATCATTTGCTGYTAAGCTTGCCCTATGTTCAGAAGACACCCATTTTCTTCAGTTGATATTGGAGGAGAAAGAAAATGGTGTTAATAATATCAACAAGTCACAATTTTTACCTGGATTCACTGCCATATTTTTAGTTTATAAAAATAGCTTGGTTCTTCTTTTCAGGGTTAAAACATAGGAGTATTGTTTTCCCTTATCTTTTTCATAAGATCCTAGCTGGTCTGGAATTGTATTTTGTTTGCACCATCAAACTTAACTACTCATCCGCCAGCTTTGACTTTTGACCCTCATTAACAGGAAATTTCAGAAAGAAGCTCTGTGTGTGCTAAGCTTGCAATCATGACTATGAAACAAAATCCTTGTTTGGAGAAGCTTGTTAGCTAAATACTTGGTGAAGTGAAAGAAGTACATTTTCCAGGGCACCTACATTTCAGTCTGCATCAAGTTAATGGTATCTTGGATGTTTGCCCACAGCACACTAAACTTGTTTAAAATTCCTGAAATTATTGAAGTACTTTTCCTGTAAACAAGTCATAGGTCAGAGATCTTTGGATTCTCTTTACTGCTGCCTCTTTGTATTCCCTCAAATTAAATGTCTTCCAGTAGACCAGGCAGTTGCAAGACAAGAAGATTTCAGATCTACAATTGAGACTTTCRTTATGTAAAATATCTTCCTAGGAGAGGAAGCCTGAGGTTAAGAAGAAAACTTTCTGAGAATTTTCTTTTATTATTTACATGGACACAAAGAGCAGTGACTGTATGCAGGTATAAACTTATTCATAATATACTGACACCTGGCATTACTATTCAGAGTAATCCCAATTCATTAAATATATAATGCATTCAGACCTTGTTTAATAGATTTCAGTGCCTGTAGTCTTCACCCAGAAGGACGTAGCTGAGATGATAATTTGTTATAGAACTCTTAGTCCATGTAATTGCAAAATAAATATATTTAGTGGAGTATTGTATATAGATAGCAAAGCACAGTCCGTCAGGGTTTCACACTTAATAATTTAAAACACTTGTCAAGACCATTATCATCTTAGCTATACATTGTTTGTTGCTTTTTATGAAAATCTGAAAAGGGAAGGAGTAGAGGAAGAATAGCTCTTCTTGAATCTAAATTGTAGACTGGTCAGCTTTCGATGAAGCCGTGACTGAAGTGCTCTGAGGAAGTTATTTCTATAGATAAAGCTGTGTTCTATGAGTTCTCAAAGACATTTGGTGTGGCTCCTAGGTCTCTATACCCAGCATTATAACTGCCATAGCATGAATTTTGCTAATCTGCAAAGATGTAAAAATATCCAAGCTAGCAAGATCTGTACTCACCTACTTTTCCATAGATGTCTCCTTGCTACCTGTATACAGATGTCTTTTCTGGAAGCAGTAAGGCAGAAGGCATGAAACACATCAGTCTTGTCAGGAGCATCTGCTAGTTGCTGTTTCTCTCTGTTGTGATTCCTTGGCCTTCCTCTTAACTATTTCTAGGTTACTTCTTGACATTTTCTCTTTCTCTTACTAGTTTACTTGGCACCTCCCTCTCTGACTATTGTGCCTACATTGCCATACTAGTTTTGGTAGCAAGTTAGTGTTGGCGCGGCCATTTGCAAGGAGACGGGGAGAGACACRTAAACGACCTCGTAGACTTGGTTGTACGTGCTATCTCATCCACTTTATTAACGGAAGCCGAGGCTTTTTATACCCTTGGCTCGTAATGGCGGCGGCAGTTAGACGTAACGCTTTTTGTAACAGGAATAACGGTAACTTAACGTACAGAAGCTCTTACTAACGCTCTAAATT